TCAAGAAATGGAAGTCCTGGGTTGCTTGGGAGCCTCGGGACTCAAGCCCATTTCATATGCCCAAACATGTGGGTAAGCACAAGAAAGAAAAGTAGCCCAAAAGCCCAAGCAAAATAACCTAACCAAGAAATAACCCAACCAAAAAAATAAGCCCAATCAAGAGGCCCAATGTTTCACAAAAAGCCCATTTGCTTAGAAAACCACCTTGGCCCTTATAAAATCCCAAAATAGCCCACAAAAGCTTCAACTCTTTTGAAAAACAGAAAACACGTGAAGGAGGTTGGCAAACTCATCAAGCAAAGCTGCTGGGAGCAAGTTCCAAGCCAGAGACGCCCAAAGAACCAAGGAATGCTGGCCTGCACGCTGTCAAAAGCACCCCTTGGACCAGCATATATTTTCACTTCCTTTCCTTCATCAGATTTAGCCAAGGCAGGGGGAAGGAAAGAAGAAAAAACAGTAACCAAGAAGGGAAGCTCCCACTGCGCAGCTGCGGGAAAGGGGGACATTGAGCTCCCAAATCTCCTGAATTCGAGCAAATAAACAGAGGCAATTTTTGCCAAGATAGGGAAGTCAGATAAGAGGAGGAGAAAGGAGGAAAAAGCTTAGCCAAAATAAGTAGAAGCCATTAGGGTTTCTTGAAGAATGGTGATTTCCAGCGGCTATAAATTGAGGCCTTTTCTACCCAACGGAAGCAACCCACATCTAGAGAGCAAGCTTCATCTCTCACCATGAAATCTCTGCAATTTCGTGCCTTATTCCTCCATCTCCTCCCACTTTCCATTCTGCCATGCCATTCTAGAGTTTGACATAGCTTTTGTCAGGCTGCTGGAAACTTGCCCAAACCACCAAATACTTCACCATTAGCCATAACTCAGACCCAGAGAGCAAGCTTTCTCTCTAACGTAACAAAACCCAGCAATCTCGTGCACTGTTCATCTTCTTCTCCATTTTGCTCTTCTGGCAGCTGCTGGAAGAACTATGCTCTTCATTTTCCCTTTCCTAGCCAAATCTCTTACAAAACTTCTCATTCCTTACCCTAACACTTCCTTTTCCCTCAAAGCAAGCCTAAATTTTCTCTTAGTGCTAAACTCATGTTGATTTTGCTCCCATGCCACATGCCTCTCATGCCAAACTTAAAATTTTATCTGTAAGCATGCATAAATTATCTGTAAGCTGCCATTATTTTGGTTGGTGAAGGTAACCAAAATACTTCCTAAGGCTCTACTGCCTTTTCGAGGTATTTTGGGCTTAATTTTCGAACTCAGGCAAAGGGGACAATTTCATCAGTTTGCCCTTTTTACAGCAGCCCAGCCCATTTGCAGCTGCTGGAGGAAAAAGTCCCCTACAAAAGCCATATATTTATAGGAGCCTCAGAGGCTAGGGTTTCGTAGAGAATAAAAATCTTATTAGGAAGAAGTTTATTCTTTCCCCAAATTGAAGAGATTGAGTCCATTAGGGATTTGATTGGGATCCAAATCTCCTAATTTGATGATGATTATATCTTCTTGTTAGGATAATATCTAAATTAATGGTTTATCTTATTAAATAAAGATAATATCCTATAATTAAGATATTATCTCTATTAATTAATTGGCCAAATAAATTGGTTCAACTAATTAATTTAAGGGATGTTCATTTTTTACACGTGGCGTGCTATAATTGGAGATGAAAATATTTGCTCCCACAAGTAGGTAGCAGATCTTTATAAATTTTTCTTAGAGCATCTCCAAGGGAGATGTCAAATACCAAACATCAAATTTAAATTTGATGGCTGATGTGGCAATTTGACATTATACACAGTTTTACACTCCACCCGATATGTCAAATAAATAATTATTGTAACAGTCAATCATTTAAGATAAAGAAAAAATATATATAAAAAGGAAAATAATAAATGAAAGTAACAACCAACTATCTTTAAAAATAATAAAATATTCATTTGACATCTTGCTTTTGGGATGTCAAAAATAATATCTCAATCTCCAGCCTTCATTCCACATCAGCTTTGACACATCGGTTGGAGTGATGTGAGATGTTATTTCTAGCCGTTAAATGTCTATGTGGCACTTTTGACACATCGGTCGAAGATGCTCTTAGTAGTTTTCTCAACTATCTAAGCAAAGTTATATTATTTGAGAATTATAATTATGCCATGTACACTGGATTTTCTTTTATAATGAGGCCTTTAATTGGTTGCTCTTTTATTATATGAATTTATAATTATATGAAAAATTTATGAAAGCCTATTGACGTAGGCTTCTTGTGATTAAATAAATCATGTAATTAGTTTTTTTTTTCCTTTTTTGTTGATGTGACTTTTTTTTTTTTTTTGGAAACAAACTAAATCTATGTTCCTCATTCGACATTTTTTTTCCTCAAACTCCCGCATATACAAAATTATCCAAGCATGGGTCGGCTGGATGAGAAAACGATATAAAAGTTGAAACCCACAAAAATCCAAGGTTTACCCGTCAAATAAGAAAAGAGACCCGTTTGATGAAGATTAACTGCTTCACTTAATGAGGTACCACACTTGTTGGATAAATGTCGTCAAGCACATTCAAACAAAGAAAAATAAAGCAAAGAATCTGAATCTCTTAGAGATATTGAAATTAAGCTGTCAGGCAAAAGCTGAAAAGAAGAGATGGCAAGCAGCTGCCGCTAGGCAACTAGGTGTGCAGAGATGCAGAGATGCAGCGTATTTTTTTTATTTAAAGCGCAGAGATGCAGCATGTGACTCCCTAATTGAGTTTTGTAGTTTGCCAAAAAAAAAATAAAAAAAAACAGAAGGTAAAAGTAGTCTTGTCTCCTTTATGGCAGTTTGCAGAGATGCAGGTGCAGCATGTGATTCCCTAATTACTAGCTGAAGAATTAAAAGAGCAAAAAAGTAAAATAAAATAAAGTCACACACTCTCTCTATAAAACAGAAAGCCATATTCACAACATTGATCAGTTTTAATCATCAGCTTAGAACTCTCTAACTCTTTGGTGATCTTTTTGGCCATAAAACTAGAAAGAAAATCGCATCTCAAGCGGCTAAACTCCAAACAAAACCCAAAAATCAGGTAACAAATTCATTCAAGTTAAATATTGCAACGCATGCGTTTTTGTTTAGTTTTTGCATACTTTGATCGCAACATTTATTACCAAAAAAAAGAGAAAAGTATTGATATCACATTTGTTTCCTGGGTATCAATTTCAGTGAGTTAGAAGAGATTCAGGAGAGAATCATCATATTTGGAGGAGTGATTATGTTAATTATTTATAAGGGATTTGCTCTTATGTATGCAACCAAGAATCTCCAATTTCCGTTCATACAAGTATACTGTTACTTATGGCTATGGAGTCACAAGCAGTTTGGAATGGGCGGTTTCGGAAAAGAGGTATTATGTTCGAAACTTTAAAAGATTTTTATTATTATTTTGTTTTATGTTTTTTAAGGGAATATTTGGATTAATTGTAGTTCATCACTACCTTTTTTAGTTCTCGATTAAGATCCACAAATTAAATCTTATCAAATCTGAAGACTAAGACCATGTGGGAATGAAATTGGTGAGGATTTCTACAAGAGGGTTGGTTTTACTCTATCATAGCTGTAAACTTTTTTTTTTTTTTTTTTTTTTTTTTTGGTTGGGATAGCTGTAAACGAACTGGTCAACAGGTAAAAAATTTGACGCGCTGCTGATGTGAACAAGGGAACGATTTCACGTTCACGCTCACTCGACGTTCTTCTTCCTCAAACTGATAATCTTTTCTGCAACTTCAAACTTCAAACTGATAATCTTTTCTTCAACTCCTCCTGCAGAAAGTTTCTTCCTCCTCTCTGCAACCTCTCTCTCTTCTTTGTCATCATTGTCAAAAACCCCCTATTCTAGGGTTTGGATTTTGGGGAAAATTTTAGGGTTAGTATTTCGGGTTGATAATAGGAATTGGAAATCAGTTTTTCCAGTCACTGCGTTGGCACTCCTCTCATCTACAATCGAGCCCTTCTGAAAGCATTTGGTAATAGTTCCTTGTGAAGGTAAGTCAACACTATGTTTTATTTTATTGTTAATTGAAATTCTGTGGTGATGACTTGGGGCAAGAGGGGAAGTAGGTTTCTCACATTGATGAGATGAAGTGGGTTTCTCATTCTGAAAGTGTCGTGAGGTGAAGTGGGTATCTCACATTCATGGTTGTAATTTTCATGCAATTGCATATCTGTATATGCAATTACTAATCTCCTGTATGCAAATCCAAGTCACTGAATGCAATTACAGTATCTAGTTTAGTTTTCAAATTATGCAAGTGAGGTGATTTCGTGGTAGGTAGGTAGGTTTGACCGTGTTTTTGAATATTTTGTTATGGGGAGTAAAGTGTTCCGAAAGTGTAATGTTAGGATTGGTTAAGATTTGAATTGGGATTTGAAAAGAGTAAGAATCCCGGCCCAATAGAGAAATGCATGGGTGGGTTGTGTGCGTTATCTGTGCAATGTTATAATCGAGGGCTGATGCACTTGCAAGTAGTGTCGTGCAATTGCATATCAGTATATGCAATTACTAAGAAACTGTGTGCAAATCCAGGTCCCCGTATTTTTATAATTAAGCAATGTGTGATGTTGTGGTGTTTACGGGGTTTAGGGGGTTTAGGGTGTATTAGGCTTTGGATTAGTATTCAAAATCTTGGCGCTAGAGACAATTGCATGACAGTGTTTTGTACTTGATTTGTGCAAGTTACGGAAGCTCAAAAAAGGGGATTAGCGAAAGGAAAGCGCAAGGCCGAGAGTAATGTGCAACAATCAAGAGTTGGCCGAGATGCATTTTTTAATTTCATGTAAGTTACACGTACATCTAAAAATTGGAAATGTGGTTGCTTAATGGGTTAGAAAGCAAGGTGGGTTTGATTGTCCTACCGTTCGGGTTGTTTCAAAGCACCGTCGAACGAATGAAGTGTCCGGAGTCAACATTGAAAGAATTGTTGAACAAGTTGCTATCAGATTGGCGCCGGTAATATAGGCGGAGATGAAGCGATCAATGTTGGAACTCACCGACAAGGTAATGAGTGAAATGAGATCCTTCATGAAAGACGCAAGACAACATCTTCATCCGGCACATGAAGATGTAAATGAAATTGAGGACGGGGCATTGAAAATACGAGATCAAGGTGTTGAGAATGTTGTGAAGAAGAAGGGTGAAGAATGTAGCCAATTAAAGGAGAAAGGTGCAGTTGATGAAAAAAATCCTTGGACGCCATTACCGGATGGACAGAGTTTCAGTGAACCCGAGGTATAGTGGCATTAAAACACGTCGAACGGCCGAAAGGCGTCCAGGGCTTCATTGTAGAGAGCCATGGGTTGACCCTTCAAACGCAAAAGGAAAGGCTGTGCAGAAGACGGCGTCTAAGATTAAAATTGGGCCTTTGAAATTAAAACCCGGGGACTTACAAGACTCCGATTTTGAGCTATTTAGTTATATTTTTAGGTCTAACAACCTTCCAAGTAACTACTTACAACTGTTGAATTATGAAATCGACCAAATTCCTTATATGTTGTCGTGTACGTGAATTTAATTATACCAATTGCTTTCTTCTTCCGTTGTAGTTATGAAGTTATAATTCAAATTAAAAACGAACATCATGTCACGAGAAATGAGTTCATGTGCTTGAGGCCTGAAATGTGGATAAACGATCAAGTATTGAATGCACAAGTCTATTATCTAAAAGAAAAGGGGTTGGGGAATTGGTACTTCCCCACATATATGTCGGTAAGCATTCATATTTTTCAAACTCTTATAGTTTGTGATTTAGTAAATGATTTTACGCTTACACTATATGTGTATGTAGGAGCAAGTTAATAATACAAGTGATGACCAACTTTTTGAATTGGGGGTCAAACTTAAAAGGGAAAATTCAAACCGGTTCACCGTAGGCCTTCACAAGTGCCAGAAGGTATAAATTTAAGTTCTTTTTTACAACATCTTTAGTGCGCTTTTGTTTTGTGGTTTTTCTGAGCAAGTCAGTGTGGTCCTAGATTTTCATTCCCGTTTACGATCGAATTAGGAAGCATTGGTATTTGGTAGTTGTGCATATTGGTGATAAAAAGGTTGAAATATGGGATAGCCTCCCGGGTGCTAGATACAATGCAGGTCGTTATCAACTAGGGGAACGAATTGTAAGTTTAATTGACCTTATTTTGGTTTGTCTTTTTATTATCCTAACATCCGGACTAAGAATTGATTTGAATTGATTGTGTTGTAGATGAAAGTTCTGGACTATATGTACAAAGATAAGATTGTAAAATATTTTGAAAAGGGATGGCAGTTTGCAAAATTCAACATTGTGCGAATTGACAAGGCTCGCAAACAACAAAATGGATACGATTGTGGTATCTTCGTTATGAATTGGCTAGAAGATATTCAATGCACATCACACGGTTCAAATAAAGTGAGTCGGCATATATATCGTTTCACACTTTTGTCTTCCACGGCAAATATTTTTCTTAATCATTTCTTTGATGGGTTGTTTTTTATTTGCAGTTTCAACATGCAACTGAGTGGGTTCGTGTTGCACTATCATTGCTGAAGAACCCAAACAACACGTGTCTAAAGGAAGTAAGGGAGTCCGCTCGAAGAGTTGTTGACGAAGAACTTGACAAGTTGGCTAAACAACATGGTCCCTTCATCCCTCATCATCCCATTGCAAGGAAGCCAATGACACGCTCCCAGGCAAAGTAGAAAGTTTGACAGTAGGTCACCTAGGGTTGATGGTAATGTAGTGCAATTGCATGTACTTATCCCTGTTTGCATGCACTTATCCCTGTTTGCATGCAGGGACATTGTTTTTGCAATATATCATGTACAATTGCATTACATCACGGCCAATTGCACGTTATCTAGTTCGTGTAATACATTGCACACATGAGTTTTTTTGTTGCCAAAATGGGAACATTTTAGCATATCTGGGGCCCAGACTTCATTTACGAGACAGGAGTGCCTAGTTCATTGATAATAAAGGTCTACTAACCATATGTTGGGGTTTTTTTGTTACAAAACTAAACCCTCAAACTATTTTACCATACTGATTATAACATCTAACATCCGATATTACAGCCGAAATTATAACATATGAAATTACATCCGAAATTATGACAAACAACACAATGCAAATTATAAAATACCGGTGCTTCACGGAGCTCGCTTCTCCAAAATAGCAATTGCTTGGAATACCTCAATTTTGTCCCACTTAGTTGAACCAGCATCAACAAACTGAGAGTATTTCCTAAAGATCTCAAAGCCGATATCAATCCAGCCATTGTAAAGTTCGTACCTGGTGGTTAAATCTCCTTCATGAAACATGTTCTTACTAGCCTCGGTGGGAGTCTTCGTGACATAATGGGCTCGTTTCACTTGCTCGCGGGTATAATTCGAAGAATCAACACCATCATCATCATCCACCATCTTCTTCTTGGGCGTGAAGGAGCCTCGAGAGCTACCAACCATTGAATGTGACACTGTTTGGGTTTTTTTTTCTCTCAGATTGTGTATACGTAGTAAAAGAGGTGGAAGTCTTTGAGTTAAAATGTATAAGAAGTAGCTCTTTAAATAATCCTTCATTGTAGTATAATATGGTAGAAGTCTTTGACTAGGGTTCCTTTTTATGGGGAAGGTCTAATTTTTCTAAACGAACGCACTACCATGCGTTCGTTTGAACACATACCCCGTTTGTCTGAAAAAGTAAGTTCATTGGGCCCATGGTTCCGGGGAACGGTCAACTTTACTGAACCAATGTAACGCTTGCGATAGCGTCAACAACAATCACGTTCGTTTGAAAAAGTTAGTTGTTGGCGTTATTTTTCCGAGGAACGTGGCATTTTTCTGAGCAAACGCAACCCCTTTTGTTCGGTTGAAAAAGTAGGTTCGTGGGGCCCATTTGTGTTGGAACGGGTAACTTTATTGAATGAACGTAATTCATATGTTTACTTGAACAAACACTACGTTTGTTTGAAAAAGTAAGTTGGTTGGGCCCATTTTTCGTTGAACGAGTAACTTTACTGAACAAACACACCCATTTCGTTTGTGTGAAAAAGAACCCCGTTGGTTTGCAAAAGTAAGTTTGTTGGCCTTCTTTTTCGGTGGAACGTTGAATTTTTTTGAACCAAACTAAACCCTTGCATTCGGTTGAACAAACTCCCCGTTTGTTTGAAAAAGTTAGTTAGTTGGGCCCATTTTTCGTTGAACGGGTATCTTTACTGATCCAACGTAGCTCTTCCGTTTGCTAGAACAATACTTCGTTTGTATGGAAAAGTAAGTTGGTTGGATATCTTTTTTGGGCAAACAGAAATGGTTCCTTAACGAACGCATGTATTGCGTTGGAGTGAAAAAGTAACCCGTTTGTTTGAAAAAGTGAGTTCGTTGGCCCATGGTTCCGGGGAACGGTCAACTTTACTGAACCAACGTAACACTTGCATTAGCGTCAACAACAATCACGTTCGTTTGAAAAAGCTAGTTTGTTGGCGTTATTTTTCCGAGGGAACGTGGCATTTTTCTGAGCAAACGCAACCCTGCTCTGTTCGATTGAAAAAGTAGGTTCGTGGGGCCCATTTGTGTTGGAACGGGTAACTTTAATGAATGAACGTAATTCATATGTTTACTTGAACAAACACTACGTTTGTTTGAAAACGTAAGTTGGTTGGGCCCATTTTTTGTTGAATGAGTAACTTTACTGAACGAACATACCCGTTTCGTTTGTGTGAAAAAGAACCCCGTTGGTTTGCAAAAGTAAGTTTGTTGGCCTTCTTTTTCGGTGGAACGTTTAATTTTTCTGAAGGAAACTAAACCCTTGCGTTCGGTTGAATAAATGCCCTGTTTGTTTGAAAAAGTTGGTTAGTTGGGCCCATTTTTCGTTGAACGGGTATCTTTCCTGATCCAACGCAACTCTTCCATTTGCTAGAACAATACTTCGTTTGTATGGAAAAGTAAGTTGGTTGGATATCTTTTTTGGGCGAACAGAAATGGTTCCTTAACGAACGCATGTGTTGTGTTGGAGTAAAAAGTAACCCGTTTGTTTGAAAAAGTAAGTTAGTTGGCACATTGTTTCGGCGAAAGGGTAACTTTTCTGCCGAAACGCATGCATTGCGTTCGTGTGAACAAATACCCTGTTGGTTTGAAAAAGTAAGTTTTTTGGCCCTCTTTTTCAGCGGAACGTCGAACGTTTTTGAACGAAAGCAAACCTTTGCGTTCGGTTGAACAATGTTCCCATTTTTTTGAAAAAGTCAGTTCGTTGGGCTCATTTTTCGTTGAATGGGTAACTGTACTGTGCAAACGCAAGCATTACGTTCACTAGAACAAACAGTCTTGTTTGTTTGGAAAATGAAGTTGGTTGGATATATTGTTTCGGCGAACCAAAAACTTTCTTTAATGAACAGCACTGTTGTGTTGTAGTGAAAAATTACTCCGTTTGAATGAAAAAATAACGTGGTTGGCGCATATTTTAGGCGAACGGGTAACTGTTCTCTAGAAACGCACGTCTTTTGTTCCTCTAAACAAATACCGTGTTGATTTTAAAAAGTAAGTTTGTTGGCCTTCTTTTTCGGCGAAACGTCGAATATTTCCGAACGATAGCAAACCCTTTGCGTTTCGTTGAATAATCTCCGCGTTTGTTTGAAAAAGTAAGTTGGTTGGCCCCATTTTTTGTTGAACGAGTAGCTTTACTGAACGAATGCAACCATTGCGTTTACTAGAACAAACACTCCGTTTCTTTAAAAAAAGTAAGTTGGTTGGGTATATTTTTTCGGTGAACATGAAACTTTCCTCAAGGAATGCACCTGTTACGTTCGTGTGAAAAATAAGATGAAAACATATGACGATACAAGTGGATGAACTTAACCTTAACCCAACAACAAAGACGGTAAGATACTAACGTATAATTGGCAGAGGGGTTCCTGGTCCTCATTCCGTCATCATACACGTAAGGGCTTCCAGGTCCTCATACTCCGGCACATATGAGTACAAGTTAGGCTCAATAATAGGCGGAGGCGGGTCCATCGAATGAGAGGGTGGCGAACTATTTTCCCTCGGAGGACATAATCGTGCCATTATTTGTGGCACATAATGCACCACGGGAACCGACTCCTTCACTTCTTCAGTTGTAGAGCCTTGTGCTTTGCCTTTGTTCGCATCAGTAAACAAATCCCGTGTTGTGATTTTCACTTTACTGGGTACATCACCCCTAAACCCCTTCTTAACAACATAAATTTTTTTCCCATGATTTTGGTGAAGATAGATAAGTTAGAGTGTGAATGATAATATGCTCTAAATTTGGTTGGACATGACAGGTTGTTTTATAGAAACATTTAGGGGTAAAATTGTCCATTCGGAATAAACTCCTTCAAAAATTATTTATCTCAACATTTGAAAATTACAACAAATACTTCCCTCAAATACCTTCTTTTTTGTTGCAAAAAACATTTCCTTCAGTGTTTTTTTTTTTTCAAAAAAAATCAAAAACATATTTTTCCTAATTAATGGACATTCGAAATTGTAACTATTTGTAAAAGTATCGCTACTTTTAAAAATTATATATAACAGTTACATACTACTTGAAACAGTTACAGATATTAAAACCCAGCTCTAGTGTCTGTAGAACCTAAATCCAATACAATTTTAAACATAAACCATACTTTGAACCCTAAAGCCCAAACCCAATTCAATGTTAACCATAAAGGCCAACCCTAGATTTGTTTGTCAGTTTTAAACATGGTTCGCCCCGATTCGAAAATGGAATTTAGGTCAGGTCGTTTTAATTGGTATCAGAGCATTAGGTTAACTTCCTGTACACACAGCATCACATGTGCATCCTTATTTTATATATATTGCTGGACATTTCCTATGTTATTTTACCTCGTCGGCGTGGCTGAGTAAACAGATATCCAGAAGGGTTTGAAAAATTTGTTGAGGTTTTCATATGAAAAACATATTATACATGTTATTATATATATATATATATATATATTGTCGCGAACTGAGGTTTATAAAGATGAGCACATATTTCAAATATGGAATTGTAGAATTAAAGGAAGGTTTGTGATAAGTCTTGGTATATAATTAACAAACTAGCTACATAATATTTTCCATGTCCATATTTAGTACACATATTCGTGGTTGAAAAGGAAGACTTATAGATTTTGGTTTTTATCAAATATGTTAATTTATCTCGTCGGCGTGGCTGAGTAAACAGGTATCCAGAAGGGTTTGAAAAATTTGTTGAGGTTTTCTTATGAAAACCATATTATACACGTTATTATATATATATATATACTGTCGAGAACTGAGGTTTAGAAAGATGAGCACGTATTTAAAATATGGATTTTTAGAATTAAAGGAAGGTTTGTGATAAGTCTTGGTATATAATTAACAAACTAGCTACATAATATTTTCCATGTCCATATTTAATACACATATTCGTGGTTGAAAAGGAAGAATTATAGATTTTGGTTTTTATCAAATATGTTAATTTATCTCGTCGGCGTGGCTGAGTAAACAGGTATCCAGAAGGGTTTGAAAAATTTGTTGAGGTTTTCATATCAAAACCATATTATACACGTTATTATATATATATATATATATATTGTCGAGAACTGAGGTTTAGAAAGATGAGCACGTATTTAAAATATGGATTTTTAGAATTAAAGGAAGGTTTGTGATAAGTCTTGGTATATAATTAACAAACTAGCTAAATAATATTAGTCATTCATATATATTTTAATATTCTATATATTTATATTTTATAAATTATATATATATAGTTAACATGTGGCTGTTTTGTATTGGGAGTCTAAAATTTTACCGTACACACACACACACAGAGGATCATCCACAACTAAAACAGACTTAGAAACGTGTGAGGGATGAGACATGGTTTTTCTTTGTCATTTTCTGCTGCTGATTAGAACAATTAGAATGTGGAGGAGCTTTTAGATTGATGATTGAACATAAGAAACTAATCAAATTTCTGTTGTGGAGTTTAAGTAATAAAAGACAGAGACACAAATTATTTGTTGTGGATATATAACTTTTATGGGGATGGGGGATGAGAAGGTAGAGGTACTAATACTATGAAGCAAAATTTCTGCTCATTATTTGTTTAGGGAATTAGATCTGGTTGATTGCAGCTTTCCTTATGGCATCAATCAAAGTAGTGATTTCTGGGGAAAATAGAAGTTATGACTTATGTTATGTTTGTGTATAGAGTTTTGGTTGGCCTTGCTTTCTTAATGTTTACAAATCTACTATTTCATAAATAATGAAGGGAGATTGTCATAAAAAGTACATTGTGGAGACTGCATATTGATTTTCACTTTGTGAATTTTCATGTAGTGTATTACATGTGGCTGTTTTGTTTGGTATGGTATTGATGCTTGTGGGTTTTGTTGGAGCAATGTGTGTGTGTTTGTGTGTTTTTCTGTTATTTTGTCTGCATCCTTCTACTGCAATGAGTGCGGAAGCTTGTGAAATGTTTTCAATGTATTTTAAGATTATGTCATGTTACTCTATTGTTTTATTTTTGGTCAAAAGAGTTACTATATTGTTTGATGTTGAGGTAGACATAATCTGTTTCATTGTTTGCTGTTTTAAATCAATAATGAAGGATAGTCGAAGGAATAATGAGGACGAAGAACATTGAGGGAGGAGCATCTCATAAAGGTTCTCGGGCCCCGAAGACCACAGTTGCAAAGGGTACGAAAGATAACTCTTCAGTGGCTTCCTCAAGCTCAAAACAACGGAAGCCAGGAAAACGAATATCGGGTCCTATGGCTAGTGGGGTGTTCGGGGTACGTGTCTTCAAACCAAGGGACCGCAATCCTTGTTCACCGTTGCTTCACTTCGATTTAGAGGAACATATCTCCTTCAAGGTATTCTTATTTAATTTTACAATTGGCATTTCTCATGTTGGAATAATTTGTAAGTAAGTGGGTCATAATCAAATTCATTGTACTAAACCCTTTGTGCTTTTCTGTAGCTGACTTTAACAAAAATCAGAGGGTGTGGAAACAACGACAAGTGTGCTGAATGGTATAACGTAGGAATGCACGACACGGTGAAAGCAAAGGTAAAGAAGCTGGGACAGGCCATTACTTGTGGCCTTAGCGGAGAGATGGTGGGACACTACCCACACCTTCCATTTCGATGAAGTTGGAGAGATGACAATGACACCAACGGACTTCGCAGCAATCACTGGATTGCGTGTTGGTGGGAAGCGTTTACAGTACGACTTCGAGATGTACAAAAATAAGAACAAGATGATGAAATTGTTTGGGAAACCAATCACAGACCTACTGGCAGGGGAAAGGAGAGTGCCGTATGAAAGCCTTTGCACCCCGTATTGGAACAAGATTCCGAAAGATGATAAAGAAGCAAACCAAATTGTCAGGGCTACTCTGCTTGATTGGCTCCTCATTCCTAAATGATAAAAGCCAATACGTGAGTATGCACTACGCCCCCTGTTTGGAAATAGTATCAGACATTGGTAAATACGACTGGGGCGGTGCGGCTTTGGCTTGCTTGTATAGATCACTGGATTCTTGTTCCAGGGGCAGGTCATCGAGCATGGGCGGGTATTGGAGGGCATGGGAGGTTAGTGTAATCGAATTGAATGTCCCCAAAGTGCAACAGACTTTTTTGCTTACATTACTAATTTGTATACTTCTTTTGTGTAGGTATGGGCTTGCGAGTACCTAAAACCGTTTGCTTTATCAAGGCCCAGTGGGACCGTGAACACGTGGCCCCGAACATTGAGGTGGGTTGGTGCAAAATCAAAGCGGGACTTGCAACATCACTTGGAACATTTTAGAGTGATGATGCGACATCTAACAAAGGATCAGGTATAAAGCCTTGACTCTTGAACCCATATTTTATGACCACAAAAATGTATGATTCGCAAATGTAAGCAATTTGTATTGCAGGTAAATTGGAACCCATGGGGGACCAATGAATCCGAGTTGCCGGAAGAAGTAAAAAATACCATGCCGGCAACTCGTAAACGAATCCTACTTGAGGGACCAGCTGGTTCAGCCTGGTTTTTGGGAGAGCGAGTCACAATGCAAAGTTTAGACACCACAGAACCTCAAGTACCAAAATTCCACCGAGGACAATGCTTTGGATTATAAACTCACTGATGAGTTAGAAGTCGAGGAAGCACTGAATGGGTACCCAGCTTCCGAATGGCTTGCAAATTCATCTGACTATGCCCAGTACAGAGATGAGTACATACGGTATCGCCACTATGCGGACTTACGTGAAACGGTACGTTCTACACTGAACGCGTGTTATGTAATTACACTTGCTGCATGAAATGCATATAATTTTTCAAAATTCTAAAATGATACCTGAATTCCACAGGAAGAACAACATCGAACTCCGGAAGGGGCCAAGATAAGGGTAGCAAACATCTCTCCTCAGCCATGGTCAGCGCGAATACCATACTGGGCCGCTGAAAATGAAAGTAAACTTGTGCGGATACCCCGTGGGCAAGATAGCCCATATCTACCATTACCTGATGGTGTCACGCATGTAAGTAGTTTCTATTGCATAATTTATTAATACATGAGGGCTTCCGGTGGTCATTGTTGTAATTACATGTGCCGTAATGTAGGTCACTGCTGAAGCTGCAACCGAGCTTTTGGACCTAATTGCTGGGTTGAATGCTGTACTATTTTCAACTGCATCGGAAGCAAGCGTAGAGATCAGGCGCCTACGGCAAGAGATTGTGAGTCAGTTCAACTTCATTTCATACTCATTTCATAAAATTAACAAACATCACGAATGTTATAATCAGATAACAAACCATGGTATTGAACATGAACGATGTTATCTTGTAATAGGAGAAATTGAAGAACACCTCGGGAACAACCATTGCGAGTTCGGGTCTTGTTCAACACGTCGTAGATGATGATGTAGAACATGTAAGTTTGTTACTTCCAACCTCCATTGTAAAGTTCGATGTATAAGATGTTCAATTTTGCAAATTTAAATAATATGTTACATTCTGCAATGCAAACCAACATCACTTGTGTGCACAACAAATGTGAACAAAATTGTTTATTTATATATGTCAATGTTTCTTTTTATGTAGGAGTTTCGCACAAAATTTAAACATGACATAGGTAGAAAAGGAAAGACCAAACTTGTGATACAAGAAGAGCATGAAGAAGATGAGGAAGAGGAAGAAGAAGAGGAAGAAGAGGAAGAGGAGGAAGAAGAAGAGGAAGAAGAAGAGGAAGATGAAGATGAAGAGGGAGATGACGAGGAAGTTTGGATCGAAGACGGGGATGAGGATGAGGATGAGGATGCGGATGAGGACGGGGCCGCAGCTAAGGGTAATCCGGATGCAGAACAACACTCCACAGACCAAAAACGCAAAGGTGAGAAAAGTCTTCGTTCACGTACCCCAAAGAGAAAGAAAACCATGTAAATTATGGATACAGTAACATTTTTCGGATCATGGTTGTTGGTCCGTCGCAAATCTCGCGGCCTGCTGCTCCGGGCCGAGGGGATATGCGTCAACACGTGATGTCCTTCTTTTGGATGCGGTGCGGTTGTACGCGGGTGTGCCAGCACGGTCTACCGTGCATTGAGATGGTGATGGGGTTTGGGTAGAAGATGTTCAAATGATGCGCCTGTTTGGAGTTGGACTTCTAGTCAAACGATTGTGGCCGAGAGAGCCGTCAGGTTCACGGCCTGAGCTACAAGGCCATTTAGTGGTGGTGTTAGTGGATTTTGGGCGGTGCTCCGGCGCGTTGCTCAGAGAGCGACGGTCATATGATATATGGGGTGAATGAGGCGGTAACAAGGATGATGCTCCGGCACCTTGAAAACTCAAGGGTCGTATGATATATTGATGAATGGATTTTCCTTACAATCTACCACTACTCCTAGGAAAGTATGTAAAGGTATTGAAAGTGCATTACATAAAATATAAGTTGCTCCGTGGGAGGCTTTTGGTTTGGTGTTTGAACCTCTTGAACGTGGTCTTGAGCTTAGTATTTATAGGAGGAGTCCTGGAGGGCCAATCGAGGCTGAAAAAAGATCTGCCTAATGGCTTAAAAATATCTGCATGGTGGAGTCTGATCGGGGCAAGTGGGTAGTCAAATCGGCATTTGGGATCGTGAAGTATGGTGGTCTGGGTTGAGAAGCATGGTGGTGTGACCCCCATAAATCTCAGCAAATCTCGGCCACCGCCCTGATCGTGGGCTCTGCCCCCTTGGCCGTGGGAATGCATTTAATGCTCTGGTCCAGTGGTTGGTGACCTGACCTCAAGCTGTGAGAATGCTTTATGAGAATGTTTGCGCCTAACCACTCTGATTCCTGTTATCAAATCCTGACTTCAATCACTTCCCTTCTGCCCTCGTGCATTAAATGCTTCTTGCACCCAGTGGTTTTGCTGTGGCGGTCAGAGGCACTACTTCATTAAATGGGGCGTAGGACCCTGAGGCCACGTGGCGATTTGACCACAGTATCTTCAGCCAGGTCTTTCATGGACCTCGGCCTCGGCCCATAATGCTGTGGTTGTGAGGCCGAGAAAATCCTGCCTTCGTATTTTCTTCTGCTTTCGAAAAGGCTAAATGTCTGAAGAAATGTGGCCGTTTCAGTCCATGAACAGGGGCCATGGCCGAGAAGAGGTCCCTTCTGACGACCGTGATTTATTAGGCACAAACAATGGTATCTTCGTTTTGTAAAAGAATATATTCAGTTTATTGGCCCTTACTGTTTCTCATGTAGTATATTTCGGTTCATTTTGCGGCCTTCAATTGATCCATTTTTCCTCTGTAGTAGTTTGCGCACAGTCACTCTCGCATTGCATCAACGTCGTGCAATTGCATGTTTACAATGCAAATGCTGACCGGGTGTGTGCAAACTAAAGCTAGCTTCAAAATGCTAACCTAATTAATGGATAGTGCAAAGACAAAGAAAAGGAAGTTCTGAATTTTATTAGGACCCTCTGTGTATTATTTTTGTATTAGGGTTAATCACATTTTGGTTTATGAAATTGAGGATATTTTGGAAAGTCATTTGTGCTACATGACAATGTGTATTAGTATGTAATTTCGATAATTGGTCGATTTGTAATAGAATATGTTCGGCTTATAGCCCAACCCTTAGCATTTATTTGAATGCTCTGTATTTTTGTTGATTTCGCCCTTCGATTTATAGTTACAGAAATAGGTCTACTTATGCCTGTACCCAAAAAAAATGATCAATTTTTGGTTGTTATGGGTTTGCGCACAGTCAGTCTTGCATTGCATCACCGTCATGCAATTGCATGTGTGAAATGCAAATGCAGACTGACTGTGCTCAAACTAAACATAGCTTTAAAACGCAAACTTATTTAATGTATAGCGCAAACACAACGAAATCCAAACAAATACGTTGTTACGACCTTATGTCTATTATTGAAATTAGGGTTAATCACATTGTGTTTTACGAAATTCAGGATCTTTTGGGAAGTCATTTATGCTAAATGGCAATGTCTATTAGTACGTAATTTCGATCATTGGCCGTTTTGTAATATAATATGTTCGGCTTATTGCCCCTTACCATTTATTTACATGCTCTGTATTTCGGTTCATTTTGCCCTTCGATTTATAGTTCAAAAAAAAGGTCAAATTATGCCTGTAAAAAAAAATGATCCATTTTTCCTTATTATTGGTTTGCGCACAGTCACTCTTGCATTGCATCACCGTCATGCAATTGCACGTGTGGAATGCAAATGCCGACCAGCTGTGGGGAAACTAAACATACCTTAAAAACGCAAACCTAATTAATGTCTAGCGCAACGCCAAAGATAACCAAGCAAATACTTTTGTTCTGAACAATACATACATAAAACAATAATACGACAGTCATATGAAAGCACATTGTCCATCACTAAATCTACATTTAATGTTAATTGTTACATGTAAACCAAGTTCCAAAACTACAATTGTTTTGGGTTGAACCAGTACTTAGGGAATTAGGTTCACCATTGTCGAATGAGAAACCATCGTCACTGTTCGGGGTAGAACCGGTTGGGTCTGCAGTAGAAAAACTATCAGAACCAGACAAATCAACCACATAGTTGCCTCTGCATTGAGAAACCATTTGACTAGGATAACTGTAGCTAATGTCCGGGGACGGCCCTTTATCAGAACTATACTGATAGCTTTCACTACCCGATGGGATATTGACACATGCATTTCTACTTGGATGCAAGTTTCTTTGAGAGCAATTACGCTTTGTATGTCCATATCGCGACACAAATGACATTGTTGACGCTTGCGCGTTCCACCTTGCCTTGCTTGAGTGCCTTTTGTCTTAACAATATTTGGATTTTTCACAATATTTGTAGGACATTGGTCAGCAGTACCCAATTTCAGACTTGTCTCTTCTTCCTTTTGCCGTAAGCCTTCACAAATTCCCTCCCATCTACTAAACTCATTCATCAACATGGCATAACCCTCTGCACTCTTCGATGCATAAAAACAAACTTTGTTTGACATAGCATTTAAACTTCCATACCTCGCCATTTCTACAACTTCGTTGGTAGTGTCTTTACCTTTGCCGATAAATTCCATACATGTATCAGTTTGGGCACTCTTTGTCCATCTCTTCATTATGAGTGCTGGAGGAATTTCCGTAAGGTGCTCGCACTTCATTACATAAAACAGGTGGCAACACAGGATTCCTTCACTTTCATATTTCCGACATCCACACTCTATCCGCATATTTTCCCCACCGTGGTAAACACAAGTCCAATTATTATGCGGTTCACCATATTTGGACAATACCACACGACCTCCAAAATTATGCATCACATTATCATGGGTGAGTGCTGAACAAGATTCGATCTCATGACGTACCAATACAAAGCACCTATGCGTGTAAATCAGAGAAGCTTGTTGCTCCAGTTTTGTCAATGCGGTTTTAAGGACTGGTGTTGAGTACTTTGCGTTGAAACCATCCTTCGCCGTGTTATTCCTAAGACGTAACATAGCCCTATCGATTGCTGGAATACATTCAAACAACTTCACGCCTTTCCTCAAGTAATCTTTCACATACTTGTTCATGGACTCCACACGTTGAGTGGTGCACATACCACCGAAAAACTTTCCTCTCATACATGATTCAGCCCATGAGTCTCTTTTTTCATACATCATTTCCAACCATTCTTTTTGTTTCGGAGTACTCGCTCTTTCCCTCAAAACCTCCCATTTCTTCTCAAACTCGTCAAATGCAAATGGTTCCCAAATACATGCCTGAAAATTTCTTAGCAATTCATCATCCTTCAAGTTATTCTGTGCATTCCTTGACACATGCCATGAGCACAACCGATGGTTAGACATGGGAAACACATCATCAATGGCTTTACGCATCGCCTCATCGCCATCTGTCAATATTGATATTGGCTTCTTATCTTTCATGGATGCCATGAATGTTTTCAATAACCACTTGTAAGTTTCAAATGCCTCGTCCTGCAATAATGCGCAACCAAACATTACAGTAGACCGATAGTTGTTCGAACCGACAAACAACACTAGGGGCTTGTCATAAACATTTGTTTTGTATGTGCTGTCGAATATGAGGACGTCGCCATAGGCAATGTAATCCAAAAGTGAAGTGGAGTCCCTCCAAAACAAATTACCAAGCCTATTTTCCTCGTCAACACTGAACTTACAAAAGAATTCTGGATCCATTGCTCCTTTCGCTTTCAAGTAACAGAGTGCGGCTTCTGTGTCACCGTCGAGTAAAATTTCCCTGCGTGATGCATCCAACTTATTGTACAGATCCTTTATTTGAAAACCAACATTTAAATACCCGCCACATTGGTCCACCATATGCTCATATGTTTGACATGTTCTAAACAATGCTCTTCACATTCCCACTGCTTGTGCTAAATCGGATTTTCTAACGACACGGTTACATCAGAGATATGGCGATTCAAGTGGAGTAACTAGTTGATGATTGTGATGTGGTTCAAAATTCCTAACGACGTAAACATCACATTTCTTCTCATAACCCACCCAAAAATGGGCAGAACAATTCTCTCTTGTAATTGCCTTCGGTGGTCGAATTCTATCTGATCGATAATTAAACTTCTCATTTCTCAAACCTTCTTTAGAACAACACCACCGTCTCCTACATACTTTCCCTTCCGAATTTCGAACCAATTTGTCTTTTCTCACGCTAAATCCAATGCCCTTTGCATAACTCATATAATATTCTTCCGCTAATTCTATCGTTTTAAACTCTTTCCCCATAACATCTTCTTTCCTCGGTGCAATCATGTCAACACCATTATCATCACTACTTTGACTAACCATATGTTCGACCGACATATGCCCACTCTCTGTTGCCGGTGCCTTGTGACTCGACCTTTCACAACCACCCAGATACCCTGAATCACTACAACCACCCTTTGATGTCTCTACACCCTGTCCATCTTACCACACCCCTCTATGCCTGAGAAACATAATTTCAAACTGAAATTACATTATACTCTATTTGTTAATATAATTTCTCTTAACAAAACACAAATGAATAATCTCATGCAATTGCATATAGTCAGGTCAATAATTGCACCACATATAACTATTTCGCAACAAAAAACATGCAATTGGATCAACTCATTACCCAAAATACATTCAAGTCCTAAACCAGAAAAGAGGTTTCTTTGAAATCTTACTTGATGTTTCCATACTTTCAAAGTCTCCTCCTTGCACTTCCTTTTGCCACCAACTCAAATGTCGTCGTTAACAGCCAAGGATCTTCAAAATCTTTACAACCACATTGTTATTACAAATCCATTCCCCTACGAAATTGAAATTCTATATCAGACAATGCCAACAGAAGAAACTGAATTAATTCAATAACTCCAATTTGGTGACCATTTCATCATGGAGGTTGGACCCACCATCAATTCCGTATCTGCATATGAGTTTTGGGCAACCAGAGAGAAGAGTTGAGGACCTCAATTCAATGAGCATTACCTTCTTGCAGATGCGTTTTGCCCAAGCACAAATAAGAGTTGGACGCGCTTAGGATGGATTTGGGCAACTGAGAGAGATGACTTCCTGGTGAAGCAGATCCAAGAGTTCTTCAGCAAGCAAAGACAGTGGGCAAGCAGAGAAAAGAGTTCCTGGAGGAGCTAGGGATTGGATTTGGGCAAGCAAAGAGAAAAGTTCCTGGAGGCGCTAAGGATTGGATGGACTCTTAGAATTTTCGATTTTGCCAACTACAGGGGAGAGCGTGCGTCTTCTTGTCCAAACCTACGCGTCTTCTTCATCCTCCGAACCTCCCTTTCTCTTTCCTCACATGCCACTCACATGTTGAATAACTAGGGTTCAACAGGTTATTAAGTCATTCAATCTCAGCCATGCTTTTTTAACATGGAATCTCATCCGTTGGATCATCGGCTGTACCAGTACAACCGATGCACCACAGAATTTTCGTTCTTTGTTATGTCTTCTCGTTTGCTCGTCTGCTCGTCTTGAGGTCTGAGGTCTGAGGTCTAGGCACCTTCTACGGTGCACCTTGTGTATCCATGCTCCATTTGTTGTTTATGTAGCATGTGTAGTGCACATGCCAATTGAGTTGTAAAAAAATGAAAAGAAAACCTGCTATAACAAGTGGAGGTAATTGATTTGTCATCTGATATTTGAGCGGGCTGCTCTCCACAACCAAAAAAACTCCACTGCTGAAAATTTTAGCGCGCTTCTCTTCAAAACCCCAAAAACTCAACTGCTGAATATTGTGATCTCCTCCATTGGTATCTTCTGCAGTGGTTGTCAATTGTTTCCTAAGGGTTAAAACATTGGGTATCAGTTGATTTGAAGCTTTCTAAGGTTAGTATTGAGCAATCTCAATTATCTCTTACTAAGCCCTAACTCATCTCACCTCTTTTTTATGTTAATTATGTTTATGGGTAAACCCTAATCTCATCTCTCTCTTGCTAAGCCCTAACTAATCTCAAGAATTTTTAAGTTAATTTCTGTTTATGGGTAAACCTGAATCTCAACTAAGTTTTGTACCAAATATGAATTGAATATTGTGTGGGTAGGTAACCTTATTCTAAATTGTAAAATTTGAATGAAATTTAGTAGCATTGTAATTTCATATTTTACACAAAGAACAAGCATTGTAAAATTACGCATAAGAAATTCGTTGGATGTATATAATATGATTTATTGGAGCACGAAAATACAATTGCATAGGGGTCATGCAATTCATAGCTTTCTGTTTGTCAATTGGCATATGTGTTGGCATATTACTTTCTAATTGAGTTTGTTTGATATGATTGGCGAGAATGCAATTTCATATATGGTTCAATAAAAGTCCGTTTGAAAATTGGAATATGAGTAGAGATGTTATTATTTTAGTTTATTTGGTATGACTCACTAAAATGGAATTATATAAGGTTGATGCAATTTGTTTCTATGATTTGGCAATTGCATATGAGTTAACATATGTTATGTGGTGAAGATTCCTCCATTGATTGGTAGCTATTTACTTAAGGTTTAAAGCACTTAGTTTGAAGTTTTGTAAGGGTAGTATTGAAGAATCTCATTTTATCTCTTGATAAACCCTATAACCTTTTGTAAAATTAGTATTGCGTAATATGACTTGTGTTTTACTAAACCCTAATCTCACCTCTTTAAGTTTATTTTTGAAAACGTAATATGAATTTCATTTTTGCGGGTGGGTAACCTTATTACAAATTGCAAAATAGTCTTTACAATCAGTAAGGTGAGAACAACCATTAAAAGTGTTTCGTGATGCCTCATGTTGGATATGTAGAAAGTGATATAGTATAGCACGAAAATGCAATTGCGTAGGGGTAATACAATTTCATTGCACCTGGTTGGCAATTGATATATACATGTTATTTTTCGATTGTTTATTTGATAAGACTACTTTTTGTTTTGTTTAATATGTTGTGTTCTTGGATGTTCGAACTATGGAATGGATTGAAAGATTTAAAAAATAATGGGTTGAAGTTAATTTCGTTCACATATTATTAAAAATTGTAAAATTTTCATGAAAGTGGATAGCATGAGAACAAACATTGAGATTGTTTTGGATGCCTGACAATTACGTTGAATGGGAATTTTACAATGCCTAAGGGTCTTGCAATTTCATATCTCCTTTGGTCATTGCATATGAGTTGAAATATTATTTTCCCATTGATATGAGTTAACATGTTATTATTTGATATAGTTTGACAATTTGCATATGAGTTGACATGTTATTATTTTCTATTGACTTTATTTGATATATAAAATGTTTTTCTTGTTTAATGCAGGCTCATCGTTAATTGGAATTATAAAATAGTGAGAAAGAACAGTGATGTGCATAGTAAGGGCAAAAATCCAAAAACAACAAAAGACGAATCCAAGATGGTGATTCATCGCAAGACCGGTTATTTTAACTTTCTGTAAGTGTTAAACGTCTCTTCCAGTATATTAAGTACTTTTTATAAGACTAACTAAATGTGAATGTTTTAAATAGGAAAACAAAGGGCGATGAAATGAAGGCACAAAAAATAGTGGAGAAAGTGGATATGAAAGTGATAAATTGTAAACAATACATTTAAATAGAGACGTTACAGCTCACAATTTATAATGAATTGATTGAATTTTATTATTTTCTTCCTCAGACGAAGAAGGAAATCGCTAATATGTGGCAAAAGTTGGATGCTACTCAGAAAGCAGAGTATGAATCTAAAACACCTTCAACGAATGCCTCGAACAAGAGTTGTTTGAAGATAGCCACACGATGCAGTCCGAAGGATATAAAGGACACTATAAATGTTTTAAGTGATGAGAAAAAAGAAGCCATTGAAGAAATGGGATTTGTTTCGTTGTTGGAAATGAAGTGCCGAAAACTGTCACATTCAATGTGTCATTTTTTGGTTGATAAATTGAATCCTCTGAATCATCAATCATGCTACATGGGAAAACATTTAAGATATCTGTGGATGACTTCGTGCGCATAATAGGTGTTAAGGATGGAGGAGAGGAAGTTGACTTCACTGGATCTATGGATGACCAAGACATTGTAAAGGTGCGAAATTCTTTTTTGGGCAGGAAGAAGCTTTTAAAAAATAATGAGTTGAAGCAGATACTGGTGGGGACAGAAGAAGCAGGTGACTTTTTCAAAGTTGGTTTTGTCACGTTTGCTTTATGCACGTTGCTATGTCCAAAAAAGAGGCTGAAAAATGAAGAAGTGACTACAAAAAAGAGGGGGGTTTGAAAGTGATAAGGTAGTTGTTATGGAAACTGAATATGGAGGTCTTGGAGATGATGCCAAAACAATGACTCACTTTGCCGGAGAGTTAAGTTCAATACGAAAGGATGTGGCAACTTTGGTGGCCACTATTGCTCGTATGGACGAATCGCTCTCCAATATTATGTCTGTGTTATCATCAAAAATGAAGAGAAAGAAAGAACATTGCGCACTCCATGCCCTCATGAACTGGAAGTTAAACTGAAGAAGGAAGATGATAACATGCTTGATATGGGGTGTGATGGGGGACAAAAATTCCTTGGAAATACTAAACCTCCAAAAAGTAGGCCAAACAAAGAAAACGGAACTCCCAACGAGCAAGATGACAATGTTAAAGGATTTGCAACTGTTGATAAAACTTCGGCTCCCTCTATTGAAGTCATCCGTGAAAGAAAACATGCAAAACAACCTCAGAATGAGGTATGATGAGTATTGGTTGTAGCTTGTTTGTATGCATTTTCATATTTTCACTTGTTGGTTTACATGTTTGGATGATGACAATTATCGAGTATTTGATTTGCAGAAATCATTGTACTATGGATTACGTTGTATTTTTATTTGGTTTTCTCCCAATGTAATAACAAAGTTAGGTGTCCTTATTTTATGCAAATTCTTTGTATCATCTAATATATGTTTGTTTCAGTTATATTGATTTGTAAATGCTATTTTGTAATGATTTGTGGCCACTAGGATAAAATGGGTCACAACAAAGTTAAAAATTTGTTCTTAGAGAATTGTAGTTCAACTTCAACAAGGGATCCGATAGTGACGCGTGCAACAGCGAATAGAAAGCCGGGTCCCCACAAGAGAACTCCTTATGAAGACATCAATGAGTTGAAAGCTAAAGCAAATGCAAAAACCCGACAAGTAATTGCTCACGAGCAGATTATGAAGAGATTGGGTGTCGGTCCATTCCGGATGACCAACGATATTTCTGAAGATGATAGAGATCTACTAAGTTTGCATTTTGTTGCAATCCATTGGATCCAAAAGTTTGGACCTATACCCTGAACCAAATTTGTGAAATGAATTTTTATATGTGTTGTTATAATGACATAAGAACAATTGATTAGAACGACTATTTTTTCTGTTTGACAGTGAACTACTCGTTGACACTGGGGCTGTAGCTATAGATCATCACCATTTGAGAAGCCTTGCCCCTGGGTCACCTCTCTTTGATGATGTGAGGACTATGCATCGAATATGTATTTAACTACTCATTAGTATATGTTTGGAATGTCGGTACTAGGATGCTAACCATCGTGTCTTATCTTGTAATAGATAATCAATGTAATGGCAGACTATTTATATGATACCACCTCCACAAAATGGTTCCTACCTACGTATTTTTGGTCGGTAAGTAAATGGGTAAGATTACTGAAGGATATTTTTTGGTTAAAGGTGATGTGTTATATCTCATAAAATACAGGAATGCGCCAAGTTCGCACGTCCCAGTGATCGTATGACATCATGTGCTAGGACACACAACTTTTGTCTCGCAAGATTTAATGGGCGACTGAAGGATTGCATGCAGGTGGGTTTCGTATGCAAGCTCCAATAATATCAATTATCGGTGATAATGAATATACCACTTTTTTGCAGATCTATATTCCGATGCACGAGGATGTAATTGGTCACTGGTATCTTTTTATTTGTGACATTTTCCATAAGAAAGCTGAAATTTGGGATAGTTTACCTGATGCGCGTCACAATAAGAAACGCGAGAACGATTGCCATATTAGTGTAAGTGGATAAGCTTTTGTTCAATGCAAGTATACGTATTTCATTTGCTCAATGTTACTAATGTTGACTATGTTCTTGTACCTAGACTCTGTTTTTCATGATGACATATTGTCGATATTTGGGACGGAGTGGACATTCTCCTTCTTTTCTGTTGTGTCCCCATTGAATGTCAATCCCATCCAACCTAATGGTGTGAATTGTGGCATTTTTGTCATAAGACACATGCAATATTATTGTCAATTGTGGTATGACCGGGTATGCATTGCGCATGTGCTATTTTTATGGTATAAATGTTTAATACGTAATGAAACGCTAAAGTTTTTTTTTTGTTGGTTGTAGTACGACTCTAATGAACAACAAATGCGACTTGCTATTGAGTTGGTCCGAAATGAAAAAAATCTATTGTGTGATGCAATAACACGTGAAGCATTGAAAGTGATGGAAAATGGATCTGATTTTATGGCGAAGGGGAACAAGATTGGTAATGTTGAGGTTAAAGACATGGATGTGGCAGATGTGACCGTTAGAAGAAAGAGGGTTTATATTCGGAAACAAAAAAAATCAGCAGTGACTATACCAAAAACACGTACAGGCCGCAGTCAGCCTAGACCTCGGCGCCACTAACAAGGTTAGGTAATGTGACTCTAATGACTGACCAGTATATATTTTTGTGAGGTTAGATCTAATGCTGTGATGGTATTGGTTTTGATGCATACCCTATATTTTTGGAAGGAGGGTCACCATGGTATAACATGACAACTTATTTGTTTTTTGTAAAGTGGTTTTCAAAGGCTTGTGACCATGGTTAGGTAGGACACCTTTCTTTGTACTTCTAGGTCGATTGTCCTATTTGGTGTCCTTATTTCGGTTTCCATATTATATAGATTATGACTAGCACATGGTGTGAAAATGTAATAGAGGATGTGAACATGCAATTTGGTGAAGTTAATATGTTAACTTTGTTGGGTAACCATATGTACGAACAATTGATGAAGTTAATATGTTAACTTTATTTTGCGCTGCTAGCCTTGGTTCTGTTTCTATTGCAAGTTATGATGGTCATTCCAATGTTTTGGTCTTTAGCGGATTTACCATATTCGGTGACAGTAATTGCCAAATCAGGGGACTGTAATTTATTGTTTCTGGAATCCAATTGCATTTCAATGTGCAATTACTGCTTTTTGTTTGGCAATTGACAAACAGTACCTATGTATTTGTAATTCAAATGTGCGTAATCCTACTGCCCATTTGGTAATTGGTAAACTACAGTGTGCAATTCCTGCCTCCTGTTCAATCGTTCTCCCTTTCCATGATTGAAGTACCTAAACGTAAAACAATGACTTTTAGTGCAAATCACACAAAACCTAAAGAAAATATTTTTTTACTTTATATTTAAATATTAACAAAAAAAAATGACCACATCGCATTATGTAAAACCCAAGTAATGTAATTCACAAATGTAAGGATATCGTTTACTAATTTGTGGAATGCCTATGTCCATAATAGTGTACTGTTCGTGCTTATTGTTGCAACTATTTGTTCTTACAAGGACAAGGACCCAATTTACTCCTCCAAGGTTCATTATTACCTTCACATTGCCTTGGGGGTCATTTCCCTTGTAAATTACAGTATTACGAGATTAACTATGACTTTTACAATGTAATGGAACGAGTATGTCCATTTTAGTATAATACAAATCCTTAATGTTGTAACCACCACCTTGTTTACAAGGATAATGACTGAATTTACTCTGCTAAGGTTCATTCTTACCTTAACATTGTATTCGGGGTCATTTCCTTTGTATATTACGCTATTACATGTATAAGGATCCCTCTTATACATTTATGGAAGCCATGGGTCCATATCAATATAAACAAAGTCCTATATGTTGTAAAGCCCCATGTTTACAATCGCAAGGACCAAATTGATTCCACCAAGGTCCATGCTTACCCTATTCTTATACAAGAGTTCCTTGTTGTTGTAAATGATGGTATTACGAGATTAAGAATTACTTTTACAATGTAATTGAACGAGTATGTCCACTTTAGTATAATACGAATCCTGAATGTTGTAACCACCACCTTGGTTACAAGGATAATGACTACATTTACTCCTCTAAGAGCATCTCCACCCACAAGGGCTAAGTCTAAGGCAAGGGCAAGCAAGGGCTGCCACTATTCACGTGAATAGTGTCAGCCTTTGCATTTGTGGTTCCACCCACAAGGGCAAAGTCTAGGGCAAGTCTAAGGCAATTACTATTCATTGTACTTTATTTCCTAATTTTTTTATACTTTAAACCATTAATTTTGATAATCTTTTGTAATTAAATTTTCGGATAAGATTTTCACCCTCTAAAATTGTGCCACGTGTCCCATGTCAGATACGATTTTCAGATATTGAAAAAAAAATTATAATATCAGATTTCAGATAAAATTTTCAACCTCTAAAATTGTGCCACGTGTCCAATGTCAGATAAGATTTTCAGATATTTTAAAAAAATTATAATCTCATATTTCAGATAAGATTTTCACCCTCTACAATTGTGCCACGTGTCAAATGTCAGATAAGATTTTCAGATATTTAAAAAAAATTATAATATCAGATTTTAGATAAGATTTTCATCCTCTAAAATTGTGCCACGTGTCATCTCTATCTTCTAAATCCCTCTATAAAACTACACCATCAACTCATACCTCTCACACCATCTCTTATCTATTCCTTCATTTCTCAGATTTTAGAAAACACATTCTACTCTCAATTATGCTTTTTATTATTATGCTTTTATGTATGGTTTGTTTTGTGTGTTGTTTGCAATAAATGAAGGTTTTTTTTAATTAATATTTGTTTTGATGCTCAAATGTTTTTAATAAATAGTCATTTTATTTAATGCTTTTTTTATTGAATAAAAAGGAAACAATACAACAAATTAAAGGATAATACAACAATACAACATATGGCAAAGGTGTTTCAATACAACCTAATGGTTTTCATAATTTAACCAATCCGTATTGCTAGGTCCGTCGTCATGGAAAAGTTTTTTTCTCATCACATCTCTTCGTCGTAGCTTCCAATAGGCCTTTGTTTCGGGAGACATATGGCTCGTATCCATGGCCATGATTTTCATCTCTCTATCCTCTATGTCTTTTTCTTGTGCCATTTGTTGTTGCATAACAAAAGCTTCCTCTCGTGCCATGTCCATTTCATCTCTTTTCAAGTCTCTCTCCATTCTTAGTGAGGTGCTCTTAGCTATTTGCTCCAATAATTGTACACATTCATTGGTCGAAGTGCCCCCTCTCTTGGCCTTTGCCGCCTTTCTCCCAATAGGTCTCGGCGGACGTGGCACAAATGGTGACTCCGTTTCCATTGGGGAGTCCAATGGAGAATCGGTTGATGTCGAATCGTGGAGTGGCGTCTCATTCATCACAACCGGCGGACCGGTGGGAATAATTTTGAATCTCGAACAATCCTTCACAATTTCCCAACAATGGAAATGCACGAAACTTTTTTTGCCTTGCCCCATGGCACCGAACCACATTTGTGCTTGTATCATCTATTAAAAATAAATAATTGGAAGTGCAAGAAACAAAAATTATTATGCAAGAAAATATAAACTATTTTGAAATGCAAAAATAAAATTGATTATGCAAGAAAATATAGACAAATTAAAGGTGCACCAAGAAAAAAAAATATGCAAGAAAAACAAATAGAATATGCAATAAAAAAAAGTGACATTGAATTGATTAAAATGGCAATTATAAATATTTTACCTCATCGGTCAAATTTTGACCGCTTTGAATGTTCGCCTTTGCTTTTGTCAAGGCATTTCTCCATTTCCCTAACTCTTTATTCAGAAGTTTCCATCTACTAGACAACGCCATTTCGGTCCGAATAGAACCCGATCTTTGACAAAATTCTCCATGAATTTTGCTCCACATGTGATGAAACTTCATCTCATTGCCCGTGATAGGGTCATGACTAATGTTCACCCAAGATTGACACAACGCAATATCTTCATTCGTTGACCACGAGCCTCCGACTTCAATAGAAGATGCCATTCGTTTTTTTTATACAAATGGAAAGTAGTAGAAAAATGTGAGTGGAGAGTAAAAAATATTGGAAGGAGAAGAGTTTGTATGGAGAATTGGTGTGGAAGTGAAAAATGTGAGTGGAGATAAAAAAATATTGGAAGGAGAAAAGTTTGTATGAAGAATTGGTGTGGAAAGTGAATAATGTGAGTAAAGAGTAAAAAATATTGGATGGAGAAGAAATTGTATGAAGATTTAGTGTGGAAAGTAAATAAAATGGTTAGGTATTTATAGAGAAAAAATACAGAATTTTTGGGTATTTTTTTAAAAAAAATTTCAGAATTTTTTCGAATTTTTTTGCAATTTTTTTAGCCAAAAAAACGAGGACCGTCGGATTTTTGGAAAAAAGCCATCCGAGAGTCCCCGTCGCGCCACGTGGCAAACGCCCGTTGGAGCTGTCAAGTGGTGACGTCAGCGCTGGCGTCACGCTGACGCCAGCGCACGGAAGTCAAATTTTTTTACCGTTGGTGCGTGTAATTCACGCGCCAACGGTAAAAAAAATTTGAGTTATCGTGCGCTGGCGTCAGCGTGACGCCAGCGCTGACGTCACCAAACTCGGGCTTCAGCCCGGGCAAGACTTGCCCTTGGGCTTCCTCGGGCTCGTGGGACCCACCATGAAATCGGGCTACGGGTCCTGCGCTGGAGCCATCTCGGGCTCTCTCTGGCAGCCTTTCACCCAGTTTGGGTTGGGCGCTGGAGGTGCTCTAAGGTTCTTTTTTCTTTGTATTGGGGGTCATTTTTCTTTGTATTAGATGTCCTTATCTTTGTAAATTATGATATTACAATTGACTGGATGGATTTTACAATTTCTGGAACATAACTATCCATATAGAGTAATACAAGACCATAATATTGTCAACATCCAAGTTTACAAATATAAGGACCCAATTTACCTTCCGAATGTTCCCCTTTACCCTAATATTGTACTTAATGTCTTTATTTTTGTAAATTACGATATTACAAGATTAAGGATGCATTTTACAATCTTATGGAACATGACTGTCCTAATAGAGTAATATGAGACCTTAATATTGTAAACATTTGTGTTTACACGCATAAGGACTCAATTTACTTTTGTAATGTCCCTAGTTACCTTAATATTGTACTAGATGTCCTTCTCTTTATAAATTAGGATATTACAAGATTAAGGATGAGTTTTACAATTTTCTGGAACATAACTATCCCAAAAGAGTAATACAAGACCTTAATATTGTAAACATCCCTGGTTACAAGTATAAGGAACCAATTTACTTTCCGATTGTTCCCCTTTACCCTAATATTGTACTACATGTCTTTATCTTTGTAAATTACGATATTACAAGATTAAGGATGCATTTTACAATCTTATGGAACATAACTATCCAAAACTGAGTAAAATGAGACCTTAATATAATAAACGCATGTGTTTACACGTATAAGGACCCAATTTAATTTCCTAATGTCCCTAGTCACCTTAATATTGTACTAGATGTCCTCTTTGTAAATTACAATATCACAACACTAAGGATGAGTTTTACAATCATAACTATCCATAAAAGAGTAATATAAGACCTTAATATTGTAAACATCCGAGTTTACAAGTATGAGGACCCAATTTACCATCCAAATGTTAATATTGTACTACATCTCTTTAGGTTTGTAAATTATGATATTACAAGCATGCCAACCCAACCCCGCCCCAATTATAGTCTTTTATTTCTTCAACTTTAGCAAGGCTTGGCATGTAATATAAGTACACAGAATCACTCTTATCATTGCACAAACTGTTGCCAAGCACTGCAAGAATGAAGACACTCGTTAACTGCTCTTCTTGTTCAGGGGTTTGGGGCTTCCACCTCTTGTACTTATTAACAATGTCCCTGTATTTCATTTTGGCATTGAGGATGCTTCGAATGGGGGTCCCAAAGAGCCTCACCAACTCCTCAATTTTGGCATGAGCCTCCTTGTCATACTTTAAAGACTTCCCACATACGGGTAAACCCGTGATGGCACTAAAGTCCTTTGGGGTCATGGTAAGGTCCCCAACTTCATCTAGATGGAATGTATGTGTTGTGTCCTACCACCGCTCCGCCAATGCCATCAGGAGGTGTTTGTCTCTTCTTCCCTTTGTTCCAAGTAAAATTGCAAAGTCTGCAAACCCCGCAAAAGCTACTTTCTCCTGCACTCGATGAGGCAATTCATGCTGATACCATAAACCACATAGTGTTGTTTCCGCAGCCCTTAATGTGTGTCAAAGTATTCTGCAAGTATTAATAATAGCATTAGATGCAAGTACAACAAGGCAAACTTTGTGTTAAGTAAGTGCATATTTCTTAATTTCATCCAATCGCCATACAGTAGGCAGGTAATTACATATGTGAAATCCAATTGCGCACACTTTAAATGCAATTGGATGGTGTTCAGTAAGTGCATATTTCTTAATTGCATCCAATCGCCTAACAGTAGGCAGGTAATTACATATGTGAAATCTAATTGCGCACACTTTAAATGCAATTGGATTTATGAACCATCCAATTGCTAGACAGTATACAGGTAATTGTAAGTGTGAAATGCAATTGGATAATTACCTTATAAGATAAATGGTCAAAGACATTGACATGTAGCACAGGATCCGATGAGTTGTGGTTCTTGTGTGTGTATCGCCTCACGCCAAACAAAGGGTGATAAGCAGGATTTGAGTGGTATGCTGTGGAACTGGAACCCCACTCACTGGTTACAACAGAACGGTTGTTGTTTCTCTTTGATGCCTTGTTCTGCGCCACCGGTGTAGGAACTACACCTTTGCCTTTGCAGCGATTCTGGGAAGTTGACTTCTTCGTCGAGGGCTTCTTCCCCATATTCACAACTGAAAGGCCTGAAAAAAAATACAAAACCGGTAAAGAAAAAATAATAACAATCATACCAAAAACCGTAGGAATAGAACGCAATATAAATCTCAATTGGAATTGGGCCTAGGACATAATCCTGAAACCCAAATCGTGAAGTCCTAAAAGAATGGCTTAGAATTTGCAATCGTAGGCAGCATGACATAATATGGGCAAGATAGAAGTATCCCTATGAACCAAAAACAAAGAAGAAAACACGTCCTCTTGGTTTTTGTAATCTATTTTGAACTACAGTATGTACTGTTACCTGCTTCTCTATCTGTCCCTTGCCTTTTTTTTTTTTTTTTTTTTTTTTTTTTTTTTGAAATAAAAAAATTGATTAAGAAGAGAACAGAACAATACAAGGGACAAGTTCTCACTGGTCTAGCTATACTAGGTAAACAACTTAACCAAGATAAATAATAATAATAAAAGATAAAAATAAGCAAGCATATAAACCTTTATGCATATTACACCAGAGCAGACCCACTAGTTATTTCCAATAACACAATTTGTCACAGAATTAAGTATCATAACAATGCATCATATGATACATGAATGCCTACTCGGAAGAGTACAAACACACAGAAAAATTACAGTCTCAAACTTTGACACAGGCATTTCATCAACCATTGCAGTCAAGCACAACCTCGTGATCAAAGTTCATATCAAAATGAAGACTTTCCCAAAATAAAAATTTTGACAAATGGAAAAAAATTACAGACAAAAATCTAAAATCGCCAAATTAAAATCAATTTTCAATAAGGGCAGCCATGGCAGTAAGTGATTCAAAATCCTTTAAAATTTCGAGCAGACAAAAGGATAACTCACTGAAAAGTTTGAAGCTTTGGGAGTTGGAGAAGTAAACGTGCAAGAGTTTGCGATGTTGAAGAGCTCCTGGAGGTGCCTGTGAATGTCGTGCTTCTGAGAATCTGAGGCAGTGACCGGTTAGGTTGAAGAAATGTTTCTTGTTCTTGGGCTAGAAGGCCAATCTAAACAGTAAAACCCAATACACCCAGTTCTAACTAGACCTAAAATCTGTAGTTTAACAATGGAATGACTATATCTGACTATATCTGACAAAGATTGGTTGTTAACTATGTCAAATTTGTAGTTTAACAAACACTAAGAATGACTATATCTGACAAACTCAATTATGAAAGTTTGATGGTGAAAACATTCTGAATTGGACAATGAAAGTGATGAACAGACAATGTGCAATTGCCATTTCATGTTGCAAAATCATATTGATTGTTTGGCAATTTCCAAAGAACTCCACCATATCATTTTTCCCATTTTTCATGTATCTTCATAATTAAGCACTTAACCTAAATATGAAAAACAATGGAATTTATTGCATTTAACCATTCTAATCATGCAAAATCATAATAAAATATCAATATTAATGTATCAAAACTCCTACATGTAACATTAACATAGATACAAAATAACACTAATGATATATGTCATGCCAAAAGTTGGAGAAATACATGAACAATATGGTTGTAATGAATATTTAGTACATAAAACCTAAACCATATATATAGTAGAAGTACTACAATCCATGTCATTTTATTGGGGTGAATGGAACCCAAAATCTATTACAATCTCTAGGTGGCGAGTCTTGTGTGTCAAATTGTGATTCCAATACACTATACTCAGGTGTCTCAAAGGTGAAACCATCAGAGGTGTAATGAGTGGAGCCACTAGGTACACTTCGCCACATAAGAAGCCTGAGTTAGGGGTTGTATAAGAAGAGGACAACGTCTTAGTCCCATGAACACCACTCGAGGGGGAATAAAATGTTTTGTTCCCAATAGTTGTATCATCTTATGGTCCAAAACTAGAAAGAATATTGCTCCTGTCACTTGTATAACCCCTTTTCTGCTTACCTCCCTTACCAACAATGCGATTTGGAAAGTTTCTTTTGTTGTGACCAGTAACCTTGCACTCTCCGCATTGTGGGGCCTTTTTGCCTTTGCTTCCCGTTGTTTGCTTTCCTTTTGTCTTAGCAACTATGGGGTCTCTTACAACATTATTATGGCATCCTAGATTAAGACTAGTTTACTCATGTTGCTCCTTCCATGTCTCAACCAAAGTATTTAATCTCCCAAATTAAGCATTTAGTCTCTTGTAAGCGACTTCTGTCTGCGACCCATAAAAACAAAGCTTGTTAAAATCAGCGCTTAATGACCCAAACCTAGCCATTTGAATAGTTTCGTTGGGAACATCATCCGACTTGACTACAAATTCACTCCCACGTCTTGCATCCTTTGTCCATCTCTTCATTATTAAGTTCGGAAGTATTTGATCCATATGATCACATTTCATGACTCCAAACATATGACAACACGGAATTCCAATGGATTCAAATAATTTGCACGAACACTGCAGATGTTGCTCTTTCTTGTAGTACACTACGGTCCATTTCTCATCGGGTCTTCCAATTTTGGAAAATGTGTAAACACGAGGATCTTCATTGTTTCTTACGAGTTGCACGAGAATTTATTTTGCCTCCTTGTTTATCTCATTTCTTATCAACTTGTAAATGTCGTAAGTGAAAATAGAAGCTGCATGTTCCTCTAGTGATCGAAGGTGCGTACGAAGGAGTGGTTGTGAATTGTTGGAATCAAAGTCATCCTTCACATTATCATTTCTCAACCTCAATAATGATCTTTCAATCCGTGGAATACACTCCACTAACCTCATGCCTCTACCAATTACATCCTTCAAATTCTTATGCACACCCTCGACACGTTGTGTGGTGGTATTCCCACCAAAAAAATGCCCCGAGCAGTACGCTTCAGCCCATCGTTTCCGTTTACAATACATCATCTCAATCCAATCACCTTTTAGATCATATGTATCTATCATTTGCTGCCAATGTTGTTTGAATGCCACTGGTGTCAAACCACCATGCACACAATAGCTAAACTCCCTTACAATTTATGGGTTATTCACATTGGTGTTCACATTCCTCATGATGTGCCATGTACATAAACAATGATGTGCATCGGGAAAAACTTCATCAATCGCTATGCGCATTGCCTCATCCCCGTCCGTGACAATAGATATAGGCTTCTTGTCCTTCATAGAAGTCAAAAAAGTTCTGAGTACCCAATGATATATATCAGCAATCTCATCAACAAGAAATGCACAACCAAAAACTGTAGTCGCGTTATGGTTGTTTACACCAACAAACACCACTAAAGGCTTGTCATATACGTTGGTTTTGTACGTGCTATCAAATATCACCACATCCCCAAAGCAACAATAATCATGTAGAGACTGAGAGTCTCTCCAAAACAAATTTGCCAATCTATTCTCCTCATCTACACTAAACATGCAAAAAAATTCCGGGTCCGCTATTGCCTTGGAATTCATGTAGCTTATTGCTGCTTGTGCATCACCATTCAATACCACTTGTCGATGCTCGAAATCCATCCTGTTATATAAATCCTTACTGGTGAACCTCACTTTTATGTATCCACCTGCTTGGTCAACCATATAGTCGTATGTCCGATTGGTTTTAATAGAGGCTTTTCTCATAGACATAGATTGTGCTATGTTAGATTCCATAACACACCGGTGCAAACGAAGAAAAGGCACCTCACGTGAGTTAGCAAGTCGGTGGCTGTGCTTCTTTACAAATTTAGTCACAATATAAGCATCCCGTTTAGGACAATACTTCACAGAAAATGTAGCACGACAATTTTCTCTAGTCTCTTTCCTTGGTGTATGAACCATATCATCTCTATTTCGTCCATTTCTTTGATCTACTCCCTTCTTTTGAACACACCCATTGTCTTCCCATCACAACCCCACCCTTGCTACGTCTCAAACGACTTCTTCTTATGCTAAAACCAATTGCAAGAGCATAGTTGCAGTAAAATCTTTCTGCTTCCTCAACTTTTGCAAACTCTCTCTCCGCAAAATCAGCAATGCTCATATTTTGGAAGTTTAACCCATCATACTCAAACTGTCCGCTTTTCTCAGTACTTTCTTCTGTTCTACTGTCCAAAATCTGTAAAGATGGACATTTTTAGTTTCTTCAAGTGACTCAGCCTCTGCAAAATAACCTTCACTGTTAGGGACAGAGTTTTGGCCCTGAATTCCATTCGTGTTACTTGTTTTTGCTTCCATTTCCTGAAAATAGGCAACATGTCTTTCATGGCATAATTAATATGAAAATAAATGGATACACATCAATTGCATTTAGTAGAAATATAAACATACAATTAAATTATGAAGGATTAGTCCTTACTGAGAGATTCTACATTTCATAATTGTGCACATATAATGGCAATTGCGTGACAAGAATGCAAACAGACTGTTCTGTTTGTCAATTGCAAGACTATAATGCAATTAGAAGTAACTATTTGTCAATTGCAAGACTATAATGCAATTAGAAGTAACTGTTTGTCAATTGCATTGACAACTCACATATGTTCTCAAAATGTAAGAAGCTACCAATAACATGGCAATATGGATACAATAACTGCAAAATAGGACTAACTAATTGGTAATTGGATTCAAAATGACATATTGAAGTCCCTCTTACATTTCCATTACCAAAATGCAATGCTACAAATATCATGGCATTTGCAATACAATTAACAAATTCTATCTAATGTTTTTCAAATGAGTCACAAACTTTTCAACATCAACAATATGCCCAACATTAAAGAAGAGAAAGATATTTACATTGATCATATTGTGTTTCTTGTCTGTGAAATAACTCAAATTACAATGGTTTTCTTTTCAGCAAATCAAAAACCCATTTACTTCTGCTTAGTTGCTTCTTGGGCTGCATTAATTTCTGCTTAATTTTTCTGGTTTTCTTTTCATTACATAATTACTTGATTTCATAGAGGGAAAATTACCCACAGAAATAGCTGGTTTTCTTTGAGCAGATCAATATAGCAAAATGTTATATTGCTGGTATTTGGAAACTCAATTGTGGACAAGGATAAACTACTATAAAGCTATTAATTTTACCTTTGCATTGGCCACTTCAATATGTTTCAGCAACAACAACTAGTTTCCACTGGTTTTTTGTAAACCCTAAACCCAAAATGCCCAGCCACCGAGATTTAAGATCTTCTCAATTTCATCTCCAGAATCAAACGATTCACATGTAGGGGAAGAGAGGTAGAGATGAAAGAGAAAGTGCCGTTGGTGGGATTGCTTTAGAGATGAGTACGATTATGATGCTTTAGAGGTCTATGAACCGGATCCAATGAACACGGCCTTGACACAGATTTATGAAAGGCCCATGGGGCCAAGTGGAGAACCGTTTGAGCCGGAACCGTTGGTGAGGGATGGTTGTTTCATGACCTGGATGATAGATCGATATATAGAGATGCAATCTTCGTATATTCATGAAAGGCGTCAAGTTGACTTGATGGAGCATCTATGGGCGTTGGAAGGCAATGAAGATGAATGATGGAGCATAGATGCTTTGGTTATGTTTTATTTAGTTTATGGTTTGGTTGTGTTGTTTTTTATTTATTATGGTTTGGTTGCGGTTTGTTATTATTATTGTGCCTTGTTTGTAGTTTTTTTTGTTTTAATTGTGTTTTGTTTGATGTATGGAATATGTTGAATAAAAAGGTATTTTATTGAATGCTTTGTTTATTAAATAAAGAAATCCAATGCAAGTCATTAAAAATAAAATACATGAATTACAACTTTAATAGAAAACATGAAAAATACAAATACATAAAAGGTATGCCAACTAATTTAATGGTTTTCATCATTTAACCAATCCGTGTTGCTAGGCCCATCATCCCGGAAAAGTCATCTTCCCATAACATCCCTTCGTTCTAGCTTCCAAAATTGTTTTGTTTCAGGGGACATATGGCTTGTATCCATCGCCATGGTTTCCCGATCTGTCTTGTCCATATCTTTTTTGCCCAAATACTCCCTTTCTCGTGCATACTCGGCTTGAATTGCCATCTCGTTATCTTGGCGTTTCTGCTCCATTTCAATTCTTATGCCGTTCTGCCTTGCAATTTCCTCCAAAAGCTTTGAATTATTATTGCTTGAATTACCCGCTTTATTTGCCTTCGCAGCCTTTCGGCCAATGGGCCTCGGCTCCTTTTCGATGGGTGAGTTTTGACTCATAGGGGAATCGAGAGGTGAATCCGATGTCGTTGAATCACAGAGTGGCATCTCGTTTAACACAACGGCGGGATCCATGAGTTTTTTTTTTTTTTTTTTTTTTTTTTTTTTTTTTTTTTTTTTTTTTTTTTTTTTTTTTTTTTTTTTTTTTTTTTTTTTTTTTTTTTTTTTTTTTTTTTTTTTTTTTTTTTTTTTTTTTTTTTTTTTTTTTTTTTTTTTTTTTTTTTTTTTTTTTTTTTTTTTTTTTTTTTTTTTTTTTTTTTTTTTTTTTTTTTTTTTTTTTTTTTTTTTTTTTTTTTTTTTTTTTTTTTTTTTTTTTTTTTTTTTTTTTTTTTTTTTTTTTTTTTTTTTTTTTTTTTTTTTTTTTTTTTTTTTTTTTTTTTTTTTTTTTTTTTTTTTTTTTTTTTTTTTTTTTTTCCCCCCCCCCCCCCCCATTTTTTTTTTTTTTGTCCCTCCCTGAGATTGTAACTTGCTTATCTCCTTGGGAGAATTACCTTCTGAAAAGACAGGGAAAAAAAATCTCTGAGTATGTATATATATATATCATGTATGTGTGAGAGGGATTTGATCTTTAGCTTTTCCAGAATCAATCTTGATATTATGAACCCTTCAATTACTTCTCCTGTGACAGTTGCCATTGCTGACTTTTCTTTTTTCAGAGAGGTCACGTGGGATTGTTCCTACTTCTGGGCTTTCTTCTTTCTTTTATATTGGGTTTTGGGCTGGTCTCCTCTGGCTTTTGGGCTTCCATCTTTCTTTGATTTTTTGCAGCTTCATTCCGGGCCTAAATTTTGCTGGGCTGGGTATGCCAATTAGTGGCCCAAACAATAAATAATACCCAATTTTTATCAACCAAAACCCATGACTGGGATCCAACTTATCAAGTTACCTTATTAAGCTCAATATCTGATTTATTATAATTTTAAGGTTCTCAAAATACGCTTATCTACAATTCAAGATGTAATGGGATGGTGTTTTAATTTTTGGTTCCCCAATTTATTGTGGTGATTCCCTCTAGAGTTTTTGTTTGCAATTAATTATCGGTTTTGATTATGGGGTTGATTGGCATATTCATACATTTTGATTATGGTTTTAGTTTGGAGATTGACTCAATACCAAATATTTATGAGGATAAAGAGAGTGGATTAGGATTTATACATGATTCTGTTTATATATATATATATATATATATGTTTAACTGTATACTCTTATACAATGATCATAGTTGAGTCCATGTTTGTTAGTTCGATAGGTAAATTATTTGACGTTTTTCATTTCCTAATATAGCAATGTGTTTTCAATATGAGGTTCATGTCTGTGAACTGTATACTCTGTGGAGTATTGGAGTCCGGACTAAGCAAACTTATCTCAATTTAGTTTAGTTTTTTTTTTAAAAAATCTTTTGTCTCAGGTTGTCCACACTTACATTCTCTTTTTCTGTTGTGCGGTTCATCCATTCGATAATATTACGAGTTCTTTTGTTTTAGAGCATTTCTAGCAAGGGGCCTTGGGGGGAACCCAAAATGGTGTTTCCAGCAACAAAAATCTGCCAGGGCAAGGTGTGGGCCCCAGCAACCTGGGCTAGCCCTTGGGGAGGTTCGGCCCGAGCAGCAAAACGAGTTTTGGGCTAACGTCAGCGCTGAGGTTTAAATTTTTTGTTGCACGTGCCACGTTAAAAAAAAATTTACGTGCCCGTTACAATGACCCCCCAACGGGTTTATTCCACGTGGCGAGGGCTAGGGCTGTCCAATCCACTTTTCCCAGAAATCCAACGGTAGCCATTTTTGCGCCAATAAAAAAATGAAAAAAAAAATCGAAACCCCCCCCCAACGGCTCTCTTCAACGTGGCTCCTTCTGGGCGCTCCGATTCCCTTTTTCCAGCAATCCAACGGCAGCCAATATTTTCCCAAATAAAAAAATGAAAAAAAATCGAAAAAAATTTAAAAAAATACCCAAAAAATATTATATAATTTTTTTTCTATAAATACCAACCAATACTCTTCACTTTTAACACCAACTCCTCATACATTTTCTTCTCCTTATACTATTATTCACTTTCTACTCAATATTTTTTTCACTTTCAAGTTGTATTTTTCTAGAAAAATTTATGGGTTCTTCTAGTGAAACCGGAGGGGTATGGAGCGTGATGGAAGATGTTAGCTTGTGTGAGTCTTGGCTCCACATTAGTCATTGTCCCGTAATGGGCAATGAGATGAAATTCTGTCATATGTGGAAAAAAATTCATCAGGATTTTTGTGAAAGGGTAATTGGTTCAACCCGTACAGATCAGGCACTATCTAGTAGGTGGAAAATTCTTAACAAAGAGTTGGCAAAATGGAGGGATGCCTTGGCAAAGGCGATAGACAACCATAGAAGCAGGGAAAACCTTACCAGTGGGGTAAATTATTTGTAATTTTTGTTTTATTAATTTCTATGTCATATTAAATTTTATTTAAATGTTTCTTGCAATTTATATATTTTGTTAATATTTCTTGTATTTTCAATATTAATATGAATGTTTGTTGCAATATTTATATTTTGTTTTGCATTTCTAATAAATTGTTAAAGTTTATTGTATTTCCATTATTTTATTTTTTTATACTTGTTGCATTGCCAATAATTTTTAAAGTTTCTTGCATTTCCATTTTTTTATTTATAGATTATACAAGCACAAATGTTTTTTGGTGCTACTAGTTAAGGAAAAAAAAGTTTCAACCGTACCCTATGTTGGGAGGTGGTGAAGAATTGTAAGAGATTCCAAATTATTCCAACGGATCCGACGGTAGTCTTGAACGAGACGCCACTCTATGAGACACCGGCATCGGATTCACCTATGGATTCCCCGATGAGTCAAGACTCACCTATCGATAAGGAGCCGAGGCCTATTGGGAGGAAGACGGCGAAGGCGAAGAGAGGGAGTAATTCTACCAAGAATGCATCTAAATTTTTGGAGGAACTTTCAAAGTTGCAAGCCATGAGAATTGAAATGGACATGAAACAACAAGAGCACGATAGGGCAATTGATGTAGAAAATGCAAAAGAAAGGGAGTATGTACGCCAACAAAGGGAGTATGCACGCCAAGAAAAGATTGAAAAAAAGGATCGGGAAACTATGGCCATGGATACAACCCATATGTCCCCTGAAACAAAACAATATTGGAAGCTAGAATGAAGGGATGTTATGAGACGAAGACTTTTTCGTGAGGATGGACCTAGCAACATGGATTGGTTAAATGATCAAAACCATTAAGTTAGTTTGCTTGCCTTTCATTTCATTGTATTTGGTTTTTTGTTTAAAAAATTAGTGGTAACTCATGTATTTTATTTTATGAGTTGTATTGATTTTCTTGTAGTGAATGAAGAAAATATTCAACAAAATTCCTTTTTATTCAAAACATTCCATACATAAAAAGCAAACCACAACAAAAGCATAAAAAATAAACAAACCACAACAAAAGCATAAAAAATAAACAAACCACAACTAAAGCATAAAAATAAACAAACCACAACTAAAGCATAAAAAAAACAAAGCATAACTAAAAATACAACATAAACATAATACATTAAAAAAACATCTTCACTTCACTTCATTGACCTTCATTGCCTTTCACCGCCCACAAATGCTCCATCAAGTCAACTTGACGATGTTCATGAATATACAACAATTGCATCTTCGTATAGCGCTCAATCATACGATGCATGAAACTACCGTCTCTAACCAACGAATCATGCTGCACTGGTTCTCCATTTGGCCCCATAGGTTTTTCATAAATTCGTGTTAAGGCCGTGTTCATGGGATCTGGTTCATACACTTCAACAGCATCGTAATCATACTCATCTTCCACAATTATGTTGTGGAGGATGATACAAGTCTCATTATACTTCTAAGCACCTCCTCATCAAATAGACGCGCTGCGCCCCTGATAATAGCCCACTAGGCTTGAAGGATATCAAAGCACCTCTCCACATCTTTTTTGTACCCCTCTTGATAGGCAGCAAAAAAAATTTCCTTCTGGGATCGGGGATGTGGAATTGATTTCACAAATGTTGTCCACCTCGAGTAGATACTGTTGTTAAACTATTAACTCGCAATTGTACGGGCCAATTAGTAATATAGCAAGACAAGTACGAGGTCGTACCCACGAGGACTGAGAAGTTAAAATTAGTTATGTACTTAGATTACCAAATTCAAGAAAGTGGGAGGTTAAGTCTAAAATAGAATTTAAAGCAAGAATGAATGTAATTGTTGAACAAATGAGGCAAAACGAAATTTCAAACAAAAGCAAAGTGAGCAAATGTAACAAAGAGTGTTTTTGTGGGCTGGAAAACAGATTGGGAGACTAGGGCATTCGATTCACCATAACAATTCAATTCTAGGTTATAAGGAGTCAAGTGACAAGTCTAATTTGGATTCAAAGATTGATTCTAGCTAAAGTATTATTAGGCCATGGTGTCTGGTCCTAACCTTGTGTTCCTAATTCCCTAACTTGATCATTTGTTGTCTAACCTAAATTAAGCATTAGGAACTCATTAAGCATAGAAGAACAATTTAAACAACCAAGCATGTATCTAATCCCTGTTGTCGAATGTCCATACATACTTTTCTTATTCATAGTTCAATTCGAATCAAAGCATGGTGTCTACTCTTGATTCAAACCAAGATAGCTAATATACAAGTTCTAATGGTGATCAATCATCCAAACAAGCATATTAACTGATAAGCATAATGAATAAGAACATGAATCATGAATCAAACTTGAAACTCAAAACTTCAACTTATAAACCCAGAATATTCATGTTAGGTTACATCGAAGTCCTAGTTATGAATTTAGCTACTCATAATAGAAATGAAACTTAAACAGAAATGAGAAAACATAATGAATGTAATAAGAGTGGAAAAACCCATTTCTGAAGTTACTTGTGGTGTCCAAGGCTTCTCCAAGTGCTTTTCCACACCTAATGCTGCTCCAAGAGCTTCCTCACATCTAGAGTATGGCAACTAAAGAGGTGATTTGGGATGAGTTTGGGTGAGTGGTGATGGCAGAGAAAGAGGAAATTCGTAGGGAAATGGAAGGAAGGCTTGTTGGAGTTGTTTTGGTGATTTGGGGCTGAATGGAGTGTTTGGGGAAGGATGGGAGTGTTAGAGGATGGCTGAAGTGAATTTTAGGCTGAATGGAGTGACCTCCTTTGAATGAGTGTGCATCACTCTATTTATAGAGTGCAAATTCGTGCTCCCCCTTTGGCTGGTGAAGCACACCCATTCCTAGCTATTCCCATTTGTCTGAGCTGCCCATTAGGTTCCCATGCTGCTGATTTGATGTGTAGCCCATGCCTCTAGGAATGTCAGCTGCCCATACCTCTTGAAATGTCAGCTGCCCATGCCTTCTGAGTTTCCATGCTGTCTTGTCAGCACATGGCTCAACAGCTAGCAGTTGCATTCCTGAGCATGGTGTGCATTTTGATGGGCTCACGGATTGGGCTTGACTTAATCAATTGATACATTTGAGTTGTCCATCTTGAAGTTCAGACTCTCATCTTTCCAAGCACATATTACATGGGCCAATCAAAGTTGGGAGAAAGACGTTAAGGCCCAAATGAGTTGCCAACCCAGTCTGCTCGTTTTTGCACCATTTTGCATCTTTTCTTATCCAAAGGCACCATTGCTACCTAAGGCTCCATGAACTGAATGATAAACAGAAAAGGGATTAAAAGCAAACGTTTGACTCAATAACATAACCAAATCATAAGTTAGAAGGGTACAAAATGATATGCAATTGTGAACTGATCAAATACCCCCAGACCTAGATTTTGCTAGTCCTCGAGCAAAACAAAAGAAAACAAAGTTAAAAACAAAACAAGAAGTTTAACTAAACCACTTCTGTGGGTAACTCGATTGCATTGAGCATATGCAACAAGCCTTTAAACCTCTAGGCATCCCTAGTAGGAGGAGTTGTGTCTCCTGAGGGTTTAACAGAAACGATACCCACAAACGCTTTACTGACTCTACAAAACAAAAGGTTAGAAAACTAACTTTGAAAACGACTAATGAAAATGAAAGAAAACTTTAATCATACCTCCAACACCAGAGAGTTGCCAAGATAGATGATCAATAAGTGTGTAAAGTGGAAGCTATAGCTCAAAGGCACACGGCTTCAAAGTAAACATACTCAAATCTTTGAAGGAAGAACATGCTTCAACTCTAATTCTCACATATAGCACTCAATCACTCAGAACCTATGGTTTTATTCTCTCAAACAAGCATAAGTGAGTATATGAAATAGAAGCAGGATATTTGGTTAGATCTCATGAAGGGAATCAAATACTAAGAATAGAGATACACACATACATACCAGCACCCATGAATACATCCTCAAAGATCAGCTAGGTCTTTCACAAGGTTGTAATGAATGGCTAAGGTTAGGGGAAATGGAAGAGTTGGAAAGAACACAATTAACTTAAGAACATACCAAGGTTGCATTCTTCATTGATCTGCAAGGTATCATTGATTTAGAATGATATGGCTGCAACTTCATAGCATCATCTGGCATAGACCTTATATTTCACATTTAGATCAAATCGAAACACTTTCTCCGAAACACTTTCTCTTTATCTTTCTTATTTGCTGACTTGATCTACTTCTTCTTTAACTTCATTGCACAGATTCACACCAATTTACATTTAGGCATGTGGCAGCAACTCCCTTGCTTCAAACTTTATCTTGGCACACCTTGGTATATTTCTAAGCTATAGGGTATGGCTATAATAGGTTAAATATCTCAGATTGAGATACAAGGTTAGGGGAATTATGAGGGTGATAGAAGAAAAAGGCTTGAAGTGTTTGGCTGCAAGAGAGCTGATGGAACACACGAATGGGTAGGGTGAAAAGAAAGCACAGAGAATGGTTATACACACATAGCCTAGCATCACTTCAATGAGTTCATTCATGAATGACAGCACACACCTGATATCTGCAAAGAGAATCATCCTCAGTATTCAATCAAAATGGAACAATGAGATCATTTAGAGTGAATTGAAGAAAATAAGTAGAGATGAGGAATAGAAACACTTTAAACCCTCTCAAGAATGCAATTAGGCTCGAAATAGCTCACTAGGGTAGTCTCCACTATTCTCCTTCAAGAATCTGAGCATGGTACCTTAGCCACCAGAATTCTAAGAGCAAAAGCTTTGTGAAGTGTAACATTTCTGATATGAAAATCTCAATGGCAGCTCCATAGCATTGATTGTATGAAATTCAAAAAATAAAAATAAAAATAAAAAGTGACAAGAGGACGAAAATTGTAAACACAAATGAACAAAAATTGAAAACCTCCCCAGACCTGAATTGAACATTGTCCTCAATGTTAAAGCATAACAAAGATGAGTGAGAACATGTAAATAATAAGAGGAAAGTTTAAGACCAAGGATTAGAGAAACTCCCTCTTGATGCGATTAGGTCGACCGCTAACAAGCACCTTATTCTTCAACACATGGGTTGCCTCCCAAGAAGCGCCTTAGTTAATGTCTTGGCAAGACATTATGCAATTAGCTAACTTGATTGTACAAATGGAAGATGATCCACCACATGACCAGTTTGAATTCCAACTGACACTCCCTCATAGAATGGCTTTAAACGTTGTCCATTTACTTTGAAAGTCGAGCCATCTTTAGGGTTTTGAATCTCCACAGCTCCATAGGGAGAAACATTGACCACGGTGAATGGGCCAAGCCACCTAGACTTCAATTTTCCTGGAAAGAGACGCAAACGTGAGTTAAACAAAAGAACTGACATACCTTTGATGAACTCTTTCCGTTGAATGTTCCTGTCATGGTAACTCTTGGTTCGTTCTTTGTAAAGCCTTGCATTCTCATAGGACTCATGTCTAATTTCTTCCAATTCATTGAGCTGAAACTTTCTAACATGGCCGGCCTTGTCCAGATCAAAATTCAACTTCTTGATGGCCCAAAAAGCATTGTGTTCAAGCTCCATTGGCAAGTGACAGGCTTTCCCAAACACAAGACGATAAGGGCTCATTCCGATGGGAGTCTTATATGCAGTCCTATAAGCCCATAATGCATCATTGAGCTTGGCAGCCCAATCTTTCCTTGTACTATTCACCACCTTCTCTAGGATGTGCTTAATTTCTCTGTTGCTTATTTCTACTTGACCAGAAGTTTGAGGATGATATGGTGTAGAGACTCGGTGGGTGATGTTGTACTTCTTCATGAGTGCTTCAAATGGCTTGTTGCAGAAGTGGCTGCCTCCATCACTAATGACAGCCCTTGGAGTACCAAACCTTGTTAAAATATTGTCCCTCAGGAACTTCAGCACCACCTTATGATCATTGGTTTTGGTGGCTATGGCTTCCACCCATTTAGACACATAATCAACAGCAACAAGTATGTAGGTATATCCAAAGGAAGATGGGAATGGTCCCATGAAATCAATACCCCATACATCGAAGAGTTCCACAAAGAGTATGTTCTTCAATGGCATTTCGTTCCTGCGGCTTATGTTTCCCATCCTTTGACACCTATCACACTTAACACAAAAATTAAATGCATCTTTGAATAGAGTAGGCCAAAAGAAACCTGATTGCAAAATTTTAAGTGCTGTTTTCTTAGCTCCAAAGTGGCCTCCACAAGCCAATTCGTGGCTATGCCTAAGGATGCTTTCTTGTTCTTCTTCTGGAACACATCTTCTAATGAGTTGATCTGGGCAATGCTTGAATAAGAAAGGTTCATCCCAGACATAATGTTTCACCATGGAAAAGAACTTCTTTTTGTCCTGATAAGTTAGATCATTTCTAAGAACACCACAAGCAAGATAATTAACAAAATCAGCATACCATGGCTCTTTGACTTGGGCAACAAATAGTTGTTCATCTGGGAAAGTCTCATTCAAGGGTAGTACAGCTTCTCCTTGCTCTTCAACCACAATTCTGCTCAAATGGTCAGCCACCACATTTTCACATCCCTTCTTGTCTCGAATCTCCAAATCGAACTCTTGCAGCAAGAGAATCCATCTGATCAAGCGTGGTTTGGCGTCCTTCTTAGTGAGCAAGTATCTAAGAGCAGCATGGTCAGAATAAACAATTACTTTAGAACCAACAAGGTAAGAACGAAATTTTTCTAAAGCAAAAACCACAGCAAGCAACTCCTTCTCTGTTGTGGAGTAATTGAGTTGGGCATCATTCAAGGTCCGGCTCGCATAATGAATCACATGGGAAAGCTTGTTCTTCTTTTGACCTAGAACTGCACCAATAGCAAAGTCAGAGGCATCACACATTATTTCAAATGGTAAAGACCAATCTGGAGCTATGATAATAGGGGCTGAAGTTAGCTCTTTCTTCAAGGTCGTAAAAGCTTCCATGCAAGTTTCGTCAAACTCAAAAACAGCATCCTTAGCAAGGAGATTACACAATGGTCTTGAAATGCTCGAAAAATTTTTGATGAACCTTCTATAGAATCCGGCATGGCCCAGAAAGCTTCTAACTCTTTTAACAGAGGAAGGGGGTGGTAGATTTGAGATGATATTTATCTTGGCTTTGTCCACTTCAATTCCCTTGCTTGAAACAACATGGCCTAGCACAATTCCTTGTCTTACCATGAAGTGACACTTCTCCCAATTCAAAATCAGATTTGTTTCCTGACATCTTTTAAGCACTAGAGACAAGTGGTGAAGACAATCATCAAAAGATGAACCAAAAACTGAAAAATCATCCATAAATACCTCCATGAATCGTTCCACCATATCAGAAAAGATTGCCATCATGCATCTTTGGAAAGTTGCTGGAGCATTGCACAAACCAAATGGCATCCTTCTATAAGCAAACGTACCAAATGGGCATGTGAATGTGGTTTTCTCCTGGTCTTCCGGAGCAATGGGAATTTGATTATAACTTGAAAATCCATCAAGAAAACAGTAGTAAGCATGGCCAGATAAACGGTCAAGCATTTGATCAATGAAAGGCAAGGGAAAATGATCTTTTCTTGTGGATGTGTTCAACTTCCTGTAATCAATGCAAACTCTCCAACCGGTGATAGTTCGTGTTGGAACTAGCTCATTCTTCTCATTCTTTACAACGGTGATTCCGGACTTCTTTGGAACAACTTGCACAGGACTCACCCACTTAGAATCTGAAATTGGGTAGATGATTCCCACATCAAGTAGCTTTAAAACTTCAGCCCTAACCACCTCTTTCATGTTGGGATTTAGCCTTCTTTGTGCATCACGAGATGGTTTGCTGTCTTCTTCCATTAAAATTCGGTGCATGCACATGCTTGGACTAATTCCTTTGATGTCTGCTATGGTCCATCCAAGGGCTGTTTTATGCTCTTTCAGAACTTCAATTAAGCTGTCCTCTTCATGTGAGGTGAGACCTGCAGCAATTATAACAGGGAGTGTTTCATTAGCACCCAAATAAGTATGTTTAAGATGATTGGGTAGAGGTTTAAGTTCTAGCTTTGGTGGGGTAATAATGGATGGCTCCAATTTTGTGGAGGATGGTCCAAGAGGCTCGAGTGGTGGCCTAAAGGATGGTGGGTATGGCTGAAATACTTCTAAGGCAGCCATCACTTCTTGGAACTCTGATTCATAGAGATCTTCCTCTTCTTGTGTTAGGACAGCTTCTAGAGCATCATTAGACTTTTTCTGCACAATTTTAGAAGCAACCTCATGATCCACAACATCAATTGAAAAACAAGTATCAAGAGTGATAGAAGGTTGAGAGAGAGCATCAAACACTTTAAATTCAACAGTTTCACCCAAAACAGTCATGGAGAGGGTGCCATCTTTCACTTTGATGATTGTGTCTGCAGTGGCCATGAATGGTCGCCCGAGGAGAATGGGATCAACGCGGTCTCCATATGGGTTATCCTCCATATCCATCACTACAAAATCAGCCGGAAGAATGAGTGTATTAACTTGAACTAAAATATCTTCTACAATACCTTTTGGATATTTGATAGAATGATCAGCTAGTTCAAGACGAATTGAGGTTTTCTTTATCCCTTCTAAGCCAAGCTCCCGATAAACTGAATATGGCATTACATTGATGCTTGCTCCCAAGTCCAACATGGCTCTTCCAACCGTCTTATCTCCGATGTTAATGGGAATGTCAAAGCTGCCAGGATCTTCTAGTTTTGGTGGAAGCTTCCTTTGCAACACAGCACTCACATTCTTGTTGAGCTTTACTTCTTCACTTGGAGCAAAATTGAGCTTGTGAGTCATCAAGTGCTTGATGAACTTTCCATATGCAGGAATCTGTTTAACAACATCAAGCAAGGGCAAATTGATATTAACTTTACTCAAAATATCATAAATCTCTTTAAAAGCCTTATCTTGATTTGCCTTCTTCAAACGGCCTGGAAATGGAATCGGTGGAATATATGGAGGAGGTGGGATGTATCTATCTTGATGAAGATGCGATGGCACAAATTTGTCATCTCTTTTATGCAATTGAAATGGATTGGGTTCCTGAGAATCAGATTTGGCCTTAGGAGCAGATTGGGACATTTTGGGTTGTTCTCCTTCCATAGTTGTGGTTTCCTCTTCATCTTCATCCTCTACAACCACAACATCATTTGATAGATCAGAACCAACTTTGTTATCAACAATCTTACCTGATCTGAGCACATGAACGGCCTTGGCTTCTTGGTTTTTTGGATTGATCACGGTTTGGCTTGGCCATTTCCCAGGTTCTCTTTGAGCTATTTCAGTAGCTATCTGGCCTAATTGGACTTCCAACTTGGAGATGGCAGCTTGTGTAGTTTGCTGGAAATTGGATTGGTTGATTGCCATTTGCTTCACTATATCCTCCAACGATGATGATTGTTGTGGCCTTTGGAGTGAAGGGGGATTTGCTTGATTCTGTGTATTCCTCCATGAAAAGTTTGGATGATTCCTCCAACCTGGATTATAACTTTGAGAATATGGATCATTTATTGGACCTCGGTTGTAGGAATTCACCAACTTAGCTTGCTCTTGCACAAATTCTGGATATGCAGCCCCAAGGGGACAAGAAATGGTAGGATGATCATGAGTTTCACAGATGCTACACACTTCCTTTGAAGGGTTTCTTGAGTTCAATGCAAGGAGGGCATCAAGTTTTTGTTCCAATTTGGAAATCTGCACACTGGAAGAATCATTAGAACCACCAGCAATACGTTTACCTCTTGTATCGGTGTGTTGGGTCTCCATTGCTATCTCCTCAAAGAGTTCATATGTTTCTTCGGGAGTCTTAGTCTTATAAGAACCACCTGCAAAATTAGTGACAATATTATGGCTAGAGGGGGTTAGTCCTTTATAAAACATACGCATCTGAAGCTTCAATGGAATCCCATGATGAGGACATTGATTGAGCAGCCCATTGAATCTCTCCCATGCTTCACAAAATGACTCATCATCTTGTTGTGCAAATAGTAAGATCTTGTCCCTAAGCATGTCGGTTTTTTGCGTGGAGAAGTATTTCTCCAAGAACTTCTTTTGAATGGCTCCCCAAGTCGTGAGTGAACCAGGCTTCAAAGAATTCAACCAATATTTCGCCTTATCTTTCAAAGTGTAAGGAAACACTCTCATTCGAAGTTGATCTTCCGTCACACCTGTCAAGGGAAAAGAGCTCACAGCATTAAAAATATCCTTTATATGGGTTAATGGATCTTCATTAGGTAAACCATAAAAGGAAGGCAACATATTAAGATGAGAAGATTTAAGCTCATAGTTTCGAGCTGCGGTGGGCAGCAAGATGCTTGAAGGGGATGCTGGAATTGTTGGGATATCAAGGTCTCCCATGAACTCATTGGCAGCCATCTCTTCTTCTTCTTCTTGGTCTGAACTTGATTCCGAATTTGAAGGTGAAGAACCTGGGAGGTCAGTGTGGATAGCAAGACCTTCAAATGTGGCAATGGCTTGCTCTTTCGCAGTTGCCAACTCTCTTTCTAGACGATTCTGAATTTCAAAGATCACCCGGTTTGGTTGCAAAGATGGTCTTGTGTTCAAAGATCTCGAACGTTGGAATGAAGACCTCACTTGTTCAAGTAAGGGATTTCTAGACATAAACTACCTGAAACAGAAAATAACTTGAGTTAATTAGTACTACTAAAAGAATAGGGTAACCTTGGGCACATAACCAGGGAAGAACTTTCATTCAATCCCCGGCAACGGCGCCAAAATTTGTTGTTAAACTATTAACTCGCAATTGTACGGGCCAATTAGTAATATAGCAAGACAAGTACGAGGTCGTACCCACGAGGACTGAGAAGTTAAAATTAGTTATGTACTTAGATTACCAAATTCAAGAAAGTGGGAGGTTAAGTCTAAAATAGAATTTAAAGCAAGAATGAATGTAATTGTTGAACAAATGAGGCAAAACGAAATTTCAAACAAAAGCAAAGTGAGCAAATGTAACAAAGAGTGTTTTTGTGGGCTGGAAAACAGATTGGGAGACTAGGGCATTCGATTCACCATAACAATTCAATTCTAGGTTATAAGGAGTCAAGTGACAAGTCTAATTTGGATTCAAAGATTGATTCTAGCTAAAGTATTATTAGGCCATGGTGTCTGGTCCTAACCTTGTGTTCCTAATTCCCTAACTTGATCATTTGTTGTCTAACCTAAATTAAGCATTAGGAACTCATTAAGCATAGAAGAACAATTTAAACAACCAAGCATGTATCTAATCCCTGTTGTCGAATGTCCATACATACTTTTCTTATTCATAGTTCAATTCGAATCAAAGCATGGTGTCTACTCTTGATTCAAACCAAGATAGCTAATATACAAGTTCTAATGGTGATCAATCATCCAAACAAGCATATTAACTGATAAGCATAATGAATAAGAACATGAATCATGAATCAAACTTGAAACTCAAAACTTCAACTTATAAACCCAGAATATTCATGTTAGGTTACATCGAAGTCCTAGTTATGAATTTAGCTACTCATAATAGAAATGAAACTTAAACAGAAATGAGAAAACATAATGAATGTAATAAGAGTGGAAAAACCCATTTCTGAAGTTACTTGTGGTGTCCAAGGCTTCTCCAAGTGCTTTTCCACACCTAATGCTGCTCCAAGAGCTTCCTCACATCTAGAGTATGGCAACTAAAGAGGTGATTTGGGATGAGTTTGGGTGAGTGGTGATGGCAGAGAAAGAGGAAATTCGTAGGGAAATGGAAGGAAGGCTTGTTGGAGCTGTTTTGGTGATTTGGGGCTGAATGGAGTGTTTGGGGAAGGATGGGAGTGTTAGAGGATGGCTGAAGTGAATTTTAGGCTGAATGGAGTGACCTCCTTTGAATGAGTGTGCATCACTCTATTTATAGAGTGCAAATTCGTGCTCCCCCTTTGGCTGGTGAAGCACACCCATTCCTAGCTATTCCCATTTGTCTGAGCTGCCCATTAGGTTCCCATGCTGCTGATTTGATGTGTAGCCCATGCCTCTAGGAATGTCAGCTGCCCATACCTCTTGAAATGTCAGCTGCCCATACCTCTTGAAATGTCAGCTGCCCATGCCTTCTGAGTTTCCATGCTGTCTTGTCAGCACATGGCTCAACAGCTAGCAGTTGCATTCCTGAGCATGGTGTGCATTTTGATGGGCTCACGGATTGGGCTTGACTTAATCAATTGATACATTTGAGTTGTCCATCTTGAAGTTCAGACTCTCATCTTTCCAAGCACATATTACATGGGCCAATCAAAGTTGGGAGAAAGACGTTAAGGCCCAAATGAGTTGCCAACCCAGTCTGCTCGTTTTTGCACCATTTTGCATCTTTTCTTATCCAAAGGCACCATTGCTACCTAAGGCTCCATGAACTGAATGATAAACAGAAAAGGGATTAAAAGCAAACGTTTGACTCAATAACATAACCAAATCATAAGTTAGAAGGGTACAAAATGATATGCAATTGTGAATTGATCAGATACCATCTGCTAGATAATGCCTGTTCTGATAGACGGTATTATTGATTTGATATGTGATATTTGGGCCTTCACCTATCAGAATATCATTGAACACCGGGGATTGACCCATGACGTTCACATCCTTTTGAGAGCCGGCAACTCCAAAGAAGGCGTGCCAAACCCATGTATCAAAACCAGTAACTGCTTTGAGGATGATGCTTTTCTGCCCTTTCCGATTCCCATAATCCCCTTGCCAAGCAGCTGGACAATTTTTCCATTGCCAGTGCATGCAGTCAATGCTACCAATCATTCCAGGAAATCCACGAGACTCAGTTTTTGTAGAAGCCGTTGCAGGTCCCTTAGCGTAGGTTTGCGCAGGTAGTCCCTGGTGTACAGATTTTCCACTGCATCACAAAATCGCACCAAGCTCTCCAAAATAGTGGACTTCCCCATCCGGGAAATCTCATCCACCTGATCAGCAAATGACCCATACGCCAACATTCGTATCACAGCTGTGAACTTTTGCTCAGGAAGCAGCCCCAAATCTCCAGCACAATTTTTCTTTTGAACAAAGTAGTCATCATAATTGCAAATATCATACATGACTTTATTTAACAAATGGGGTTGCATTCTATATCTTGATCGAAAATGAACATTAGAGTACACAGATTGTGGGATAAAATAATCCTCCATAAGATTCTTACCTCGAGAATGTCTATGTTTGTCCACATTCGATGTCCGGCCTTCTCGTGAACCACGGTGGCTTTGGTTTTCTTCCTCCAGCAAAGCAACGGCCACACCAAGTTGCTCATCTAGTTCTCTTTGCACCCTTTTGCTTGCAGCTTTTCTACGCATTCTTGCTCGCCTTTCTCGCTCTTGCCTCTCCAAAACCTCTTCCATGTCTGACATTGAGAATGGAGAATGAAATCTAAAATATGAGAAATGAAATCTAAAATATGAGAAATGAAGATGTAGAGAAGATATGGTGTGGGAGGTATGAGCTGAACCTATGGTTTTATAGAAAAATTTAGGTAGATAGAGATGACACGTGGTGCAATTTTAGTGGGTGAAAATCTTATTTGAAATTTGGAATTTGAAAGTTATATGGAATTTGAATTTCGAAATGTATCTGAAATTTGACATTTTGAATTTATCTGAAATTTGAAACCGAAAATCTTATCTGATATGAATAGTATTGACACGTAGGAACCGAAAAATCTTATCCGAAAATATTATCTAAATTAATTGTTTAAGTAAACAAAGTTGTGAAAAAAAACAAAAACATGAATAGTATTTGCCATGGCAAGCATAAACTGCTGGAAACACACTTTGCTGGGGGGGCTAGGGCAGCCACTATTCACATGAATAGTAGCTACCCTAGGGCTCCCCTTGCCATGGCAAGGGGCTAATTGGTGGAAATGCTCTTAGGTTGTCCACACTTGCCTTACTACAAACGCTTTTTTGATATATATTTTTTTTTATTGTTACATGATGCTGCATTTTAAAAAAAAAAAAAAAAAAAAAAAAAAAAAAAAAAATTAGATTGATTCTTGTACTTTCTTTGCTGCATCAAAATGGAACCTGTTGTATTTGGAAGATGTGTGTTTAAGGATAAGACTGTTTCGATTCCACTTCAAAGTGACTGTACTCTAATGGTTTTCGATTATGATATATATTCAAGATTTAATGAGCTCAAGGTTGGGGCTTTTGAGATGACTTACCTCGTGTCGGATCATCCTCCATTTGTACTAGAGACCAACTTAGATGTGTGTGTTATATATCTGTCATTGATGACCGAGTAGAAATATACAATTACAATTGCTATGAAGGAGTGCTTGTTGCCTGACAGGCAAAACGGTGTTGATGATGTGTTTATTGGTGAAGGTGATACACATACTGCTGAGAACGATTTCATTGGAAAATATGCAGTACCATATGGTCATACATACTTCTCTCATTCATGGAAGAACTACATCAATCATGTGGGCAAGAAGTTTACAGGTGGGGTTATTGAGTTTATAGAAAAATTGTGCAAGTATGCCATTGAGAAAGGTTAAGGTTGGGTATCTTAAAAATGAAAAAGTGAGAGTGACTACCCAGTATTCTAAACAAGTGTCTGATGGTTGTAGTTGGCGTGTGCATGTGTCATTATGTCCTGCGAATTGGCTTTTTTTTTAATACATTTGGAGCCTGAACAACGAACACACTTGCAACGGACTCATCTGTGAACGTAAGAGAAGCATGATGTCTTCAAAAATTGTGTCCTCCATTTTGGTCAACCAAATTCAATCTAAACCGTTGATTAAACTGATTGAAATTTGCAAGGATTTCAAGAAGAACTATGTGTTGGACTTTTCTTATCACAATGCATGGTATGGTAAATAATTAGCAAAGAAAAGGGTCCATGGTAATGAGTCATTGTCATATAAACACTTAGCTTGGTACATGGGAGTTGTGTTTAGCTCAAATCCTAATTCACGTTGTATGTTGGAGTATGACCCAAAGACATCCCGATTCAAAAGGTTTTATTTTTATTTTTATTATATTTATTCTCCTTCCATGCTTGCATAGAAGAATTTAGATTTTGCCTGCCATTGTTATTCCTTAATGGGACATTTCTTCAGAACAAGTAAGGGTCACTTGTTTGCTACTACTAGGAAAACTGGAAACCAAGGTAATGAAATAAGCTTCTTTTAACAAAAAACATTCAAATTCAATTGATGCCACTGTATGTAGGTAAACTATACGTTATTGTTTAGGTAATACTGTTTTATATTTAGGGGTTTGTTCCTGACTATTTTATTTACAACATTAAACACCCACCTAGTTAGGTTTTTTGTTTGTTTGTTTTTGATTTTGTTGTTGCTATGTTCGTCTCATGAAAGCCTAATTTCAGTTTGTGACATATCTGCCATTACAATAAATGCAATGCATATTTTCTTTTTCCTCAGTTGTTGGATGGGGAAAAGAAAAACTTGCAGCAGGGGCTTTGGAAACCATTATAGCAAAGGATTCAGTCTTTGCATCCTTCTTGAGCATCGTCTCCCAGTGTTGGGCCTTTTTATGAACAAAAGAAAATGACTCCTCTAATTTTGACAATGGACTCAACCTCAACAAATCTCCTCTAATTTTATCTAACTCATCATATAGACCTGCATGAAATTCATAAATACTGTCTTTTTGTATCTCAGTCTGTCGAATCTTCACATCATCAGGGCATTTCATGTTGATTGGACGACGACGGTCTTGTTCCAACCAAAAACTCTTGAGCTCAACAAAGTAGGATGCAATATCGCGACCTCCTTAAGTAATAGGGGTTGCTTTACACCGTAATTCATAAATCTTCGACTCATCAGACGTGTTATAATACATATGGGCTGTACTCTTCCATGCATCTTCAGTTGTTGGTAGATCTAAGAACAATTCTACCAAATCAGGTTCCATAGTTTTTATCAACCATCATTTAACAATGGAGTCCTCAATACACCAGAAATCAAAGCCCGAAGCGTCTTCCTCCACTTGCGCCACCTTCCATGTCAAATAACCTTTTTTTTCCTAGCCTGACAAATGAAGCAACATCATCTTCAACCAAGTGCTATAGTTCTTTCCATTCAACCATATGGTGAATTGGGCAATGGAAGTATCATTGCGAACCGTAAAATTGGTTGCACCAAGTCAAGATTTTTACAGATTTCTGAAGCACTGGAAGCGAGGTGGGGTTGTCTGGGGTATCTTCGAAAGCCATGGAAGAGAGAGAACAAGTTTGGATGGGTTGGTGTTGTAGGAGTCTTTTGTCGCACTAGGTTTGTGATGACAAGGGTTCAACCACTGTTTTACGACAACTGGGATTTTTTTTCTTTCTTTTCTTGTATTCGGCGCTAGAGGATGTTGATGGGTAGGGTTTGTATTTTTGTTTGACCGGCTCTGATACCAACTCAAACTAAACACAGGATGGAATAATTGTGATTGATATTATATTTCTCCAAGAGGAGGATATATATATATATATACAAGTACAAGTTCACTTTTCCTACAACGAAAAGTAATTAGCTAATTACAAGGAATCATAACTAGGTAATTATTCTAATTAGGTAGCGTGAATTACACCAGGAAATCAGGGATCACAGGATCCTTGAATTATGGCTCACGCCAACAAGAATATTTTAAAAAGTGTTATAACATACCTATTCTTCCCATACCAAATATTGATAGGCATGCACAATAGGATTTTGGAGAATATTTTGTGAGCCTGCCAATGACAAAGAAACCACCATGGAGACCCAAAGTGAAGCGTATCAAATCGTTAGGGGAACAATTTAGGCCAATAATATACCTACCACATAGGAAAAAGAACATCACAAAATCACTTGTGCACTCATCTAAGGATTTTGTTGAATACATAACGTGCACAATTGAAACACAAGCTCAACCTTTCGGTAGTGGACAAATTATGCAAAACATAAAGTACCTATTATAAAAACCTAATTTTAAATGTTGTTTTTTGGTTATTAATGAATGAATAATTTACTTATTCATTGTGGGGCTCCATGGACGTGCAATTTTTTTGGGTAGATATGATCAGACAGAGGAGACAAACTAGAGAGCACTAAAAATGCAAAACACACAAAAACGTATTTTACCTGCAATATGCAAGGTCTCACACACACACTTGCTACGCCGGTGTCGAATGCTTCAATGATGGGAATTGATCAAGGCTGAAATGGTGGTAAACTAAAATTGTTCTGAATGAAACGTTCGCTGCTAGTGATTGAAAACGGTTGGATACATATCTGGACTATAGTGGCAATTAATGTAAATACATAGAATATTCTGACCTCTTATATCTTAGGGGACATTTCAGTTTGAATTTGAGTTTTGAACATAGTTATATATTGGACTCTCTCTAAAATCGCCGATATTATCGTTTTTTGGGGATATTTTGGGACATATCAATACACATATCGTATAATTATTGAGAATATTAATGATAATATCGGAAAAATATCGATGTTGACAATTTCTCACACGCTTCAACAAAATTTGGGGAAAATATCATGATAACATCGAAAATATCGCAAACACGCAAAGGGGTATTCGAACCCGTACCATTCCACTCCTCCAACGCCTTAACCACATTGTTGCTGATGTTTTTTGTGTTAGTAAGCTAAACTATTTATATTTATAGTCTTTCTTGAGCTGTTTTTGAAAGAACTAGATTTTCATATGAGCATGTGACTTTTCCATTTTAAGTACTCACCACATTTCCACAAAGTACGTTTACTCTTCATAATACACTTACTCTACACATAGAGATGATGAAGATAGTGAAAAATTTGAATCTCATAGGAACTCTATGTAGTACTAAGTCATTATAAAGTATAAAATATTGTAGTAAAAATGATTATAAATAAATGATTATGGCGTGTTTAATCTTCTTTCATTAATTACTACATATTTTCTACAATAATTAACATATCAACTTGAATTAGTTAAACCCATCATGCAATGCATTTTTATCCAATTTTTTGTGGTAAACTAATAGGTAATTGTGAATAAACATCCTCCAAAGTTTCAATACAAATTTCCAAGTTTTTCTTACAAATTTTGTGGTTTTTATTCAATTTTTATCGATATCGATAGTTTTCCGATATTTTCATTGAAATTTCCGTGTTTTTGAATTACCGATATTTTCGAAACCATCAATATGTTATACCTTGCCTTGGACAGTCTCTACCTCACATATACAGCACTTGTACTAGCATTCTAAAGCAGAGGGCTGCTGCATTTGTTCGTGACATGATGCTACAATTCACAAATTGCAAAATTGCAGAGGGAAAAATACCCCCGAGTACAATATTCCCACAATCATCAAAAGCAAAATCATTTCCTCACCAACAAATTTAATATCATTTTCACACGACTTTAATCTATAGGGAGGAATTCTTTGCAACGCTCAGAGATTAAAAACGTAGCCTCCAATTTTCATTTCTTGCGTAGTGATATACAATTCTTGAATCTAACTCTCTTTTGCAGGATCAATGAGTTCTTCTTCTATCTTGAAATCAGAGTCTAGGTGCCGAATAGTTTCTTCAAAAAATGATTTCTAGGGAAAATCTGGACAGGTTCATCCCCAACAAATCAGTGACGGATTTTGATTTCGCCGACTTCATGCTGACTGAAGGTAGGAAAGATCCAAAGCCAAATGTTAACCCAAGAATATAGGCCGGTGGTGTCGTCTTTCTGGATGGCGCTTGTGCCTACTTTGGTTGAACTTGAGGGAACTAGTGTGGATCTTGACGTTGGTGGCAAAGGAGGTTGATGGGGGCTATGCGGTGGTTGTTGTCGTTCCGATCACCCAAGTTTGGTGGTTCCAAATAGTATGAGCAGTTACAGGCGGAGGCGGTTATCACCCATGTCCACTTCCTCTTTCAGTTCAGGGAGTAGTTTTCCTTTCTTCGCTTTCCTTTTTCCAAGTGTCTTCAGCTTTCTGCTTTTATTATTCTTTCTGTTTTTTTGCCTCAGATTCTATTTTTGTTATCTTCATTTTTCTTTGTGGTGTTATTTACTTCATCTATTTGTTCGTGACTCTCTTCAAATGCAAGTCATTCTATTTTCTGCTTGTCTTTTTTCTTCTCTTTTTCTAAGTTTTAGTTTTAGCCACCCATTTGTTATTTTAATTCTTCTGTCCAATAGTTTCCTTCTTGTTTAGCATCCTAATAAAGTCTTCTGTTCTTTGTGGTGTTGGTTGCGAGGATCATTCATTTGTTCGCCATTCTTGGAGAACCATAGAGGCCACCTTACATAGACAGTGTAGCAGTTACAAGACATTTTGTTGTGAAGCAATTACCAGCTGATTGTGATGTTGTAGTTGGTGTTGTTTTCATTTATCTCAAGCGTTCTAGTTGGTCTTGCGACTTGTTACTGGGCTGGGCTTTGTTGGGTCGATTTGTGCAACATTTATTCAGTTTCCACTAGCCCAAGTTTTGCATGTTGGTTGTTGTGGATGAGCAAACTTTAGAGTGGTACTCTTTTTCCTTGACTGAATTTTCCTCCATTTGGGGGCTTTTTAAGTCAAGGTTTTAACTAGGCCACTATTGCTCCATCAATAGACTCAACTGTTGTATTGTTTTTTATGGTAGTCTTCTTTTTTCTTTTTCTTTGTTTCCTCGTGATTGGTTCAGGCCGCAAATCTTTTTAAGATTAAGCTCTTGTTCATGGCTTTCACGTTGGATTTCTGATGTTTTTATCCTATGATGTTCTAATAAAACATATTTTCTAACAAAAAAAAAATGAAACGCATGTTTTGTTTTATCTTGCCTTTTAAATTTGGTCATTCGAATTTCTGTCAATACTCGACATTTATTAAATTTGATCATTTTGTCAAACATCTGTTAATATAGCCATCAATTTGAGGGGTACAAATGTCCATTCATATAACCTATTATAATTCCCCCTAATTGAAGCCCCAATTCCCCTCTCTATACCAATTCTTGTTGGTATGTTATGAAGGAATTGCGAAGAAGATGGGTAGGTTATTTTAGGAGTGATTTTTACATGAATTGACGGTTCTACTCCTTAAATTGGCATCCTATCGACGGGGTACAAAATTGTCATGTATGACACAATTGAAGGATGCTAAAAATTAAAAACCAAACTGGAGGACCTAAAACTCAGTTACAAATTGAGGGCCCATTGCAATGTCACGAAAAAAGAGGTATTCTTGGCGTTGAGGATAAAAAAGAAGGGAGGGGGCAGATTTGCATTAATTGGGAAGAAACTAGGAATGTCATCACAATCTAGACAAGGAGGTTCTGAAGACGTTTCAAGGCAGCCATCGCTTAAAAGGTCTTTACACTCTCATTGGGAAGCCCTTGTTCTTCTTCTTTCAAGTTCACGGGTCTTGGTTTCATTCCGTTCCCTTACTTTTTTCACTTGGATTTCTTTTGTTAAGTATACAAAGCTTAATTGAATTGGCGTCTTTCAATTTGTTCTGAATATCCTAGCATTCACTTTCACTACTATATCGAATAGCTGCACCATTAGCAGTTTTTGTTCGATTCACAGTGAAAAAGAGTCACTCACTAGTTAAGAACTTTTTTAAAAAATTTTTAAAAATATTTTATACAAGTAATATTGAGAAAGGGTGGAATCGGATCTAGGACTCTAAGCTAAGTTGTGACACACCCAAGCACTCTAAGAAACGTAAAAGATTGGTTGTCTATTGCATGAACAACTAAAACATTCCATGACACAAAAAGTACTCATTCACAAGTATAGGGCATGAAACTAGATGGTCCTTGCAATTTGGAAGGTGTTGTCTCACTCCACAAAGACTCTTACTTTAGAAAACGTGTTTGGGAACTACAACATGTGAAATGCATATATGTGCATCAAATTATTCATAATATATAGTACAATTTTGTAGTATGTTGATGACTATTTTTAGATCAATGACATGAAAGTTATGAAATCACAATCACATACGAACACATGATTCATCTGTAATTGGGCTACCTCCACTTAATCAATGTACACAATTTAAAATTGTGATGTATGGGAGCCCTTTTGACTGAATGCAAAAAGGGAAAAGCTCTTTGGGAGAATGAAATGAACGATGCCTCTCCTTGCCACCTTTTGTAGGGCAAAAAACATGGACAAGGCCCCTTAATTTGGCGTCCTTATTAGACATGATTTGGGGGTCCATGGCATAAAGGCATGATATTCCCCTTAATTAGTGGGTTTGCCATCATGTGGGGTAGGTGTGAGAGCAATATCTAGTATCAACATGGTATGTATGTAGAAATCTTTGAAAGCTCACTCCTCGTCGGCTTACATTTACAAAACAACTTACATGAAAAAAGGTAACTTACTATAAATGATATGTAGGTATCTTTGTATGACAGAATGATTGATGTTCTTTCTCCTTCAGATATTATAATTTCTTTCTGTTAAACTAAAGAGATTAAAATATTATAAGAGAGATTGAGAGAGAGAGAGAGAGAAATTGTATACAAATGAAGAAAGTGGGAGATATGAGAGATGTGTAGAAAAAGTAGGGAGAACATATAAAATATGCACGTTCTCGTTTTTGCGTTTTTAGTAAAAGATAGAGAAAAAAAATGTGTGAGAAAAATAAGAGAAGAAAGACGGGGTGGAGGAATGGATGACGGACAAAATGTCATGGAATGATGCGTAAAATGAAAACAAAAAAAGCGTATGACCATTCAGTTCAGTGACACCCATTTATATTGTTTTTTAGAGGAAGTTTTGCGTTCAAATCTCGTGAACTACAATTATTGATTGACATAAAATAATTAAACACGAAGGTGTTATCAATCATTCCCTATAGAAAAAATGTTATGTGCATTTTCTTGGTAAGTAAATGAATTGTATAAGAGGTACAACGTGTTACTCACAATACAAGCGTAAACCAAGCCCAGAAAAAGTTAGGTTAGCCAAAACATATCCATGTCGTTGACAAACAGGTAAGGAGACATTGGATCCACTTGCCTACGTCCTCTTTTGCTTCCAAACAAGCCAGATGGAGAACATTGGATAGGAGATGGAATATTTAATCCATAATCATAGAAACATGGAAATATGTATTAGATATTGAAGAACAAAATTCCAATTTAAGTAGTCATTTCATAATATCAATAACGACTTTGATGGCACATATAGGAACCTCAACCACTCCTTGTAATAATTCTTGAACAAGCAAGATCTTGTCACCAATTCTCCTAGCTAGCACTAGCAAAACTAATGATAAGGGCTGATTATAATCTTGAATCTATTAGCGATCAACTTGGGAATCACCTTACATAAAATTATTGCAGCAAGAAATGGGCGACCTACACACTTGGAGTCCTAAGGGGTATGTGGCTCTCTCTTTTTAATTTTTGTCCTAAAAATAGAAAAAGTTGTTAAGGAGGACACAACGCATAATTTGAGCCTTTTGTCGTCATTGATTGAGTTGAAGTTATTGGGGCATCTCTACATAGAGCTTCAATTTGTGTTCAGACTGGCTGATGTTGGAGCACTTGGAGTAATTTTGACTTATTTTTGTTGCAGGAATATATCCAAGGATTAAGAAGGCCTATTGGTTGTGGATCCTAATTTCTTTTGGAAGCAAGAACACATAAATGAAAGTTTCGCCTTAGCAGGAGGTTGCTGCATGCAATCGAAAATGTAGATCTCATAGAACCTATAGCTCACCTAACTTGCTTGCCACTTGTATGTAATCATACTCAAAACTTAGATTTGCATAATATCAAGAGGACCAACCATATTCATCACCCAAATTATACTGCATGCCTTTCCTTCGTATACCTAACTTCCTGATGTGACCGCAGTGACATTGTCACTTCACCCAAAAATTTGCCAAAAAGTCAATGAAAAAACGCTTGTAGAAATATCATTCTCAACTTTAACTCGTCCCAAGTGGCTTGAATGATATGGGAGTGAAGAACATATCTTCTTTCACACACACACACATATATATATATATACACAGAGAGTTTTCACTGAGGGATTCATCAAATAAGTTTATTTAAGGGACACTTTTATAGGGCCCACCCCGCATCGTATTTCACTAATCCAAACATCTATTTTGTAAAAATTCATTCAAAAATCATCTCTACAAAAAATTACTTGAATCCGATATCATTTAACCACTCAATTAAATTACTAAAATTTATGTACCTTCTTGGAGCACCATGTTCATTGATTTTGTTGGTCTCAATTAGATGCCGTAATGATTTTCAATTTGCATGAATTTTTGCAAGGATGATCTGTGAATGAAGATGTGAAAAATAGATGGTTTGGATCGTGTAAAAAAATTTCATAGGGTACCCTAAAGGGTGTCCCTCAATAGAAGGAGAACTGATATATATATATATATATATATATATAACTTTAATCTCACCTAGGTTATAGCCCAAATTGCCCTTGCCTTGTTGGGACTGTCACCGTGTTCGTTTATTTTGTTATTTCCAATTGGATGTCTTAATGAATTTCACCTGGGTTTGAATTGTTGAAAAAAAAAACACTGCAGGGGATTCAATTGATTTTTTGCAAAGATGATCTTTGAGATAATATTTAAAAGCTAGACGCTTCGAATAATTGAAATACAATGCTTGGTGGGCCCTACAAGGATGTCCCTCAGCTGAAGCGCTCTCTCTCTCTCTCTCTCTCTCTCTCTATATATATATATATATATATTAACTCAATTCACTTGGTATGAAAATAAAGAAGTGAAAACTCATTATTGTGTGACTCTATCTAACATGGTCACTATGTATTACCAATTTAGTCATATTATAACACGTTCTTTATTCGTTAATATTATATAAGTCCGTTATTTAACTATATTATAAAACTTCAATTAATAACACCACATAACATTATTTCAGACCTACAGAATTTTCATTGTGTACAGGATACTGGGCTCGTCATATGATCAAACCGTTTCAAAAAAAAAGTACTGTGTTCATTGTTCCTAGCCGTTAATATTGCCTCCATTATTGAAACATAGTTGAATGTGAGATCTTCGACCCTGGCAAGTCTTCCAAAATTCATCTTATTATACAATTCGTGAGTCCATAAAAGAAAATTAATTGTTTTGTTGCAATATCAAAGTGGACTTCGAGGTATTACCAACCAACTTTATTTGATTTGACGACATTGTCTTTCTGCCTTTGGAAGAACATACTGAGAAGAAACAAAGTAAGGCAGTGATTATCTGTCTATAATGGTAAACCTCTGAGGGGATGCATGCATCTCCAATTTTTTACATATAATACTCCTATTGCAAATTGCAATCATGCATGCATATGCTAGATCCTAATACTTGCTGGAAGAAAAGATTCTCAGAGGCCCATAAAAGATGAACGCCCTCAAAAAAAGTGCGAAATCAATTCCTCTGCCTCCATCCATGCCGCTTCTATTTAGGCTAAATCTTCCACTAGTGTAATGTCAATGTGCCTTAAAAATATAGTATTTAGCATTGACAGAACCCTCTATTCTTTTCATATTGAAAGGAGATTTCTTTGTATCCTTTGTTTAGTAGGGGACATGCAGATCGATATCATTGGATTTTGTATTATTTCGTTTGACTTACTTTACTGGCACGAATATTAGAATTATTTGAGTCTCTTGTTTAGAGATTTCAGATGGTCTAACTATACTATACGTACGTGCTCCCATGTTATTTAATATAAATTAAACACGCGAGACGTTATATGTGAGGAAACAGACGTATTGAGAGTATATCTCACATTGAAGAATGAATGTCTTGTAGATCTTAGATCTCTCTTTTCTCCTATTACCAATTAAGTTCGAATTCGATACTCTCTAAATCTAAAAAATTTCAAATATAAATATTTTGGAATGATGAACATCGGAGTCCAATATAATATAATCTAAACATCCAAATTTAATGAAAATAATATTTTTATAAAAGAATTACAATATAATTTTCTATCATAAGCGTCCTTGAGCTTGAAGATAGGCTGATCGAAATTCGAAATCCAATGATGGATGCCACATTCCTTTACTTGGTCAAAAATAAGAAGACATTGTGAGTTGGGCCAGGCTCATCAACCTAAAGCCATATTTGCTTATTGTGGTGGTAATCAAAGTCGGCAGGGGGGCTAAGCTTTTGCAACAAAACAGTAAAGAGAAAGCATTGAAAAAGTTGGAGCCCTTTGGAGTACTTCCAAGGTTTCTCCTTTGGGGCTAAGGCTAAGCTATAATCTTTTTTTTATGTTCTTCATATTTTTAGACCTTCCTTCACATATCTTAGGTCTCTCAGGTTAAAGAAAACAAATCATATTAGGATTTATAAATGTAGGGTTAAATTGCTAGTAAGACGCCTAAGAAATGTGAAGGAAGGTAAACAAGAATGACAAACATGACGAGGAGGGGTTGGCTTTTGTGCTTCTTATCCTCGCCGCACTGGCCTCTTTATCAATGGACATGAGTATTGGCGTCACAAAAGGAGTTTGTATTGACACTTTTAGCCAATAGAGGCAGAGGAGACAACCTCTCCCATGAAGTTTGCTTCCGACCAAATAAAAAGTACTATTGGCACTTTAGGTGCCCAATATACTCAAAAGCACTCCTTTAATATATTGGGAATCAATCCAACCAAAAAAATATATTGGACACCAAAAGTGATAATTCAAACTCCTTTTGAGCAAATATATTAGGCACCGACACCATACCCATTGTAAGTTTTTTTAGCAGTGCGGGAATAGACATGATAACAAGTATTATTATCATAATTACGTAAAATAGTACAAAAATATGTATTAGCAACCCTCATTTTATAGTATAACAAAATATAAAACCATGAAATATAAAAGAAAAACAATGTTTAAGTCAAAATGACAAACTATTATGCTCAATAAAAACCATCATGCTTATTTTTATTTTGTTTCCACCAGAAGGTGCACTCTAGGGAAACATTAATTTATTATATGTTTATCTGAAAACTGCTTTCTAATCTAAGAAGAAGAAGAAATTACATTAAGAAACTTTTGGTTATCTAAAAGAACTTTTGTCATTACCAAAAACACTCAGAGCATCCACAATAGGCTCCCTAAACAATATCTTTAGACAAATTTTAGGGAGAAATAGTAAAAATGCAACTCCAACCATGCTCCCTATCCATCTCCTAAAATAGGGAGTCCTCCAGGAGCTCCTAAATCTGAGGAGAGAGAAAGGACTCCTAGTGGCTCCCTATAATTCAATGATTATTTCAAACCTTTATTTAATGCTAATTATTTTTTATTTTATTTTTTAATAGAGATGGACCAATCAAAAAAGAGTTATAGAATTTATGACTCTCCAAATTTATTTTTTTTTGCCAATGAAGAAAGTTTTATTAGAGACGAATAGCTAAGTTTACATCACTAGCTAAAATATCAAAGATCCACTCGGGCCACACTCGGTCCCAAATGTAGTTACCACCTACTCTAGACACAAAGGCCGCAACCTCGTGCGCTGCCTTATTACACTGATGGGGAGTAGCTAAAAAAACAACTTGTTGGAGCCTGCCAGCAAGCACCTTAATATCAAACACCATAGCCTCCATCGCAACATCGACTTGACGCTCCCCTCTAAGCATCTGGATCAATTGCATCGAGTCAGATTCAATCTCCACATACACCAGTCGACCCCTAATGCAAGCCAGCAAGGCTTCTCTTATCGCCTCCGCCTCCATCATCAAGGTCATACTACCCCATAATCCCCCTACACCCCTGTCTGACCAGCCACCCATCAGAATCTCTAATAACCCAACCAACCCCTCCCTTTTGCGTCTGCTGTAGCCAAGCTCCGTCACAATTAGCCTTAACCCAACCATGTGGCGGCTTAGTCCACGCAGTAGGCATCTGTTGAACACGATCTGGCGGACGGGGTAACTTGTTAATCAATGGCTTGGCAGCCATCCGGGCAGCCCGATACTCTTGCACCTGCGCATGGAGACATCCCACCATCGTTGTAGGGTCCATGACAGAGCCTTCAAACACTGCACTATTTCTTGTTTTCCACAGCCTCCATAACCCAAAAACCACCACCTGTAAAATTTCTTGAATAAACGGATGACCCACATCCAAGCGTTCCATTATGGCTTGAGTGTAACCCATTGATCATTCCCAAAACCCCTATCCAAGCGTTCCATTATGCCTCCCTCCTGCCGCCTGTTCCTCCAAGTAAACGGATGACCCACATATCTCAAATCCAACAGGTGACTATTCACTGCAAACATGGAAAAATCATACAAGCTTCGTTCCGTTCGTGGCAAACCCCCATGCTTCTCAGATACGTCCATAATATCATTGAAATCTCCCATAAGTAGGCAAGCCTCCTAACACTGGGCCATCCTATCCTGTAATATTTGCCATTGTGATCTCCGTACTCGCTCATCAGTACTTGCATACACTACAAAGAAGCGCCACTTGGCACCATTCTCCTCATCCTTGATCACAACCTCAATAAAAAAAATCAGCATACTTGAGTAATACAACCTGTGACATCTCCTTCCAGAATAAACACAATCCTCCACTCAAGCCCCGAGGCTCAACCGCATGCATAAATTGCATACCTAACTGACGTTTTAAATACCCATAGCGTTGACTCCGATTTTTTGTTTCTAGGAGGACCACTATGTCAGGAGTTTGGAGCCTAACTTGCTCCTTCAAACTCGAAACTGTCAGAACACTCTCGATACCCAGACAGTTCCAGACTATGATCCTCATAATGCTCGTGGAGACTCGAGTCCGGTTTACGCTTCTTGAATTAGAGTATCGTCAAAAGTTATCTCCCTTCGAGATCCCATACTGCCTATCCCTCCACAAGCTGACACCAACCGAATACCAGCACACCTCCTTTTATCCATATTGCCATTCTCATTTTCCTCTCTCCCCCTTTTGCTCCTAGAGCCTACACCACCTGTGTTAGAATTAACAAGTTGCCCAAATATAAGTGGCCCCAGATTAAAAGGATCAGACCCGTACGTCAGCGCCTCAGATTGACCCCCCCAAATTCCTTCCGACATCAGCCCGGTTACTTAAGGCCTCGTGTATTGTTCCTTGCACTGTGGTCCTTTCCTCTACCCCGGCCACCTCATTCAAATCAATAGCGATCCCACTGTCGACAGAAGTTTGAACACCTCCATGAGGAAGATGAGGCTCAACTGAGTTCGCGGGCGAGACCTCAATGTTGCCATGTGGCCCCAAAATTCCAGCCTCCCATGCCGCCTCCCGTATTTGCCTATTCCGTTCTTCTGCCTCCCTTGTTGCACGAATTCTCCCAGCTAGATTAGAGTCCTCAGCATAACCCCCCCGTGTATGCCCTCATCTTATCCGCCAATCACTACAGTCAGCTTTGTCTCCAAATTAGGGAGTATGGTTGGAGTTGAAATTTATTAGAGAGCTCCTAAAATAGCTTTATTATATTTTTAGCTAAATTTTAGCTAAGAAATAGAGAGCATCATTGTGGATGCTCTCACAAATACACCCATAATTATAATAATATGCATCCCCTTATTCATGAGTGAGGCCAATTGAAGGCAATTTCCCCCATCAACCTTCTTTCTCCTCATTAATTATATTACCCCAAGAGCTCATTAATCGTTTGATATTATTCTTAAGAGCGTCTACAATGGTTAGGATTAATGCAATTTTATTGCATGAAATTGAACTAACAAGGATGCAATAGATGCAATTTCAATAGAGTGTGTTATGTGATGAACCCTCTATTGCAATTGCAATAGGCTAACCATGAGACCCACATGCTAATTAAAAATAGAAAAAAATACGGCAATTAATGCATTATGCCATTAAGAGCATCCATAATGGTTGTTCAATAGTTCAATGCAATAGAAAAAAGGCTAAAAGTCACTTTTGGTCTCTGGTTTGGCACTTCAACCACTTTTCACCCTATAGTTTCAATTCCGTCAATTTTGACCATGTAGTTTCATATTTGAAGCAATTCAAGGACAAGTTAGTATTCCTGTCAATTTCTTTGACGATGCAAAAGGCAATTTCACCAATCCAAAATCCTTGAGCATAAAAGCTCATATGAAACTCCCCTAATTTCATATTAGGGCTTGAAATTGGTCATTTAGATTTAGGGTTCTTCAAAACTTGGGATTAGTGGTTGAATTTCTAGCCCTAATATGGAATGGGAAGAATTTCAAAACAAGCTTTTACGCTCAAGGGTTTCGATATTAACAAAATCATTTGGAATACAATTTTTTCTTTTTTTGTTTGAGAATTATAGGTTTATAGTTTACCAATCTCTCTAAGGTTTATAGTTTTCCATTGATTAAAAAAATAAATAAAACAGGAAGCTAAAGTTATGGAAGCCTAATTTAGGTGATACCCGAACTCTTCTAACATTAGGGAGAGAAATATTACCAACTAATATATGAGTTATTTAATATTGTTCTTTATGTAGCATTGATTAGTCTAAATATCGAAAAGACTTGATTCATAATCACCCCTACGCTGTCAACCTGTATTGAGTCGTCGCTGTTGCCGACATGGTTGATCAATTATTAGTTTCTTAATTAACTATTTTGAAGGTCAGCTTGCAATTGCTTTTCCCTTGAATTACTGTAATTAATCATGCGATTTGACTTCAATATAAAGTGGCATTCATCATAGTAGCAAAACGAACATCTCTGTGATTTGGTCTTTATAAATTTTTGGTTTGAATTTTTCTTTTAAATTGATTCTGATTCGACTCAACTGCAGGGTTAACAAATTGTAGATTGCCACCTACATGGAATTCGATCATGACTACTTAATGTGATTAGTGGAACTGGGTTTTGGATTCCAGCTCTCACTTGGAAGTTGACATTTTTCTGATCGCCAAGAAAAAAGTGTGACATTTTTTGAGCTCAGACAAGGACTTATTTATCACAAACAACAATACAACGCATATATTAATTTATTTTTTTAAAAGTACAAAAGAGGTGTCAAATGGGTTAGGCTGGCTTAGCACGGCACGAGTTTAGTCATTTTAAGTAGAGCACGGCACGGCAAAATCCAAGCACGTTTATTGGTGGACTGTGACAATCAAAAAATTAAGTCCAGTGAATCGGACCGGCATGTAATTCTTTTTTATATATATTTTTAATTTTGTCAAGACTACTTAACATAATACCAATTTGGGGATCTCGAGCCTCTACATTTAGAGTTTTCGCATTTACTCGCATTTTAAAAAATCCTGACCATCCTAATAATCTAACCGGTTAAAATAAGACACATTATCAAACCTTAAATAAATTAATTAAAAAAATCTTCAAATATTTAAAAATTTAATTGAAAACTAAAAGAATAAGAATAATCTAAAAATTAAAACACCAGATATGCAACTTCCCTCCCCACCCCTATCCCCGCCACCCCTACCAACCCCAACACATCCAATCAGACATAACATCCACCATTCACCATTCCTCTCTCTCTCTATATTGCTCGAAACCCCTTTCCCCTTTTTGATATCCCTCACCTTTCATGAAGAAACCTATATCCCTCCCCCGTCACTTTTCCTGGAAAGGGCGGAGTGGATTTTTTATATTTGTTTATGTTTTATTGTTTAAACAATTAAATAATTATTAACTTTAAATAATTTTTTGATGAAAAGGAAAATTAAATACTTTTGTTGTTGTCATGTCTTTAAACAATTAGATTATTAGAATGGTGAAGATTTTACGAAATACGAGTAAATAAATAAATTGTAAATACATAGGCTCGAGATCCCCAATTTATCATCACCAAAGTGTCTCCTCCCTTTCTCGATACATATGCAAGTATCAAAAACAAAGAAACAAATAACTCCACCTTTCTCTAGGTACCAACTCTTTTTCTCTCTCTTCATTTTCCATTGGGTTCTAAGTACTGCTCAAAGAGGTACTTTGTGCTTTTTGCCTTTTATTCTTTTTTTCGAAAGCTACTATTTTGCAAATGTTAAGAATATATCAAATTAGAATTTAGAAATATGTGGCATTCATGTGTGTAGAAGAAGGTTCAATTGGCAATCGCCATGCATGCAGATGTGTCTAGTGCCACCAATCACTTGCTAATCCAGAAATTTAGTGTTCGAAGCAAAGCACAATTCTATTGGCTAGTAAACACCTATGGCTTTTTTCCGTGTGAGGTAATAAAATCCACTATAGTGGCTTCCAATTATGAACCTTTTGAAAAGCTTTTTTTTCTTTCCTTAATTTTTAAAAAAGTGTAGAGCCCAGTTTGACAAATAATTAGTAGCTAATTTAATTGCAGTCCTGGTTCAGATTTGTCCTCCTTCTAGAAGAAGGATGGCTTTGAAATTATTTAACATATTTTTGCACTTTTGGTCTTCTAATTTTACCCAAGTGTAATTGATCTTTCATTGGAAATTACCACATGGTAAAGTGATGTCTTTAATTTGCATGCTTGTCGTCTTTGAAAAATAGAATATATATAAAGAATGAAATCATTCATACTGGGTTTTGCAAGTGGTTCAGTTGGGGATTCCAATATCGATATTACTAGTAGTGGGTCGCTGAACTGTCTCTATAAATTCTTAAAATATACTAGTTACTATTTTATGAGAGAATTAATTAGAAAATAATTATGTATGTTGCTTCCAAATTAAAGATGCTCTGATAAGTCAATGATATGTTGTTGCACCATTAATTTTTTTTTCTTCACATGATTCGCATCTTTTCTTGACGCTACAAGGAATATATCAAATCGAAACTGCCAATTTAAGGCAAAAGAGCCAGAGTGACTTGAATTACAATCCATTTAAGTCTTTATGCCTTTAAATTATTGTAGGTTTATAAAATTAGAGAAAACCAATCCATTTTATCCACGCATGCAACATGTGATCTGAGGAGGCAAATTGCTCTCACTATATAGTTAGTGGCTAATTAAGTATTGAGAAATCAAAACCTGCAGTGTGGACACATATAATTGGTTATTCAAGATAAGGATTAGATTATATTGTTCATTTCTAGAGTGACTACTCAACTGGAGCTCTCTTCCTTTGATCTTTAAATCTAACTAATTACTATGTAATCATGAAGCTTATTAGGGGTCTACAGGTATATACGTATATACAAAAGTTTGTGAGACAGTTTGACAAACATAAACATGTTAGGGAGGCCTCTCACAAAATACATATATTTATGAATTCGTACTCGCAGTACATGCCAAAGTAACCAAGAGGACCAAAACATCATATATATAATATTTACAACTTTTTTCGCCTTGGTTACCTACATATAAATTCGAAGACTCATTAAAAGTAATATAAAATAAATCAAAATTTCACAAACTCAAATAAACCATAGGTGGAAAGAGAACAATATATATATATATATATATATATAAAGAAGGAGAAAGTTTAACAAACTTTAATTAAGAGCTAACCCAATTGAAACTTGATAATATATGGATAATAAGAGAAAAAACAATTGGTAGATTACATTTAAATTATTAGTTATCTTGATTCTTGTTTGAATGTGTGATTTAGATGAACAATCAAAAAATATTAATATCTTAGGTTGCCAAAATATTTGGCAAAAAATCTCTAGAATCTTTGCCTATATAAATACATAATAATTATATAACTTCGATTGAGGCATCACTCAAATAATATTTGTGGTTGTAGGATCCATTATGTATTGGAGTTTGCTGATTTGAATCAACAATCTTTAAGTCTTTTGTCAAATATAATTTTTATAAAAAAATTACGTGAATCAAATATCATTTGATTGATTATATGTTCGTCTTACTAGTGTTTTAGGAGGCACGGTGTTTGTCTATATTTTCCTTGTCACAATTTGTAAACTAGTGTACGTAATGTTATTGGTTTTTGTCACTTCCCAAAAATTTCGAGCACGTGTCACAATTAAATGTTTTAATAGTTTCCAATTTTCTGCAAGTATGATTTTTAAATGAAGACTTATGTGCCCCTCAAATAGACTTGAGGGATTGATCATAAGTTGACTAACCCTAAAATTTATGTTAATTTTTACCTACCTCTTGAACTGCATCACATTCATATGTGTGAATATGAAGCGTACTATATCAACCACATAAGAAATTTTTGTATGTTCCGAGTACACTATGTGTTTGGTGTACCATCCAATACACATAGGACATGTGGAAATATTTTACTTTTATGTCCTATGTGTATTGTACAATATTTCCATAAGTTCCATGTGTACTGGATGGTACACCAGTCACGTGGTATACCCGGAACATGCAAAAATTGCTCCAACCCCACCATATGATCTCGTATGCAGAGATAACTGTTCTTAAAGGCTATCAGCTTCAAGCCTTGTATATATATATATATATATATATATATATATATATGTATATACATATTTTCTCTTATGCGGACGTCTGAACGTTGTTACAGTGCAGACGCCATATTTTCTTCGATATTTACAATAGTATCCGCACAGTAATAATGTGATGTCCGAAAGAGATGTGTCCGATTAGTTACGGAACCCAATTGGAAATACTTTTTTAAGGCAAAACGAATCTTATAATTATACAAGTCAAATTTAAATCTAACCAATCTAAAGGAAATTACTCTGATGCATGGTATATATGCAAGTTATATATTATATATATAATTTTTTTTTAGCGATGCATGAAAGCTCCAAACCACTTATTTTGTCACCTTTCCCAGACTAGAATAATTTAAGGATAAAATTCCACATACTGGAGTCTTTTCTACTTTTTATATTTCAATTCATGTATACAAACACATGAAACTTAAACATGTGGGATATCTCATGGCCAATCAGCATTCAAGCTGAATGAACTGGACCAATCAATACACAGAATGAATTATCTTATTCTTTATCTTCAACTACACGTGTAGAGAGAGAGAGAGAGAGAGAGAGAGAGAGAGAGAGAGAGAGAGAGAGAGAGAGAGAGAGAGATTATGTGAAGTGGAAGCAAATTTACATGTTGGCTTGGTTCAATAAAAGAAAAGGAAAAGGAAAGAACTTTATATTTATATTTATTTCATGCTCTATATGATTCATATAATATGATCATTACCTTGAGAATGAAGAAAATAGGTATAGAAAACAGACAAAGGTCATGGAGTCAAAGACAAGACGACCAACTATCTCTCTCATAGCAGGTCCCTCTCCAAACCGTTTTCTACTCAGACCCATCAACCAACCTCTCTCTCACACATACACACACACACACACTCTCTCTCTCTCTTCCCTATATTGTAAGCAAACCCCACAACCATCACCATCATCATCACCATCATCATTCCCCCCATATGAAGCCTTCTGTCCCTCTTTTTTCTCTATAAAGTCATCACAGATTTACATCAAACCAGTTGGGAGAGAATAAGACATCAAAAATATTAATTGGCTCATCAGAGAAGCCAACCTCTCTTTCTCTCTTTCTCTCTCTCTCTCTCTCTCTCTCTCTCTCTCTCTCTCTCTCTCATCACAATGAGGAAGCCAGAGCCCTCAGCAGCAGCGGCAAAGAACAACAACAATAATTCCAACAACACCAGTAAGCTGAGAAAGGGTTTGTGGTCACCAGAAGAGGATGACAAGCTGATGAGCTACATGATCAACAATGGCCAAGGCTGCTGGAGCGATGTGGCCAGAAATGCTGGCCTGCAGAGGTGTGGCAAGAGTTGCAGGCTGCGTTGGATCAACTACCTGAGGCCTGACCTGAAACGAGGCGCCTTTTCCCCCCAAGAAGAAGAACTCATCATCCATTTACATTCTCTCCTTGGAAACAGGTTTTGATTCATTTCCTACCCCTTTTACTTTTACGATCTGTTTGATTTTGAATTCATGCATAAATATATGATATGTTGCTTGGTGTCACTTTCCATAACACTTATTTATTATTGTGATTTTTTATATTTTTTATATTTTTATTTTTGCAGCTGCATGTTGTTGTGGTTGTTGAATTAACTAAAAATGTTCTTCTCCCTAAGACAAGCAAGAGAGTTTCAGCTGGAATAATCTCTACATTAAATCTTTTGTTTGAAAGAGTAAACATTAAGATTTGAGAAAAAATGACGTCATACAATAATGAGAAGGCTGATGTGACAAGTTTAATTAGGGCAGTTGTTGAAAATATATAAAAATCCCTATTTTAATAGTCATTGGAATTTTGGAGTCTCTCCGCTCCAATATTTCAACATGCTAGTAGAGCAAATTTTGACCACGTACATTCATAAACTACATATAACACATGTACATATCACCCAAATTTGGCTACATTGACTTGTAGAAAGGTGATCAAAAAATACTTATGTCTCATATACTCCAACAAAAGTACCTTTGGATGACACATATTATACGGTTTTGCATGCTTTGCATCAATTAAACAAATACTTTTGACTTGTTCTTTCTTTTTATTCTGTTTTAATCTAATCTAAAATTATGAGGAGGGGGATTCGAACTCGGGTGTAGAGTGGGGAGCACATCCGATCTATCCAACTTAGCTAAACACATATATATGCACTTTTTCGTTGTTACTAATACGGATCATATACATAGATAACTACATCTACATGCATACACACACATATGCATATGCCAAGCTTTGCTTATGTCAAACTTTGACTATAATGGTAATGTAGAAACTATTAATTTTTTGGAATATATGTAAGTTGAAAAGGATTGGTCTTATATGGTGTATATTATTCTGTTTGAGTTAAAGACACTCAATTCCCATATTGTTTTAAAATATTAGAGTCCATGCAAATTAACCATGTATTAATATATAACTCAGTTTGTCTTCTTCAATAGATTCCTACCTGCTCTGGGCTGCTATAGATAAATTAATAAAGAAACTTATACCGCAATGTAATGTCTACATCTCTGCATCTCGAGTCGAAGACACTCAAAATCTTTTTGTGTTTTAAGTTAGGAAGGCATGCAAGTCATGCATTATTAAGAAAGTATAACCCATCAAACCACTTTAGTTGAAACCGACTTTATTTATTTTTATTTGTTTGTTTGTTTGTATGTAGGTGGTCACAAATTGCAGCACGCTTGCCAGGGAGAACTGACAATGAAATAAAGAATTTCTGGAATTCAACAATAAAGAAAAGGCTAAAGAATTTGTCATCCTCTAATGCCTCACCGAACACAAGCGATTCATCCTCGGAGCCTAAAGATCATCATGCTATGCTGGCAGGAGGGTTCATTCCTGGCCAAGAACATGGCATGATGCCTCTTTACATGGATTCATCACCGTCGTTGATGCAGTCTACGGTCCTCAACCACATGTTCGATCCGTTGCCTATGCTCGATCATGCCAGCCTAACCTTGCCCGGCGGTGCAGGTGGATACTACAATGCCACCCCATGCACCACACAAATCAATGGAGTTGGAGGTGATTGCTGTTTTGGAGACAATGGAGTGTTTGGGGTTGGTGGGGGTGTTGACATTGGGGTAGAAGGAGAGATATTTGTTCCTGCCCTAGAGTGTGTGAGCACTGAAGATCAAAATCTTAAAACTGAACCCATCTATGATCATAGGAACACCACTAATAGCAATTACTACAATAATATAAATAGTATTACCAACACTAATTACAATAATAATATTAAAGTTGAGAATATTGGGGTGGGAAATTACTATGATGACCAGGAAGAGCTAACAATGGGGGAGTGGGACTTGGAGGATCTGATGAAGGATGTTTCTTCTGCCTCCTTTCCTTTTCTTGACCATCAAAGTTGAATCATTGCCTTCCAATATTTTCCAAGGATTTTTTTCTTTTCGTTCTCTTTTTTCTTCACATACTTCTTGATTTCTTTTTCATTTTTCAAACATTTGAGATCCTCCTTTCGTTCCAGAAGACTTCCTAGTCATAGAATCAAGTAAAAAAACAGTGTTTTCTTTCTACTTGTATTACAACATGGTATAAGAAGACCTAGATGAAGTGGTGGGAATGGGGCTGAAATAAAGGTCACACTTGCGTATATATAAAGTGACCGGCTGGGGCAGTTTTGTATGGCGCTGAGAAGCTTCAATGGTGTCATACTTGTGAAGGAAGATGTGAATAGCTCATAAAGGTAGGGAGAGAGATACATGAAGATTAATTAATAATAATTAGTTGGTATATAACAGATATGAATTGTAGTTATTATGATATATGTACAAAAAGAATGGCTGGTGGAATTTTGTTTTCAGTGGGAGATAAGTAGGTTGTACTACACATTTGATATAATAGACTTCTGTCCTCTCTCTCTCTCTCTCTCTCTCTCTCTCTCTCAATTATCTTTTTTGACAAATTTAAGCTATATATATTCTAAATCACTCGAATGTAGTTGGAGGGGATCAAATTCGATCGAGTGCAATGAGACAGACACACTGCTTTAGCCAACGGGTAACGAAGTTATCACCATTGATGAAAGAGTAATTAGTAAGCTCTAGCTCTCATTCTAGCATGGACTTTTTTCTTCCATTATTAAATTATATTAGTTAGTTAAGCTGTATGGTTGGGTTTCTTAAGAGCAATTATACATGTTTACCAAGATGCTATGGCTTCACATAATTACTGTACCTAAAAAACAATCAATGCAAAGATAAAACTTGGCCAACTTATTCCAAGAAGTGAATAGAAAGCAACTTTAATTTGGATTTGTGATGATGACATATACTAATTTAGTTATGCAAAAAGAAAAAGACAAGGTGACCATTTTCACTTTGAATGACAGATGATGAGATGATGAGAGTGCTTCTTATAGCTATCATTTGCCTTTAGATTTTTAACGTACCATTCGCATAACTAACATGTGTTTGTTTTTGTATTCATTATCAGGAAGCTTTTATTTTTCTTCAAAGTTGAGACTGACATATGTGTGACCGATGATTACGCCAAAGTTATTAATTTCATGTAACATGCTAAAAGATATCCAACTGTTGGACTTTATCTGCAGAAATTTATGTAATTAGTTGAGGCCAAAGATCTGTTTCCTTTTCTGTAACTAGTGTAGTGTTTGTAGTAATTGCTCTCTTAGAAAGGTCCTAAATTCAAGTCATAGCATTCGTATAGTGTGTGTAAATTTAGTATGCTATCGCCCATTTTAATAGGAAATGTCTTTAAAAAAAATAAAAGCTTAGAACGAGAGAAAAACGAAAAAAGGAATGCAAAAAGAGAGATCATACTAAGTATCTCATAAAAATAAAAAATAAAAGCTATAATTCAATAGTCTATGGCCCAACCCAACCTTATTTTAGCATGTCGACCCAAACCAACTTGATGGGTCACGATTACAGTCAACGTTAGTCTATGGACAAACAATTTTTGTTTTGGGCATGGGCCCTATCCAATCAGCATATTTGGTTAGTGAACTACGTACCTGTGTTATTCAACATTTTTCTTTTCTTCTTTTTGAAATTAGAGTGAAAATTTTGGCCATTGGAGGGATCTGGGATATTGCGTGTCATATTACGGTTTGAATTCTGAATTTGGGTATTTAAGAAATACACGTTAAGGGCTTGTTTGATAACTATTTCAATTTTAGTTTTTAGTTTTCATTTTTCATTTTTTGTGCTAGAGTATAAAGGAAAAGAGGGAGAATGGAAGTGAGAATGAGAGTGGAGATGAGATTGATAAGGAAGATGAGAGGGAAGGAGTACCAAAAGTGAAAACTAAACTAAAAATTGAAATCTATTTGAAATTGTTTTCACTTTTGTTGATAACTCATATTATCACAAGTGAGCCGAGCCCCTCGAAAAACAACTCTTGTATCGAGCCAAGAAAAGTGAGATCAGAATGAGAGAAGTGATCGGTTGTTGAGGAACGACCCGACCACTTTGTCACCCTATCTTAGAGATGCATTAAATGAAACAACCTGGCAGATAGGAAAAGTCGGTCGATGCGTGTCCCATCCCTAGGCAAGTGTCGCTTTGCCCTTTAAATCTCTGAGAAAAGAAGTCGGTGACAAATAGGGAACATTTATTGTATCTCCCATCCTTGTTCACCTGTCACCTCACCACCTGACCCCTGTCATAAAGTAAGGTGATCAGGAACAGACATTAATTACGATTCAAACTAAGGGAAGTAAAGAAAAGATCTATCCCATAAAAATATCTGGACCTCCCTCTCTCCTTCCTATAAATACCCCTCACCTATCTCCAGACAAAGATAATAAAATGACTCTACACAAAATATAAACCCTACTTCCATTCTCTCTAGCAAATGTTAGTTTTTGACTTAACCATCGGAGAGAGTTAGATTGGAATCAACCCCAGTCCGCCCTAATTCTGATATCGTTCGAAGTGTGCAGATCTTCCTTCGGAAATCATCCACACTTGTGGGCCTTGCACGGGCCCAAGCCCCCCCCAGATCAAGCCTAAGCTTTCCATACGAGAAGGATCCACGGTATACATTTGGCGCCGTCTGTGGAAATTTACTTTATTTACGAACAAGAGCTACATTCCCTCTCCCATCTGAGCATCGACGCGAACGAAACCAAGTTATGTTGAGAAATCAACACCTCTAGAAGAAGGCCTCCACAAACTCAGTTAGGAGGAATGCCCAGAGGCAAAGGAGAGAGAAGCTAATATCTAGCTGCCTGAGAGGCCTGGAGGAAAAAATGAGTCGGATTATGAGGGGTGTCAAGGACGTGCAGAACCTTAGCAACAACCTATGCGCACAAAATGAAATACTGCAAGAGAGTCACACCTAGCTGGCATACTAGGTGCGCGCACAACAAGAACCCGAGCTGACCAGCACCAAGGACACCGATAGAGTCTCGTCCTCGTCAACAGAGGCTAGAACGCCGAAGCATAACGTGGCCGACGCAAGAGGCATATTAAAGGAAAAGAAAGCCTGGCGAGAACGCAACAAGTGCTTGGTAGAAAACCTCCGCAAGGGAAAAAAGCAGGTCGACTCGAGCGATGTTGAGGAAGAGGTCGACAGCATCACCTCCCAACTTAGAGATCTGGTCACTGGCGAGTTGAGGAGTGTGTGGGATCGCCTCGGACAGGTCGAGAAGTCCAAAATGCCTAGGGGACCAGAATTCACCAAGAAGGAGATCCCATTACCATATACCCGGGACTTGCTACACGTTCGGGTGGTGGGGGACTCAAAGGCCTCCAAAATCCCCCTGTATGACGAGATGACTGACCCGTACGACCACTTGGACAACTTTCGCTACGCTATGGAGGGACGCGATGCGAATGGAGCAACCAAATGTTGTCTGTTCCTAACGACTCTCAAAGGCCCAACCACGAGTTGGTTCAAGAGACTCACCCTAGAGTTCATCAGTTCATTTGCCAAACTTAGGAAGGTTTTCTTGGAAAGGTACATGATCATCTCTAATCGGATGTATACCGCAAATGATCTGTCCACAATTAAACAGCGACTGGATGAAAAGCTTAGGGACTACATCACTCGGTTCAATAACGAATATGCACGTTGCAAAGGATGCGATGAGGCCACCGCGCACAACGCTCTGATGGGTGGACTCCAAGGGGGAGACTTCTATTTTTCCCTTACTAGGAACCCGCCAGAAACATACAAAGACCTCATTCGTGAGGCCACATGCTACTCCCGAGCCGAGCAGTTGAACCTGGCTAGAAAGGCCACCACAAGATCGGTCTCGGAGGCCCATGTGTCATACCAACCCAGGGATAAAAGGCCCAACAACTATGCCTATGATTAGTCGGCAAAAAGGAAAAAAAAAGAGTTGGGGTCCACAACCCAGAAACACGACGTTAGGCCAGAAAAGCACAACTAGTTTACAAATTATACCCATCTGAACAAGTCGAATGGAGACATCTTCTCAGTTATATCTAGTGAGCTTCCTAGCCCAGCAAAAAAGAAATTTCCTTATCAGGGAAGGAAAGACGACAACAAATATTGCAAATATCATGGTGACTACGGTCATCACACGGACGACTGTTACTAGTTGAAAGAAAAAATAGAAGCACTGATCAGACACGGGAGACTAAAGGAGTATGTGGCGGGGGAGGCAGTGCCCATGGATGCCCAAGCATGGAACGACACCACTAGGGGCATCCCGGGTGTACATATCTACCATATCGGGCGGACCCGCGGTGACAGGCAATTCTAACAGGGCCATAAAAGCTATGCACAGGCCTACCGACTTGGGGCCACAGAGGTCATGACTATGGGAAGGATCGAGAGTCCATCCGCCCGACCCTCAAAGTACACAGAATCAGTCGCATTCTTCCAAGGCGACATGACGGGTGTAACCTTTCCCCATCATGACCCCTTGGTTATTACGGCCGAGATTGCCCACTACGAGGTTGCTCGAGTATTTTTAGATAGAGGAAGCTCAGTCAACATCATCTTTCTTGATGCCTTTAGACAGCTAGGGGTCCATGAAGGCCTCCTTGACCGATGCTGCCCAACCCTTGTAGCTTTTGGGGGAGGCCATGTGCAGCCCCTCAGCCATATGCATATGACCCTATCTATTGGGGTATACCCGAGGCAAACTAGCATCACCACGAACTTTGTTGTGGCAGAGTGTCCGTCGTCATACAATGTTATCCTCGGGTGCCCAGCCATTGGCGACTTGAACCTATCAAAAACATGAGAGAGTTGCTTGTTAAATTTCCCATCCACAATGGGGTCGAAGTTGTGAGGGGAGACTAAGAATCCTCATGGACCTATTACGCCTCCTCGGTCAAACTGAAAACCAAACTGACCTACGAGGTGTCTTGTGTGGAGACCCATGATGCTGCTGACTCGTCCAATTCTTCTATGAATATTGACATGAGAGGAGAAATCAGCTCCGTGAACCCAAAGTCAATGGAGGATCTCGAGGAGGTCACACCCTTGCTTGAGTTTCCAGATCGTCTCTTACAAATCGACACCCAACTCCCGCCGGCTGTTCGCCAAGAACTAATCAGGTTCTTAAAAGAGAATACTAACATCTTCGCTTGGTCCCATGAGGATATGCGCGACATTAGCCCCGATGTGATCACCCACCGCCTCAGTATTGATCCACAGTACCGCCCCGTTCACCAGAAGCGTCGTCTGGTATGCCGCAATGAAAACAAAGGCGGACAAGTTACAACGGAATAACTTCATCCGCCTGATGGATTGTCCTCGCTGGTTGTCCAATGCTGTCATGGTCCGGAAGACGGAGGATAAATGGCGAATGTGTGTCGATTTCACCAATCTTAACAAGGTCTGCCCCAAAGACAGCTTCCCCCTGCCTAGGATCGACCAGCTTGTTAATGCCATTGCAGGGCACGAATTGCTCAGCTTCATGGATGCCTGCTCAGGATACAACCAGATTCGCATGCATCCAGCTGACCATGATAGTACATCGTTTATTACTGATCGGGGTACGTACTGTTATTAGGTCATTCCATTTGGCCTAAAAACGCGGGGGCTACTTATCAACGATTGATTAACCACATGTTTGTCGACCAGATCGACAAAAGCATGGAGGTTTATGTCGACGACATGCTGGTAAAAAGTATCCACGCCGATCAGCATATTGCTGACCTTTCTGTCACTTTCGCAATCTTACGGAAATATGACATGAAATTAAATCGCGCTAAATGTGTATTCGGGGTCTGCTCGGGGAAGTTCTTGGGATTTTTGGTTAGCCACAGGGGCATTGAGGCTAACCCTGAAAAGATCTAGGCTCTCATCGGAATGACTCAGCCCAGGACTCGGAATGAAGTCTAGAGCCTAGCCTGGCGCTGAACCGGTTCATCTCTAAAGCTATTGATCAGTGTCTCCCTTTCTTCAAATCACTCAAAGGAAAAAAAAGGTGGTCGATTGGACACCCGAATGTGCTCTGGCGTTTGAAAGTTTGCAGGTACATATGGGACAAGCTCCCATTCTATCGAAACCTAAGGTCGAGGATATTTGTCCTTATATCTCTCTGTCTCCTCATCGGCCGTCAGCTTGGTGCTGACCAGAGACCCGAATAACACCCAGCACCCAGTTTACGACGTAAGCAAGGCATTGATGGATATAGAAACACGGTACCCGAAAATTGAGAAACTAGCTCTGGCTTTGATCGTCTCAGCTCAGAAGTTACGCGCCTACTTCCAAGCCCACTCCATCCTAGTCCTTATTGATCAGCCACTCAACTTGGTCTTGAGGAAACCCGAGACCTCTGGACGTCTCGTCAAATGGTCTGTAGAGCTGGGCGAATTTGATATCACCTACCGACCACGCACAGCCATGAAGGCATAGGCCATTGCCGACTTCATCTTCGAATTGACGACATCCGCATACAACTCCAGCATGCCAAGTGTGGTGGAACCAATCCTAGCTTCGATTCGGTCTAGCATAGAAGACATCTTACCCACCAACCCGCCCTAGCCATGTTGGACCATATTTGTCGATGGTGCGCCCAACTTATAAGGATGCAGCACGGGCCTTGTTTTAATTTCCTTGGGCGGAATCACGGTGGAGTACACTCTGCAATTTTGGTTTGGTTTTCGATTTTTCCAATTTTGGACCGGATTATTATTATTATTATTTTTATATCAATTCCAACTAAAATTTTAGTTTTTGGGGCTTGAAAATTAACAAATGATCCAATTTCATACAAAGAAAGATATTGTGCCTAGAAAAGAGAGATGTTTTGAACTTGGCTTAGGAAAATATTAGATATGAGATTAAAGAACAATCGGTCTAGTTCGATTTGATAAGGTGTGAAATTGAAACCGAAACCGGTTGAAATCGGTCCGATTCGGTGTTGGTTTGTTGACTTTTTTAGTCAATCATTTTTTTTTCTTCAGTTTTTTCCATCTCGTCCGACTCGATGTTCCAATTTTTCGATCTAGATACCCATCCCTACTTGTATTTGTTCATGATGAAAGTATCGTCAAGGAACAACATAGGCCTTCACCATCAGAAAATTGTCAATGAAAGCCTTGAAACAAATAGAGATCATAATTGTTTGGGCCTAAATTCCACGCACTAGCCCAATCCATTATTGAATCATATAAAAAAGCACGAGTCTGGGCTTTGTTTAAAGTCAGAAATTAGCCCAGATAATTTTAGAACCCCAGACCTTTGTAATACAATTAGCAAGGATTAAATTCATAGATTAAAGATTAATTGCTATTAAAATGGTGAGTTAATATGGACAAATCAGTTTTCTAAATTGATTTTAGGAGTAGGCCCAACTTCTAAAAACTTTCCAAAGGCCCAAAAAATTGATCATCATCGCTGATCTCAATACCAGAGGTCAAATCAGCAGATATTTTTAGAAGATATTTTCTCTCAAAAAACCCCACGTGACTCTGAAAGTCAAAGTTTTCAAACGGGCAAAGGAAGTGATGGGGAGTTAATAAAAAATAGGTTCATCAGAAGAACACTCTCCATAACCATTTAAAAAGCTAGAAAAGAAGGGCGGCCAAGTTTCCTTTTCTATGCTCATGAGGGCTCTGCATCAGAACATGATGTGTTTTTCAAGAAATAAACAGGAGATAGGAGAGTTGTTTGCCAGAAAAAGCAAATAGACCATCATAGAAACTGATTGTTGATGGTTCTTTTTGCCAGAATAATAACTCCCCTTGTTTCTTCACTAGAAAAAGAAAAATCCTTTCAAAAGATCTACCCTCTAGATATTAAAATTAAACCCTCAAACATATTTTCTATAAATATGAGAGGAGGTGAACAGGGTTAAAGGAGCCAAAAAATTCAATCAAAACAAAAACTATCAAAGTTATATCGACAAATTCAAAACAAGATCAGTCGATCTTAAAAGTCTTCAGTCTCTGAAGCAACCCGACTCTTTGATTCACAAAAGACAGATCAGCCAGAACTCAGGCTTTTGACTTTAGTTCACTTTAAAGAAACAGTTTACAAAGGAAACGAGATTTCTCTCGTTATAAATTTGGTTCAGCATAAGCCAATCAAGAAGAATTTGGGTTTATCATAATATGAAAACCTCAACAAATTCACAGAAATGCCTTGATCTTTCAAAATTGCTAGAATAACTCTTGGATGATTCATAATTAAGCAGAACAGGTACTGTGGTGCAGCTCCAGGCCAGCAGTCATCAATCCAGCCACTTCCACCCTTGTCCAGACTAATGAAATCTCAATTATGCCCATCCAGCAAGCCTCTCCATGGCTAGGATAGATTAAAGCTCTACCAATCTCCATATTGATATTGATTTCCAACTGAGCCTCATTAGTTGAAGATGCTAACGTCTGAATCCAGCATAGATACACCCAGTCCAGCCTGAGTCACAGACAACAATCCAAGCAGAAATCGAAGCCCAATGTTCTGTTGTCCTTTCAAACATGGCAGTCCTCTTCTGTCTTAAAAGTTGTGTAATAGGTAGTTTTTCCTAAAAACAATTTGATTTATTTTCAATATTTATTTTGGCTAAAACTACCAGCTTACTGTGATAAATTGTGAAGTCCTCACCAGTCTGAGACAAGAAAAGAACTTACTTGGGAGATATTCCTCACCCAAATTCACAATTGTTTGTTTAAAGTTAGTAACTTGGGGCGCAAGTTATCTATTTTTCATAAGTCTGTTAGGGTTTTTAAACATTTTTTTTAAGGGGAAAGCGATGGGTTTCATTCCATTCAACTATAAATAGTGTGTGCAAAAGGGCATGTTAAGGTGGCCCTGTTAAAACCTTCCCAAGGAAAACCAAGTGGGATAAAACCACGGGGAAGGAAAAAGTACCACCCATGCCAGCCGTACAATATAAGATTCCTAGAAACAAGGAAGTTAAAAAGAGTTTGCAACTAAAGCATCATGCAAAACTATTGGTGGGGGGTGTTCCAGAACCACTCAGCCATCCCCAAGAGAGTGTAATGCCACCCTAGCAAGTCTTGCAGCAGCTTCATTAGCCTCCTTCATCACACGTTGTAATAATATATTATCATGCTGTGCTAGTAACCGTTTGCAGTCGTCAACTAAACAACCCAAGTGGGACAAGTCCTGTGATACTTGGCTTAGAACATTAACAACTCCTTGACCATCACCTTCAATGAGTCGCTGCACATTAGGCCATCTTTGGGCAAACAAAAGCCCCTCCTTTAAGGGTAGTAATTTTGCATGCAGAAGGTTGGAGACCCCCGAACAGCATGCAGGGAAAGTGCCTTCATGGTCATGAGCCACAATTCCAATCCCTCCAATCCCTGTCGCGGCTCGACAAGGCCCCCCAAGATTGATTTTCATAAATCCCAAGGGCGGACGCTGCCATTTCGCCTTGACTCGAGATGAAGAAATCAGAGGAGGGTGTTGAAGCTCATAATAAGATTCATGCAGAAGCCGGATGGCTCCACTAACAATTTTTGACACACTCCGCCGACGTTCATTTTAGACCACTTGGTTACGTTCGTTCCACAGAGCCCACAAACACATCATGACTTGCTCTAACTCAGGGGCTGAAAGGGTGAGGGCAACACCTTGGAACCAAGTTGTGAGGTCCACAACCACTACCCTTTGAAGAAAGTCCCAACATGAGCAGTAAAGCCAAACAGTGGCACGCTCGCACACTAAAGAAAGTTAACTTATTGACCATAAATGGTTCTCAAGCTAATGGGGAACTTTTCCCTACCATCACAGGACTAAATCAAAATGGGTGAACAATAATCAATCAAATCAATAGATCAAAATCAATTAAAATCAGACAAAGAAATTGAAGTAGTTAGCAACACAAATTCGAATGAAGAGGAAAACGAGAGCTATGTAATGAAGAAAGCAACAAAACTCAACTTCGAATGAGGGCAACAAGGTAAGTTCGCCACCAAAATTAAAATCGAAATGGACAGCTCGCGAGTTATTGGTTTTTTCCTTTGAAATCTATACTAATTGGCATAATTGTATTTCAGAAACTAATCAAACTAAGGCAGTGGACAACTGTCCACTTTTGGGTTTTTTTGTTCTCCAATTTCAGTGATTTAGTGTTTCTTTATATTACTAACGGTAGAAATGAGGTTATATATAACTTTGAAAGTAAAAAATTGAACTTATTTTTTAATACAAGCGATAGTCTAAACTACAACGGATGGAAAGTTTTTCTCATACGGTCAAACCCCGTTAGCTAAATAATTGAAACCTTAAAACAATGAAATAACATAAAGCATTAACAATTTATTTATTGGTTAGGGAAAAAAAAATTACTGTGTTACTAAAGTAATTAAGGAAAACTGAGACAACTCGTTGCTAATTGGCTGGGTGCCACACTTTGGTAATTCCTGAAAAATAGAAAAAAGAAAAGCACACGTCGCCTGAGAGATTCGAACTCTCGCGGGGAAACCCCATGTACTTAGCAGGCACACGCCTTAACCACTCGGCCAAAGCGACATTTGGTTTTCCTTTTGCATTATATTTAAATATATATATATATATGTAGTTTGGAGATTCGCTCGAGTGCCCTCGCGCTTACGCAGAGACACTGTGGGACAGCAGGATCCAGGCTGCGTTTTAGCCCACGTGCACACTATGTGGTGCCTGTTGATCAGTGGTATTTCCGTCTTTTCACACGCCTCAAACTCCTGGCCCTCGGCGCAGGCGGATCTCCTCTGCCGCTTCCCTACACGCCTCCAAGTCCAACAATCCACTTTCCCTTGGCGCCATCTGCTTCTCGCTCAGAACCTTTGCCTTTTTCCACGAGAGCGGACAAATAATCCACCGCCAATCCCAACGCGCCACGTGGACCCAATCACTTTCCACTCGTCCCTCTCCTCTCCTTCCCCATCCCCACGTCATCAACAAGAAAAAGCTACGCCCCCAGTCCACTCAGATCCTTCCACGTGGACCCCCTTCCCCTGCGCATGTTAGCGACAGTAGTCAGTAGGCAGCAGCAACTGTCGAGGATGTTGAGACTTCAGACGGAGATTTCGATTTTCAAACCATCAACTACCAGCCACTCCAGACGATATTTCCAAAGCGCCGTTTTGAAAAAAAAGCGTTATATTCCAACACCAATCCACTCCGTCGGATTTAAATCCAACGGCCCATATTACTCCTCCACTTTTACATAAATACCCTTCCCTCCTCAAACGCCTCCATTTTCGACACATGCTTCTTCCGCTGCTGCTGCTTCTCTGAGCACCCGCCGCAGCAGATCCCAGCCCCTTCCCGAAAATGGCATCGCTCGCCCTCACCACCACTCTCTCCCCCACCCTCCCCTCTCTCAGATCCCACGCTTCCTTCCCAAAAGCGCTACTTCTAAAACCGTTTCCACTGTCCCAAACCCGCCGAAACTCCCTTAAAACCGCCGCTCTCGGTCTCGGTTTCAACAAAACCCTCATTTCCTCCCCCAAACTCGCAAATTTAACCCGAGACTTTTCTCCCCCCCGCCGTGGCCTCTCTGTCAAGGCCGCTGCGACAACCGGTGGCTCTTCGATCACTCCGGCGGCCAAGGAACCATGGCAAGGCGCGGCCATGAAGCCTTTGCTCGCGTCCATTGCGACGGGCGTAATCCTCTGGTTCGTGCCCACTCCTGCCGGCGTCACCAAAAATGCGTGGCAGCTTCTAGCGATTTTCCTCGCCACCATCGTCGGCATCATCACCCAGCCCTTGCCTCTCGGAGCCGTCGCCTTGCTCGGCCTCGGCGCCTCCGTCCTTACTAAGACGCTGACTTTCGCGGCGGCTTTCTCCGCCTTCGGAGATCCAATCCCCTGGCTCATCGCCCTCGCCTTCTTCTTCGCCCGGGGCTTCATCAAGACCGGCCTCGGAAATCGAATCGCGTACCAGTTCGTCTCCCTCTTCGGTAGTTCCTCTCTAGGGTTAGGGTACAGTCTGGTCTTCAGTGAAGCCCTGTTGGCTCCGGCGATCCCATCCGTCTCGGCCCGAGCCGGAGGAATTTTCTTGCCGTTGGTGAAGTCGCTCTGCGTCGCGTGCGGTAGCAATGTCGGGGACGGGACAGAGGGAAAGTTAGGGTCGTGGTTGATGCTGACGTGTTTCCAGACTTCGGTGATTTCGTCGGCCATGTTCTTGACGGCCATGGCTGCTAACCCGTTGAGCGCCAACTTGACTTTCAACACGATTAAGCAGACGATTGGGTGGACGGATTGGGCTAAAGCTGCAATTGTGCCTGGTTTGGTGTCGTTGATTGTGGTGCCGCTGTTGTTGTATGTGATTTACCCCCCGGAGGTGAAGAGCAGCCCCGACGCTCCCAAGCTTGCCAGGGAGAGGCTGGAGAAGATGGGCCCCATGTCTAACAAAGAGATTATAATGGCTGGCACTCTGCTTCTTACGGTACGCATTTCCTTTTAGTTGCTAATGCAATAATTAGTCAAATGTAGTTAGAAGTTTCTGGGTTTTTTAATTTGGTCTTGCTTAGAAGTTTCTTGATAAGCTAAATTTGACAATGATTAGTGAACTTGGTTTTTTGATTATTTCCAATGAGTATTTGAGGCATTGAACTGTGTAGTTTGTTGTCGTGTTTTACATAGAGCTTCAGTGATCTGCAAAAATTGAAGGGCGACCATTTTTTGGTTTCTTCTTGTAAAAAATTGTGTCTTGACTTAAGCTTTTTTGGTTGTAAAATATAAATTAATGAGTGGAGGTTGTTGAAGAGCCACTCTGTTATTTTTAAAAGAAGCTGTAATCAGTTTATGGTTTGAATAATTGCAAGAATTTAATTAGTCATCAGTGCCATTCATCCTCTTTCGCAAATTTTAACTGAATGTTCTAAGTCTCTGTTTATTGCCTTCTGTTTTTGAATTTGCATGTCCCTCAGAAAATTTAATTTATCCGTCATGTCAAATGCTGTCAGTAATTGTTCCTTTTCCATTTCTTGCATCAAAATCCTGTTCTCTATGATGCTATATGCAAGCATTACAATTTATTGCTAATAAACTAGAAATGGCTCTTCTCTTGGTGGTAGTCCCATTTGACATGATATTCATTCAGCGCATGAAAATTTGATTCGTCTACTTTCAGTTTTTGTTGTGAGGTAGCATTGAGTCAATTGGTTCTGAAGTAACCAAATGTTATGTTGTATGATAATTTTACTGGCAAGGTTCCCTTCATCATCGTTTATCTTTGTTGATGATATTCTGTAGTAACTGACGCTTCTCATGCGTGATTAAGGATTGTGAATGTGTTTCCTGATAGCGTTTGTTTGGAGAATTGTATTTTATGGGGTTGTAGGTTTTAAGTTTCTCGAATTATCTACCAACTCAGGGTGTTGGGTGGGAACTCTGGTAGGCTGTTCCTTGCAGCTTCTTTCTTAGGCATCATTCCTCTTCAGTTTAGGACACTGTTAAAGCTCGTGTGAAGAGAGGAAAGGTTAATACTTATGATTGAAGGATAAAGTCACCTTTCTAAGCAAAAGTGTTTCTAACTAACCAACTAATTATCCCCTTTTCATCTTGCTCTTCCTCTAGTGGTTGTATAGGCTAGTAAAAAGCGACGAGGTATAGTCACATGGGGATATTACAAGCTTCATATTACTTACTGAATGCAATGAAGTATTTCTTAAAAGATTATTGAAATTTCCTGTACTGTAAAGTTTCCTGTACATGTAAAGTTTAAAACCAGCATAGGATAGGAAATGTGAAGGATCCAAAATGCAAAAGAGATTATGAATCAATGGACTGAAGTGTTTATGGGAAATATTGAAATTGCCTGCACTGGTAGATGTTAACACCTGCCATTAACTTTTCAGGGTGTATGTTTTCAGAGTTTAGCATTTACAGTATGACATTTGCAACTGGGTGGATAGGGGTCATAACTACACTTTTAATTCTCCTATGCCATGCTGATTGTTGTAGCACCCTAAGCTTGAAAATACTATTGTAATAACTCAGTTCATGCTGTAAAACTATTTCCCTTTACTGACACTTGTACACAAATGTCTTATGCTGTTTCTGTGGATGCATCTATATTGTCACTTGAAAATATATATGCTCATAGTTTACCTCCTTTTCTCTGTGATATATCAGGTTGGACTTTGGATTTTTGGAGGAGTTTTGAATGTGGATGCTGTTACTGCTGCCATTCTTGGATTATCTGTTCTCCTTGTTACTGGTGTTATTACATGGAAGGAGTGCTTATCTGAATCAGTTGCTTGGGACACACTTACTTGGTTTGCTGCACTCATTGCAATGGCTGGGTATCTCAACAAATATGGTCTTATCTCCTGGTTTAGTCAAACTGTAGTTAAGGTTTGTCTTCTTTTTCTCTTACCTAGATGTGCATGCTTATAAATGTAGGTTGGCAGTTTAGATGAGCATTACATTTTTTTTCTTTGTTTCTGTGGTGAAAAACTTTTAGCACACGCAGACCTTACTCGCATAAAAGTGGGTTCATCCTCACTTAATTTATGGTCCTTTCATAGTTATCATTTGTATGTATTTCAGTTTGGCAAGTTTCCATAACTGGCTTGAGACTTACAAATCAGTAAGAAATTTTAACTAGCTTACAAGTCACTCTGCTAGTTATCCATCATCTGATTTCAGCACTTTTCCATTTACTGGTGTAAACTACTGCACTCGTATTAGTGCACTAATGTTTTATGTCCTGCTATATGACCTCAACCTTAATGAATCTTCTGCCGTATGTTGTTAAGTGCAGTATTTTACTTTTGGTTGTCAGTGTCACTAACAACTATTCTGCTCTTTTTACAGTTTGTTGGTGGATTGGGTCTTTCATGGCAGCTGTCTTTTGGCATTCTGGTTCTTCTCTATTTCTACTCCCACTACTTCTTTGCCAGCGGAGCTGCTCATATTGGTGCGATGTTTACAGCATTCTTGTCTGTTGCTAGTGCTCTTGGTACTCCACCATACTTTGGAGCGATGGTGCTTGCATTCCTCTCCAACCTCATGGGTGGCCTTACCCACTATGGTATTGGGTCGGCGCCTGTTTTCTACGGCGCTAACTATGTTCCGCTTGGCAAGTGGTGGGGCTATGGATTCCTTATCTCTGTCGTCAATATTATTATTTGGCTAGGAATTGGAGGGGTTTGGTGGAAGTTCATCGGCTTGTGGTAAAGGGAGTTGGCCATGAAAATCTGCTGACTTAAAATCCGGCACTGTTTCTGATTCAGATGCTGTTTCACTTCTTTACTGAGGCACACTAATGATCTTTCCCTTTAATTCTTTCGCGTGGAAATAATATTTGGTCATTTCAGGGAGACCTTTTGGGTGAAATTTGGTATACATAGGAGGTCTATTTTAGAGCAGAAATTAGATAATGTACCCCCAAATTTTGATGTAGCATCACAGGAGTTGTCTTCAATTCATGATCATCATTTGTTGTATGCTTGTGGAATCTACCCTTATCTTGCGTCACATTTATTTTCTCAGTGGTGTACCAAGAACAACACAAGGGCTCATCACGTCACCATATTACTTTTTACATTGTTAGATTAGATTAGTAGGTTTTGAGTGCTTGGGCTAGATATAATTTGGTTGAATATTCCATTACACATTATCTTTTTTGCATTTGTAGTGACTGTGCAGTGGGCTCTTGAATATTACATTACTCATTATCTGCAAAAAAAAAAGGAAAAAAAGAAAGGGTTCAATATCAAATTTTGGTAGTCTACAATATTAAGTACCTTCATTTGATCACCTAGATTGACAATAAGAGCCTGGGGTTTTATTGTAGCATCATCTGAGCCGGGACCATGTAGCATCTTTGAAAAGCGGAAGACAATGTGTTGGGTTTAACCGTTCTTTTCATCTTGTTAGCTATGTTTTAGTACACAAGTAAATCACCATATGGCACTTTAGAGCATCTCTAAGGGCTCGTATGGTACGTTGGACTGTACTAATTAATTTATGTTGGATAGTATTAATCTGTTCTGGAACTTACGGACTATTTATTCATAATATTATAAGGCGTTTGATGCTATTTCGGATAAATAGTCTGACTAAGTTATACCGTGGTGCTATTTCGGATAACATCGGAATAGACTATTTAAAAAAAAAAATTCTTTGCTAATTTAAGTGGACGTTGAAATTCAAATGACATGAATGGTTTTTTTGGGTAAGATTCATAGGACAAGATTTGTTTTTCAATTGTTTTTACCAAGATTTTTTTTTCATATAACCCATTATAATATATTATTCTTTTCAATTGTTATCTTTGTTTCTAGTTCTCAACATAGTGAAAAAGTGGAAAACAACAAACAAAAAGCGAAACATGGACAAAGAAATAATTCCACGAATCACTTTATTTGCTAAAGATTCCCACAACGTCGAATCATTATATCACATACCAAAACATTCGATTAAAAACAAAATGTCAAAAAGGAAAAATTCATAACCTAATTTCCACAAAAAATTAATAAAAGATGAAATATATAAAGAAGAGAGAAGAAACAAGAAGCATATTGAAGAGAGTTTCAAAAAGAGAGAGTGAGAGATGGATACCCGGAGAATAGTGAAGAGAATAACCTGTGGAGAAGATAGCAAAGAAGAACCCTAGGGAGAAGAAGATGAAAAGAGTGTCTGATTTTTCTCGTAGAACGCATGTTCTTTTTCCCTAGGCGTATAATTAAGCGTGTATTATCTAAACTGGGGTGTGTGAGTTATATTAGTTAGTTTGGTAAGGAGAGTATTAAAAGCCCAATCCGTATAAAATAGTAAGCTAATTAAATAATACAAGATGACACCAAACATCTGATATGAAATATCTACTCATATCCAGAGTCTAATATAGTGAACCAAACATACCTTAAAGATAAACAAAAGTTTACTATATAAACTGATATGGCATGTTGCCTATTTAGTTGCCTATTGGAAAAAAAATTGATCACTTCAATGGAACTAGGCAATTATATTATTTATTTTTATCTTTTACATTTACCTCATTTCACCAACCACAAAAAAACAAAAGAAACTTGTATTTTATAAATAATAAAAATATGTGGATCCAATATAGACTTTGAAGTAGACAATATTTTGCCTACCCATTGGAGATGCTCTTTAACTTGTCTTTGTTTTTTTGTTTACAAGAGGATGTTCTGTTCTTTCTTTTTCTTTTGTTTTGTTTTTGTTTTTGTTTTTTTTTCTAAATAATAGACAAACAGGGCTACTTTTCTAGACCTGCATAATTATAGTGGAGAAGAATGCATATACTGAATATTAGGAAGGAAAAATATAAAATATAAGCAAGCCTCATATAATTCAATAGGATAGATAGACTTTATTTTTTTTAATATCTCTCCCCTTGAAATTGCAGAAACGTCCAAGTTGCTCCCATCATGAGCTTCCCTTGAAACAAAAGAGATATCATTTTCATTTGCAGCTGAAATTACAGAAGCTCTTTTTTTGGGGGGTGAGGCTAGAAAGAAACCAACCAACCAACCAACCACACAGACAGACATGGCTGAATCTTCTTCCACTATTGCCAAGCCCACTATAGAGTTAGGATCCAAAACTGTCCAAGAGCTGCTCCTGCTCGCCAAAGGGGAACAAGAAGTGCCCGAGAAATATATCTATAAAGTTGGAGCCCCAGATGCTTCTTCTGTCCAGTTGAAGGATATTCCAGTAATTGATCTTGGCCTACTCCTCACACCTTCCTCAACCACTCAACAACTTGAGAATTTTCGATCAGCTCTTACCACATGGGGTTGCTTTCAGGTCTGAATTCAAATACCCAATTTAATTGTGTTTACTTGAGAAAACTTGGTACATGAATTAGCAAAGTTTTGAATAATCTACCTGAATTCATATGTAAAACATGCTTGATGCTGCTGCTTTGATTCTGTGTTCCAGGTAATAAACCATGGCATGACACCTGAATTCCTAGACGAGGTCCGCGAAATGACAAAACAATTTTTCGCACTTCCACTGGAAGAGAAGCAGAAATACTTGAGAGAAGTCAACGACATTCAAGGATATGGGAACGATATGGTTATTTCTCAACAACAAACACTTGATTGGACTGACCGGCTATACCTTTCTGTGTATCCACAAGAGGCTCGAAAGCTCAAATTGTGGCCTCAAAATCCCCAATCTTTGAGGTAACTTGTGTTTGCTTGCTATAAATGTATCTTCTTCCTTCACTCTGAACTGAAGCAACCAGCATATCATGATCTCTCATTCATAGTTCAACATGTATATATATTATTATTACTAGGGTTATCTACTATAGACGTCCATGAACTTAGCTCCCAGTTGCAATTAGGTCTGTGAACTTTTTTTTTCGAGGCAATTACATCAGTTAACTCGATAAATAGTTCCAATTGGGTCATACTGTCCAACTTTGTCAATTTATCTGTTAAGTGAGAGGGTAAAAGTGTCATTTCGGGTTCTTCATCCATCATTGACCCCAACTCCACCTTCTTCATCCATCATCAACCCTAACAACCCCACCTCCATCTTCACAAGTTTACAATACAAATCCATATCAAACAGTTTGTGATTGGTAGAAACCACATAGGATTTACTTGGCTTTATTTACAGATGCACAATAGGGGATTAATAAGATCATATCTTAGAGCCAGCCCCTTGTATAAGGTTCCAAACATAGCAAAATTCCCTTTTGGGGTATTTCGAAGGTGTAACCTAGGCAACGAAAAAGGAGCCCAATACTTCAACTAGAGTTCGAACGAATCCCTTAGATACAAGCCTAGAACCTCAGTGAGTTTGAACGAATCACTTAGATACAATTCTCTCATATTCCACATTTATGAAAAATCTGGAATTGTTTTCAATTCTGGGCAGCCATTTGCTTTCAGAACATACAAAATGGTTGGTTGGCAGGCTACAAAAGTCATTGCCTCCAAGAAGCAGATCTTCTAAGGATATTAAGCTACATAGATCCTTTGGGATTGCATCCGTAGTTAACCGCCAGCAGCCTGCAAGACATAACTCTATTAAAGAGTTTAAGCCATGTAATAAAATGGGTAAAGATGGGGGGTGGGTTGTAGGTTGGGTTGGGATCTGGGTTTTGAAGGGGGGAATGGGTTGCGAGAGAGAGGGAGAGACAGAGCGAAAGAGAGAGGGATTTGGATTTTTGTTTTTTATTTTTAAGTTTATTTATTTATTTATTATTTATACTTTTTTCTTTAATTTTTAAAATTTAAAATATTTTAATTAAAATGGACGGTTTTAGCCCTTAAATTAATAGCCAAATTGGAAGGACTCAATTGGAACGGATGAGAGAGTTGGATGACCTAATTGCCTCAAAAAAAAGTTCGAGGACCCAATTACAATTGGGGGCCAAATTCAAGGATGTCTACAGTAGATAACTCTTATTATTATTATTATTATTATTGCAGGGGAACCTTAGAACAATATTCGAGGAAGTTACAAGTGGTAACAAAAACTGTCCTTGTGGCCATGGCGAGGTCATTGAATTTGGATGATAATTGCTTTTGGGAGCAGTATGGAGAAAAAGGGAAAATGGATGTGAGGTTTAACTTATATCCTCCTTGTTCAAGGCCTGATGTTGTCCTAGGTCTCAAACCACATGCAGATGGAACAATAATCACCCTTCTCTTGCAAGACAAACAAGTCGAAGGCCTTCAGTTTCTTAAAGACGATCAGTGGTTTAGAGCTCCCATTGTTCCTGAGGCGCTTCTCATTAATGTCGGTGATCTAGCAGAGGTATATCAAATGTTTTCTCTCAACCTGTTCAATTAAGATAATGATATCAACCTTCTCTCTAACCTTCTCATTTGGACTTTCTCCATTTTCCTTATGACATGTGTCATTTTCTTTACACTTAAAACAATGCCATTAATACAACAAACAACCTAGCTTTTGTTTTTCATATTTACCCTTATTTGATGTATTGAATTTACTTTAATTTATTGATTTTTTTACAGCTTTCTTAATAACTTGTAAAAAATTATTATATTAATTCCTTAAATATTAAAATTAAATATTTTAAAAATTAATTAATTTTTTTTAAAAAAAAAACCTATCTCAAGCCGTCCCCCACCTTCTTCCCCAAAGCCCGGCACCTCCATCTTCCCCACCTATCTCAAGCACAACAACAGCCCAACCCAAATTTAAAAATATCACCATAAAGTTTGCAAACTTGAATATGAGAAATAAACAAAATGATTTTGATGGATTTTGATTTTGATTTTGATTTTGATTTTTTTGTGGGAGATGTCATGTTGTTTTAGGTGTGCAGGTCTGGCTCTTTCAAAATGATAATAGAGGGTTGGATTTGGGGCTGCAAGTCTGTGATTATTCGAAGAGAGAGAGAGAATTGGAAAAAAATTTGAATGAATTGAAGTAAACATTAAAGTCAATACAAAATAAGGGTAAATATGGAAAACAAAAAGTAGGTTGTTTGATGTATTAATGGCATTGTTTTAAGTGTAAAGAAAATAACACATGTCACGAGGGAAAGGGAGAATGTCCAAAGGAGAAGGTTAGAGAGAAGGTTGCTAGCATTCCCCGTTCAGTTATTGGTTTTAAGTAACTTTTAAAGCAAGGCATGAAGAAGAGTGGTAAAGCTTAATTGAAATTTGGTGAGTAATTGAAATTGTACCCTTTTGGCCAACGGACTCTAGCCCAATGGAAAAGGACATTGGACTTGCAAATCAGTGGTTTCAGGTTTGAATCCTCATGACAGCTTTATAGTATGTCTGATAAAGAGCCCCTTCCCAATATCACTTATATAAAAAATAAAAATAAAAATGTTCCCTTTTATATGTCATTGTTGTTAGGACTAAAACCAACTCATCAAATATGCCTTTTAATGATTTGAATGAGACCCTTTGAGCGAATTTTAACAACCTAATGCAGTTGGTTTGGCTTACAAAAGCTTGATTGTTGGTTTCCTTGTGATACACAGATATTGAGCAATGGAATATTCAAGAGCCCTGTACACAGGGTATTGACAAATCCAGACAAGGAGAGGATTTCTTTGGCTGCTTTCTGCTTGCCTGAATTAGATAAAGAGACTGAACCTTTTGAAAGCCTAGTCAATGAGTCAACGCCAAAATTGTACAAGAAGGTGAAAAATTATGATCGCACATATTTCGACTACTACCAGCAGGGGAGGAGACCAATTGAAGCATCAAAAATTTAAACTTACCCTTTATTTCTCTCTCTTAAACTTATATATATATATATATATATATATATATATATATATTTATGGGGTGGATCTTGGCACTCTATTTGTTACGTTTTCTTTCTGTTTGAGGTAATTAACTTTTGATTGTCAAATCTACTATTTTTATTTATTTTTATAAATTCTTATTTAATAGAGACTGATAATCTGCTTCCCAGTGATTGGCACGTCTTTGGTTCTGTTTCTTCTTCAGAGCAAGTAGAGATAGATAGTGATAAAATCTGCTGCATGCTAAAATATGAAAACTATGAAAGAATATTTGTTTGTGGGAATTTTCTGTGTATTCTTCTCCTTGTAGAAGGTCATATTTATAATACAACGAAACCTGAATGGGCAAGTAAATAATAAATTCCTAAATCTATTTACAGTAGGAAATCATGAATTAAAGTAAATCAATTACAATTATAATAGGAATTCTTGGTGTGTAAGGAAAGTAAGTCAATATCCACAAGTCACGCCAACACTCCCCCTCACGTTGGTGCATAGATGTTGCCAATGCCCAACTGATCCAGTGAATTGTGGAACGCTTTACTGGAAATCGCCTTTGTCAAAATATCCGCCAATTGATCCTCGGATTTCACAAAAGGAAACTGAAACACTTTAGCCTCAAGCTTCTGTTTGATGAAGTGTCGATCCACCTCAACATGTTTAGTACGATCATGCTGAACTGGATTCTGTGCAATGGCTATAGCAGCTTTGTTGTCACAAAAGAGATTCATTGTGGATGTAGGTTTATACCCAAGTTCAGTAAGCAACTTTTTTAACCAAAGAAGTTCACAAATCCCTTTAGTCATGATTCTGAACTCGGCTTCTGCACTGGATAAAGCTACTACATTCTGTTTCTTGCTCCTCCATGTCACCAAATTACCTCCCACGAATGTGAAGTAACCCAATGTGGATTTTCTATTTGTTACATTACCTGCCCAATCTGCATCTGAATAACCATCAATATTTAGATGACCATGTTTTGAGAACATAAGTCATTTTCCAGGTGCAGACTTCAAATATCTAAGTATCTGAAGAAATGCATTCATGTGGTCTTCACTTGGAGAGTGTATAAATTGACTAACAACGCTCACCGCATAAGCAATGTCTGGTCGAGTATGTGACAAATAGATCAATCTTCCCACTAACCTTTGGTATCTTTCTTTATTAGTTGGAACTTGATCCGGATATTCTCCAAGATGATGATTCTAAACAATAGGAGTGTTCGCAGGTTTGCAATCTAGCATTCCTGTGTTTGTCAACAAGTCCAAGACATATTTCCTTTGAGAGAGAAATATACCTTGCTGTGATCGAGCCACCTCAATTCCCAAGAAATACTTGAGTCCACATAGATCCTTCATCTCAAACTCAGTAGCCAAATAGTCTTGTAGTTGTGATATTTCCAATTTATCATTCCTAGTAATAATCATATCATCAACATAGATTATTAATGTTGTTACCTTCCCTTTCCGATGTTTCAAGAACAGAGTATGATCTGAGTTGCATTGTTTGAAACCATTGTTCTTCATTGCCATGGTGAACCGTCCAAACCATGCACGTGGTGACTGTTTCAATCCATACAATGCTTTTCGTAACTTGCAAACTGTTCCAGTATTATATCCAGGAGGAATGTCCATGTATGAGTTCGCCATGTAGAAAAGCATTCTTTACATCAAACTGGTGTAGTGGCCAATCCAAATTAGCTGCAAGGGACAATAAGACTCTGACGGTGTTTAACTTTGTAACTGGAGCAAAGGTTTCTTCATAGTCTATACCATAGGTTTGTGTGTACCCTTTTGCCACAAGTCTTGCCTTGTATCGCTCGATAGATCTATCTGCATTGTGGTATATAGTAAACACCCATCTACATCCGATAGTCTTTTTTCCTCGTGGTATAGTCTCTAATGTCCAAGTTTGATTTTTCTCAAGAGCTTTCATCTCCTCTTTTATAGCTTGGACCCACTTAGGATCTTTCAATGCTTTAGAGACCTTGGTTGGAATATGGATAGCAGACAATTGATGCACAAAAGCCTTGAGTGGTTCAGATAGCTTCTCAATGGATACATGATTTGCAATTGGATACTTAGATGTCTTGCCAATATCAGGTGAATAACGGTTTGGTGGCTTCCCGCGATTTTGCCTGAAAGGTAATTGATATCCAATAGTTTTATCCTCTAAATGCACAAGTCTAGTAGGAGTAGTTACCTCAAGGATATTCTCAGGAGATTGGTCTGTTGGTACTGTTGAGTTAGAAAGGGGGTCTTCATCTTGTTGTTCTGTATTGTCTGTAGGTGTGAGACTCGGATCAGAAATATCTTCGCATGGATCAGGTGGGTCAGGAAATTGATCGCTATGAATGGGTGATTGATCGCTTGTCGGCAGAGATTATCTCGTGCTCCAGACTCGGGACGATCGATCATTTCTGTACAAAGGATAACTTCTTCGTTTTCTAAGTTGCTCCAATTCTGCACTTCACTTCGTATCTCCCCCTGAAGCGTAGAATTGGATGATGGGTCATGGAAGAACAACTTAGATTCCAGAAAGGTCACATCCAAAGTGACATAGATACGTCGGGTAGGAGGGTGATAACAGCGGTAGCCTTTCTGATGAGTGGCATAATCCACAAAAACACAACGAAGCACACAATTATCAAGTTTGCTACGTTGATTTTTGTGGAGATGAACGAAAGCCACACATCCAAAGATTCGGGGTGTGAGTACCAAAACAGAGGGCAGAGGTTTGTATTTTGCAAGCACCTGTAAGGGAGTTTTAAAGGTCAATACACCAGAAGGCATGCGGTTGATCAGGTGAACTGCGGTGGTAATAGCATCATCCCAGTGATAGCGAGGAACATGAGCCCCAATTAGAAGTGCTCGGGCGGTATCAAGAAGATGTCAATTCTTTCGTTCAGCAACACCATTTTGTTGCGGTGTCTGAGGACAAGTCGTCTCATGGATAATTCCATGTTGTTGGAAGTAAGTCTGAAAGTCATGATTGAAAAATTCTCCACCAGTGTATGAGCGAAGAATATGAATTTGAGCATTAAACTGAGTCTTCATCTGTTTGTGGAATGACTGAAAACGGAAAAACACTTCATTTTTATTCTTCAGCAAATAAAGCCATGTCATTTGTGTACAATCATCTATGAATGTGACAAACCATCGAACACCAGAAGGAGCAGTGATAGGTGAAGGTCCCCAGACATTAGAGTGAATTAACGTAAATGGAGTAGTACACTTGTTCGTACTCAACGGGTAGGGCACATGGTGACTCTTGGCAAAAATACAAGTATCACATGTAAAGTCGGAGTCCTTGAAACCTGAGAATAAATCTGGTATAAGATGCTTCATATAACTAAAAGACGGATGGTCCCAATCGACGGTGCCACAACCAGATTTGTTGTTGTTTGCTATCAAAGGGATGCGTCACATTGTTAGCCATGCAGGGACTGAAGTCGTCTACATAATATAACCCCCCTCCCTTAGTACCACGACCAAGAATCTCCTTAGTGTGAATATCCTGAAGCAAACAAAAACTCGGGTAAATGAGTACACAACAATTCAATTGTTCAATAAGCTGACTAACTGACAACAATTTATTGGATAAAGATGGAACAAGTAAAGTATTAGACAGTGAGAGAGAGGATGAGAGTTCAACAGTGCCAGCCCCTGTCACAGGATAAGTAACTCCATTGGCATTTGCAATACAAGTTCGTCGAGGTTGTGTAGTATGAAGAAAATCATCAGGATCAAACGTCATATGATCAGTTGCACCGAAATCAATTATCCAGCCCCTGGAATCAATCTTAAAGGAAGTATGGAATCCATAACCAGTACCATTACTGGTCATATTGTGTTGTCCTCGATCTTTAAGAGTAGCCCACCAATTGGGATAACCATGCAATTTAAAACAAGTCTCACGAGTGTGTCTCGGATCACCACAATATTCGCAATCTAGTCCATGTGTCGGGGTCGTTAGTCAAGAAGTCATAATCTGCGCAGCGGAAGATGTATAGGATACAGGTTTAGTAGGAATTTGGATTGGGATCTGAGCTTGAGTTGGGGTCGGAGTCAGAGTCGAAGTCGGGATCGGGGTCTGAATCAAAGACAAATTTGGGGTCGGGGTCGGTGTCATCATCGGAGTGGGGGTCGAGGTCGTTGTCGTCGTCATAGTCGGGGTCAGGTCGGGGTCGTCAAAAGAGGATCCTGATTCAGGATCAGATTCGGGGCCAAAGTTTGCATCTGTAGGAGCTAAGCCATCTGGGCACTCAACTCGGCTATGGTTGGTTGAGAAGGAGAGAAGGAGTCGGTGGTGCTACCTCCATGAGGGATGAAAAAATCACCAACCCCCATAGCGGTGGCGGGGGTGTGAAACTAGAGTCAGCAATTCCAAGATTGCCGCTCTGATACCATGCTAAAATATGAAAACTATGAGAGAATATTTGTTTGTGGGAATTTTCTGTGTATTCTTCTCCTGGTAGGAGGTCATATTTATAATACAACGAAACCTGAATGGGCAAGTAAATAATAAATTCCTAAATCTATTTACAGTAGGAAATCAGGAATTAAAGTAAATCAATTACAATTATAATAGGAATTCTTGGTGTGTAAGGAAAGTAAGTCAATATCCACAAGTCAAACCAACACTGCAGATAGTGAATGGTTTTGAAATAAAGAAAATAGCTTATTTTAATAGCCCCTATAACATTATGTCTTTTAAGTCAAATTTTTTCAATTAATGTAATATGGGAGAGGATATTCGAAATCTCTTTTAACATTAGAAATAAATAAATACATACCACTACACGAAAATTTGAGAGTGATGCAATTATGCATCTTGTTGCACCTTTAATCAGATGATTCGATTTCTCAATCTTTCTGAGTTGCTCCTACGGAACCAAGGTGAAGTGTTTGTTCCTGAACAGAGGAAGTGGAAAGCGTTTTCCGACAGACTATGGTTTCGAGGCTTCTTGGGGCACCACACTATCTTTACAAAACCCCACCTCACCATCTAGATTACTCATCATCCCAACCCGGATTTGAGTGGCTGCCTAGTCGGTGCATGCAACAGACTGTCGCTTCATACTCAACACGACGTCTCTTAGTCTTACCATTTTCTTCAACTTTTGCTTCCCTATAGATTGACAAGACATTAAATTTCTCAGCATCTTGAGCATACACCAGACAGATCCCGCACTATTTCACTTTAAAGTCGGAAGCGTAAACTGGAGTGCCAACATTCGGCTGTATGTTGTTAACTGCAGTGTTTTACTTTTGGTCGTCACTAACAACTATTCTGCTCTTTTTACAGTTTGTTGGCTGATTGGATCTTTCATGGCAGCTATCTTTTGGCATTCTGGTTTTTCTCTATTTCTACTCTCACTACTTCTTTGCCGGTGGAACTGCCTATATTGGTGCAATGTTTATAGCATTCTTGCCAGTTGCTAGTGCTCTTGGTACTCCACCATACTTTGGAGCGATGGTGCTTGCATTGCTCTCCAACCTCATGGGTGGCCTTACCCACTATCAGGGACGGATCCAGGAATTGCAAATCGGGTGGGCTAAATTTACCTTAAGTACAAATGTATTAAGAAAAAATGGTGAGTTTTGTGGATTTTGGTTGGTTTTTGTAGATTTTTTGGCTTGGATAATAGATTTTAGGAACTAAAAACTAGAGTTAACCTACATGGGGTGGCTACATTTTTTTGGGGTAAATCATAAGCCCTAGTTTGTTATATTTTTATTTTATATAAGCACTCTTTTTTCAGTATATTTTCTTCATCGTACTTAGAACTTTTTGTTATTATACGACATTTGAAATAGAGAAAATGTTAGAATTATTGATAATATTGTTGAAATATTTGGAAGGGATTGAAGGGAAACAAAGAAAGAAAAGGAAAAAAATATATTTATAAGGAGTTGAAGTTAAAAAAGAAAGTAATAATAAAATAAAAATATCCCATTATGTGGGGGAGGGAACCTAACAAAATAAAAACACATCTCATCGCAACACATATATCCCCTGCTCTCTTTTTTATTATATTTTCTTGTCTCTCTCTTTTTTTTATTCTTTTTCCTCTCTCTCTCACCCTCTCCCTCTTTCTTTATTCTTTTTCCTTCTTCTCTCTCCGTCTACTCCATCTCTCTGTTCTTTTTTCTTGCAGCTTTGGGATGGGCTATCTCTATTAAGTGTTTTTTTGTAAATTTTAAGAATACTGGTATTACAAATACAAAAAGATATTCGTATGGGTTGTAGCCCAGAGTTGTGGGTTCGTCCCTGCCCACTATGGTATTGGGTTGACACTTGTTTTCTTCGGCGCTAACTATGTTCCACTTGGCAATTGGAGGGGCTATGGATTCCTTATCTCTGTGGTCAATATTATTAGGGTAAATTACTCAAATGATCCTCAAACTTGTACTAGATTTACATTCTGGTCCCTCAATTAAATTATTAGTCAAAATGGTCCATTAACTATATATTAATCGCTCCATTGGTCCTACTGTCTAATTTTCTGTTAAATTTAACCAAATTTTAGGGTAAATATAACTTTTGATAATTAAAAAATTAAAATAGGGTTAAAATAAATACAAAATTAGAAAAATTTGAAGAAAAAGAGAAAAAAAAATTCATGAGACCCAAACCCAGTGCCCCTTCCCTTCGATTTCTTCTCCCCCATTCCCCCTCTCCTCTCTGCTCTCCACCTTTGTCTCTTATCCCCTCTCTACTCTCCTCCACCAATTTCTCCTCTATCTAGTTGATCCAACCTCCCCCCTCCTTTCACGGATTTCACTTCCCCAACACTCTGAGCACCTATCCACCTCGCCAACATCACAAACCCTCCTTCAAAACTCATATCCATTTTCTTCCTCAGGTTTTGTTTTTGTTTCATTCAACAACCAACCAAGCCCAAAGGCATGAAGAAACACCAGCCAAGACCAAAGGAAACATCAATGGCACACAAACACAAAAACCAAAAAGGGAAAACATCCACAAAGCCAAAGGGGACCAAATCACGCCGTCAACCTTCTTCCTCAGTTTAATCAACCCATTTGACAACGAAGTCCAACAAGCCCAGCAGTGAACCAAACAATTGTGAAGACTGATTCAAATATGTGGCTAGCTGGGCAATTGATGAAGATTGAAGGAAGAGTGGCAGTTGAAGCAGACAAAGTAGGTGCTAACAAATACATCAGAGTGACTTTGAGTAAAGAGCCAACGACGAGAGTTGAGAAGATGAAGTCGAACTCGTTGATGGAATTTCTTACATTCTCTTTGCCCTCAATCAAAATTTTTGATGAACCGTAACCCAGAAATTCCCCAATATCGAGTCTAATTTTGAGAGAGAGGGATAGGGAGAGTTTTTATTTCATTTTTCAGTATTTATTTATTTTTAATGTACGAAATGACCAATTTGCCCTCATATTTAATGGCAACATTGACAGAATGTAATGGTAGGACCAATGGAGCGATTAATATAGAGTTGATGGACCATTTGGACTAATAATTTAATTGATGGACCAAAATGTAAATCGAGTATAAGTTTGAGGACCTTTTGAGTAATTTACCCATATTATTATTTGGAGGGGTTTGGTGGAAGTTCATCAGTTTGTGGTACTCAACCTAAACACAGAAGGATTGAATAATTGTGAATGATTTTATATTTCTCTATTAGGAGGATATATATACAAGTTGATAAGGAAAAGTAGTTAGCTAATTATAAGGAATCCTAACTAGGTAATTATTCTAATTAGGTAACGTGAATTACACCATGAAATCAAGGATCGCGGGATCCTTGAATTATGGCTCACGCCAACACTCACCCTCAAGTTGGTGTGTAGATATCTCCTATGCCCAACTTGTCAAGTGACTCTTGAAAAACCTTTGCTGACACCCCATGCGTTAAGAATCTGCCAGCTGTTCTTATGACTTTACAACTGGTATATTGATAAGCTTATCTACCAGCTTCTTCTTGATAAAATGACTATCCACTTCAACATGCTTAGTTATGCCATTGTAAACTAGATTATTTTCTATATCTCTCGCAACTTGGTTGTCACAGTAAAACTCGTTGGCTTTCTTTGGTGGAAAATCAATTTCGGACAGGAGTATCCTTAGCCAAAGAAGCCCACAAACTTCGTGTGCTATGCCCTTGTATTCTGCATCAACTAAAGATCGAGCCACTACATTTCCAATGAAAGTGAAGTAACCTGATGTAGAATGTCTATCTATTATATTGCTTGCCCAATCTGCATTTGTATAACCCTTGACATTCAAATGTCTAAGTTTTCTGAATATCAAGCCTCGACATAGAGCTTTCTTCAAATAACTCAAAATCCTCGTAATTGTTGCTAAGTGATCCTCACTAGGAGAATGCATGAACTAGCTAACAATACCAACTGCATATGCGATATTTGGTATAGTGTGCGAAAGATAAGTTAGTCTTCCCACTAACCTCTGATATCTCTCCTTGTTGGTTGATACTTGATCCGGATAGATTGCTAGATGATGATTCAGCTGGTGCACACCTTAACATACCAGTACAAACATATCCTAATAATCAACTCCACACATATGTGTATAGTCTTTGCCACAAGTCTTGCTTTATATCTGTCTATTGTGCCATCAGCTTTGTGCTTAACTGTGTACACCTATCGACATCCAACATGTTTCTTTCCTTTAGGTTGAGGAAGTATCTCCCATGTTCCATTCTTCTGTAAGGCCTTCATCTCCACATTCATTGATTCCAACCGTTTTGGGTCTTGCAAAGCTTCTTCCAATCTATCAGGAATTTTAGTTCCTTCCATCTGACTTACAAATGCTTTAGCTTGAGGAGACAATCTATGTGTGGAGACATAATAAACAATGGCATATTTCACCTTGCCTTCTGGTGAGAATCTGTTTAGTGGTATTCCCCTGTTTGCTCGTGCATGTAATTTTTTTTTCTTTCACAATTTCAACAATATTTTGAGAAGCACTGGGATTTGAAGGACTTACCTCAAGGATGTTCAGCGGAGCATGAGCAGGTATGTTTGAAAGAGGGGGTCGCTGTTGTCTAGTTCGGGGTCGCTGATGTCCAATTCGTCTAGGCTTGGCTGTTCAGCTTGGCTAGACTAGTCGGCAACTTGTTTCCAATAGCTACTTGATTCGGCTGGCTACATGGAGCGACTCGAGTTTCAACACACTATTTTGTGCTTATTTCCCCCTTATTTCTATCTTAAACCAATTATGTGTTTCCTTTACTGTATTCTCCCCTTGAAAGACATGATTGGGCACTATTGATAGAAAAAACATCTCGTTCTCCACAAACGTAACATGCATGGTAACATAAAAGCAGTGACTGTAGGGATGGTAATACTGATAACCTTTTTTGTTGAGGTGAAGGACCCACAAAGACACATCGGAGGGCACACAGATCCAACTTGGTCCGATGAGATTCATTGAGATGGACATACGCCACACAACTAAAAATTCGAGTTGTGAGATTAAGAGGGAACAAACATGAACATGAGCAGCCAATGTTTGGAGTGGTGTTTTAAAACCCAAAACACATGAATGCATACAATTAATAAGGTAGATAGCATACTAAATAGTTGCGGTCCAAAGGGTTTAGGGAACACGCCCCCAAATAAAGAGAACTTGGGCAGTCTCAAGAATATGGCGATGTTTGCGTTCATTCACACCATTTTGTTATGGATTCTGCAGATAAGTAGTTTCATGGAGAATGCCTTTTTAATTGCAAAAGTTTGCGAATGTGTGGTTAACAAATTTCCCTCTATTATCTTAACGAACATCTTTAATCGGACATGAATATTGAGTTTGATTCATCTGTTAAAAATTCTTGAATAAAGAACCAACTTCACTTTTATGCTTCATAACATAAAGCCAAGTTAAGCAAGTACAATCATCAATGAAGATCACAAACCACCTAACACCAAAGACAATATTAATCGGAGATGGACCCCAAACATTTGAATGGATTAAATCAAAAGGAGATAAATTTTTTTTACTCCACTAAATATAGATGGAATTAAAGATTGCAAATAACTAAAGGAAAAATGACCCAACCGCCAATCTCATAACCAAGTCTTCTTATGCCTTTCACTGACAATGCCCCAAATCTGATGAACACGACCTGGTGAAATGTCATCCACATAGTAAAGCCCCTCTTCTCTTAGTACCACGCCCAATGGTCTCCCTAGTCTAAACATCCTGAAGCAAATAAAAGGAAAAGAATATGGGCATGCAGCAATCTAACTGTTCAGTAATTTGCCCAACATATAATAAGTTATGGGACAAAGTATGAACAAACAAAGTTTTATGTAAATAGAGGGTAGGAGTAAGAGTGATGGAACCAGCCCCAGTGACTGAGTTAGATTCACCATTGGCGGTAACCACACTTGTATTGGTAGGAGCAGTCATAGAATGAAAAAAGATTGATGATAGGTCATATAATCAGTAGCACCTGAATCGGTAATCCAACATGTATCTCATTGGTCAAAAAGCACTAAAGCTTTTTCCTGGTTAACTGAGAGAGAACAGTAGAGAATCATCAACTGAAGGACCTGTCGTGGGCGAGGTTGAGACATTCGAGGTAGTGTTGGCGACCCAGTCAACGGAAGACTGGCCGGTGATGGCGATAGCAGCTACATTACTTTTTCTTCACATGCACAGCCTTTAATTGCTTTTGGCATTCAAGGAACCATTCTGGAAACCCACTCTTGTGGAAACACACGACCTCTGTATGACAGTTCCCATTACAGTGAGTGTAATGCATGTTTTCTTTTTCCTTTGGTATTGGAAAAGGAAAAGAAAAACTAGCAGCAGGGGCTTTGGAAACCATTACAGTAGAGGATCGAGTCTTTCCATCCTTCTTGAGCATCGTCTCCCGGCTTAGGGCCTCTTTACGAACAAAAGCAAACAACTCCTCCCATTTTGGAAATGGACTCAACCTCAATAAATCTCCCCTAATTTTATTAAACTCATCACCTAGACCTATAAGAAAATCATAAATATAGTCTTTCTGTATCTCAGCGTGTTAAATCTTCACATCATCATGGCACTTCATGTTGATTGGACGACAGTGGTCTAGTTCCAACCAAATGCTCTTGAGCTCAACAAAGTAGGAAGTAATAACGCGACCTCCTTGAGTAATACAGGTTGCTTTACAATGTAATTCATATATGTACGACTCATCAGATGAGTCATAATACATATGGGCTGTACTTTCCCAGACATCTTTAGTTGTTGATAGATCCAAAAAAATTCTACTAAATCAAGTTCCATGGTTTTTATCCATGATCCTTTAATAATGGAGTCCACAATACACCACTTATCAAAGCCCGGAGCATCTTCCTCCACTTGTGCCACCTTCCCTGTCAAATAACCTCTTTTACCTTGGCCTGACACATGAAGCAACATCATCTTCGACCAAGTTCTATAGTTCTTTCCATTCAATTGTATGGTGAATGGGGCATTAGAAGTATCATTTTGAACTGTAACAATTGGTTGCGCCATGTCAAGAGTTTTGCGGGTTTCTGAAGCATTGAAATTTGCTGCAGCGGTGGGGGTGTCTAGCATATCTTTGAAAACAATGGAGAGAGAACAAGTTTGGAAGGTAGGTTGCACTGGCAAAGATCAGTGGGTTTGTGTTTTTAGGGTCTTTTGTCGCTATTGGTTTGTGACAATGTTGCTGTGGTTTTGCAATCTTTTTTTTTATTTTAATTTTTTAATTTTTGGTGTTTGGTTGATGTCGGCGGTAGAGGTTGCGGATGACTAGGGTTTTTGTATTTTTGTTTGAGGGACCGAGGATAGACAGCTCTGATACCAACTCCAACTAAACACAAAAGGATTGAATAATTTGTTGAAGAAGAAATAATGAAACAAGATCAAATTTTGATAGACTACAATATTAAGTACCTCCATTTGATCGACTAGATAAGAACTATGAGCCTCCACCATGTACCATCTTTGAATGGAAACTAGTAAAAAGCCCATAAGAGGCTGCTCTACTCTGAACATGCCCATGATATTTTCAAAAACGCGAAAAAGACCCTTATCTTCAGTGTTGGAGCAAAATTCCACATGGAGAATATTCGCGGGTTGATTCTTTCTGGGTGTTAGCCAAAGGCACGCCGATGCCTAAGTTAGTTTAATAAAGATACGACAATAGCTAAAATGGATGGATTTTTCTCTCATGAGGAGAGCTGGGTGGCCTTAACCAGGTGTGGTGGTCAGAGCCATGTGAGCGAGAGAGTGGGGGAAGGGGTGACGACAAGAGAGAGAGAGAGGGATTTTGGAATTGAGTTTAGAATTTAGAATTACCTTGAATTTATTGTGTACCTGAGTATCTAGTCTCCTTGTGTGCTAGGGTTTTGGGAGAATAATCCTCATTTGGTTAGGATTATTCTTCCCTAGAAATTTAGTAGAAATTAGTTCCTTGATTTAGGGAGATATTCCTATCTTAAATTAAAGATAATTTTCCTAATTAAATAAAATTTAATTAGGGTAATTAGTTGGCCTAAGGAATATTCCTTTTCCACGTGTCGTCTTCTTATTGCTAGAGAAATATATGTTCCCACAAATGCCCCTAAGTTTCTGCATGGGGCTTGTGAGGCATGGAGGAGATGAGAAATATTTATTGAGCTCTCCAACTGCATTTGGGCTTTCTTTTTTGAGTTAGGCTCCTAATTAGAGTAAGCTTTTGAATTCTTCTTGGAGTTGGGCTCCCAATGGGAATAGGCTTGTGATGCCTCCTTGACCTAGGATGCCCAACCTTTATAAATATAAAGCTTCTCTTCACTCCCTTCAAATTGCAAACTTGTCATTCTCTACTTTCTAACTTGTGAGAGAGATCTTGAAGGAGTGTATTGCTTTCCCTTGTCGAGGAGAGAAATCGTCGTGCATACCAAGGTAGATCAAATTCAAATATTATTTCTTTTCTTGGTTTTTCTTCACGGGGAGGACCGACTAGTCACGACTAGCCGGTTGTTGTCGTGACCAAAAGCTGAAGCGATGAGATCAGCTGGATAGTGGCAGCGTGGCTGGGTTACGACTGCTTCTTCTTTGTGTACATTGCGGGCCTAGTTGTTGGATTGTGACTTTTTGCAGCGGTTCTGCAGTTGGGCAGTGTTTCGAGCCCAACCATTGTGTGCATCTCGGGCCTAGTGCTGGATGGTCGTCGAGTGGTGGCTGCTGCCACATGGTTGCCGGTTGTTCCTTTTTTTGTTTTTGTTTTTGTTTTTGTTTTTGTTTTTTTATATGAGCTGCGTTGTGATCTGCTAGGCAAGTTGTGGCTTGGCTCAAGCTGAGGGGCTGTATTGGCGACTCAAGCAGCCTGGGTCTTATTTTTGTTATTTTCTCTTGTGCCGCAGGCTAGGGTTCCTCATTTGCGACTTGAATTGTGATTTTTGACCCTTAATTTGACATGCGAATTTCTTCTTCTTTCTTCTTTTTGGCAGCTAGTCAATGGTCATGTCTTCCGACAAGGGTAGCCGATCATCGAGTTCACAAGTGCCTTTGAATCTGTGGGGTGGTTTGAAGGTGCACAAGAAAAGATTCATGACTAATCTGCATCGTGTTACGTTCGAGGCTCACTTCCAGAAGGGGTGTGCCACCTATGCTTCTGCCATACCTGATGACGTGCATGTAAAGTTGGCAGCGTCTTCGACATACGATGCGTCTTGTGTGGATTCGAATGATGTGGATGCCAGAATTATCACATTCCGTCCCTTATACTTCTCCTTGTGCTTCTCGTTCCTATTGTTGAAGTTTTTCAGGAAGGTGTTCTGCCCCATGAAGTGTGCCCCAAGCTAATGTACCCTGAAAGTCTACAGGGTGATCATGTGTTTTGACGAATTTGACGGTGAAGAGTTCTTTTACTTATTCGAAGTGAGGCCAATTATGGTCCATGATGTGCGGGATGTCAAGTAAACGATGGTCAACGATGTATTGGATGACATGTTGCCATTCTTTTCAGCTAACGGTGGGAAGGCAAGGTCGACAATGGTCTACTTGTTCCCCTTCCTTATTGCGATGGTACGTTATACTCTATTGATCTGGTTCAATTTTATCAGGATTCTTTGATCTGTGAATAACTAACTTCTATCTTATGCTGGTAGAGAATGATATTAGCAAGAAACTGGATCTCGAGCCAGACATGGCTAAGGTCCACCAGGCCTTGAACATCCTTGTGAGGTTTCGCGAATTGCGCTGGTTGCTGAGCGAGTATCATAAGAATGCTGGTGGTTTGCCCTTTGCCAAGGATGTTGGGAGATGAAACCTGTATGGCCCAGACTCAGATGATCTGGTTGTCGAACGAAAGGAGTCCTCGACCAAATCTCCCGAAAATAGGAAGGCCAACGCCAGGTCTTCCAAAGATGAAGCTGCAACTTAGCGGGCAAGGGATGTGTCTCTGCTAAGAAAGAAGTCAAGACTTCCTTATGCTGTGATCAAGTATTCTTTGAAAGAGGTATCGTTTGCTGAGAAGCCTCAAGTGGGAGTTGCTCCTTCGTCGTCTGCTAGGGTTAAGCAACTTGTTGGGGCGGATAGCAAGAAAATTGGTAGTACGCAAAATGTTCAGGACATTCTGCTCAAGTCTCTAATTGGCTAGCTCAAAAATTACAGCGTGCCTTGCAAAGAAGTTTGTTTTCGAACTGGTTCGCCTGTCAAGAAACAAAGAACTACTGACATTCCTCCAGGAAGTTCGAGTCATCTACACCAGTTAAAGGATGTGGATCGAACAGGGAGGACTACTCCTTCATCTAACAATCGCAATCCGTCTGCCAAGCCACGAGTAGTCAAGCATGGATCTGATTTGGCATTGTTGACTCCTTTGGAGGTGAGGATGGTGGCGACTAAGAAGGTCAGAGAGTCATCTACTCGGTTAAAGGTTTTTGGAAACGAGAAGAGCTAGTCCAAAGATTGACAAGTCCAACTCCGCAGAGGATGCATGTGTGTCTGATATGCTAAAGACCAACTTTTTGTCAAGCTCGTCTGCTTGTGCCAAGCTGGTTGATCATATACATTAGGCTAGTTATCTTGGCACATTCTGTTGTTGCCCCATCTTCTGCTAAGCTCAATGAGTTGGAGAAGAAGAATTATGATATGACTGGCAAGCTCTCGACTGAGCAGATCCACCATGAAACGAGGATGTCTGAAATGAAGGAGAGCATGTATGTGCTGAAATGTTCATTTGCTAAAAATGGTAGTGAACTTAGAGGCCTATTTTCATCTTGAAATGCTGACATATCCTAGAGTTGCGACAAACTTCTAGCCAAGTTTGACACCTACCACGAGGCTACTGAACAATTAAGTTTGACGTTGTTGTTGGTGCATTCAAGCTGGGCTACTTAGACTGTAAGAGTGGTCTCGTTCCTTGTCATTCCATTGAAGATGAAGATGTGAGATGTTCTGTCCTGACATGCCTCATACTCAAGGTGTGCAGATCAATGTTGTGGATATAGAGGCAGCCAAAAGAGTAGGTGGCTGATGAAACTGCAGCTGAGGAGGATGATGCAATGGAGGTCGCAGTTGACGAGGTGCTGACAGATTTGGCAGAGTAGGCAGCTGGAGCTGTTGAGCAGATGATTGCATATGATGAGGATGTGGTAGAGTTGGGCAGAGCTGCGAATGGCATATTTGATCAGGTGGAGGATGTCGATGACCAGTAGATGAAGACTCTTTTATCTTTTCAGGCTTTGTAATACGCTTTTCTGTTTGCAATAATTGGTCTTGTTTGACCATTTTTCTTTTGTAGAGTTCATCATTTTGCTATGGAAATTTTAGTTATTTAAGCCAAAACGTTTTTTGGGACTTGTGAACTTCTTGAGTGATTTGCTAGCACCTTGGTTGTGTATTTCCCTCAAGATGCTTCAATGTTTATGCACCACTTACTTAAAGAGTGCTCTTCTACTTCTCCATTGGATGCTTCAGATATGGCCTGCACTCCCTTAGGATGCTTTGGCAGTTGTCTATGTCTCCATTAAGAGGTTTAACAGTTTCCTACATCTCCCTTAAGACGTTTTGGTAGTTGTCTACTCCTCCCTTAGGATGTTTTGGCAGGTGGCCTACATCTCCTTTAGGACGTTTTGGCAGTTGGCTAAGTCTCCCTTATGACATTTTGGCAGGTGGCTTACATATCTCTTAGGACGTTTTGGTAGTTGCCTATGCCTCCCTGAGGACGTTTTTACAATTGTCTTATGCCTCCCTTAGGACGTTTTTGTAGTTGTCCTACGTCTCCCTTAGGACATTTTGGACTTCTTCCTGCGTCTCCCTTAGGACGCTTTGGATCTTCTCTCGAACACTTGGTTGAATGAAAGCTTGAACTTGCATTGATGTTTGTGTGATTACATCACTTTATTGAATGGAAATAAAGAGATGAAATTGCATCAGATGTCGTTCTTCTTCAACGATGGTGTAGAGGGCTCGGTCGCCTGCTAAGGTCTAAGCAGTTGAGTGGAAGCTTCATGGGTAATACCTTCGGAGGTAGTGGTGTAACACCTCGACTCAACTAATTATTTTATTTACTGAAGTTATATTTTTGCCCTTGTGAGTAAGAGCTACATCATTGCATAGAGCTACATCATTGTAGTGGTGTAATACCTTCGGAGGTGGGGGTTACTTTAGTCACTTTTTGTTCAGAAATAGTTTTGGGAGTTAGAGCTACATCATTGCATAGAGTTTGCTCTCACGAATTCGTAGACACGTAGAGGGCTCAAATCAGAGTTTTAACGAGAAATTTGTGATCTATGGAAGTGCAGTGGCACAATCGTAATTTTGGAGAAGTCAAAATTTAAAATACCCCAAAGTCGGACCTTCCCACGCCTGTACTTGACAAGTCCAAGTCTGGTCAGTTCAAGTCCCACACATATTCTCTTCATTTCCCCCCACATAAAGTCCCACAAACTCATTATGATTCCCAAAACTCACCAGAACCTCATCAAAACCATACAAACCTGTTCATAGGTCCAAAGCATCAACTTCTTGAGCTCAAAATGAAATATTTCCTTCTCCAGACTTGTTCATCTGCCTCTCTAGTAGAACATATCCGAACCTTATCCAATCGGAGAAATATAAATACCTCAAATCGCAGTGGAGGATGAACAACTCATCTCTGACTAGTACTCAGTGTTATGCACGGATTTGTCTTTACATGCGAGTTTCTATTGTAATTTTCACCTCTATTCCTTCACGAAAGTTGTTGTTGAGGTCGAGTTATACAACATACCAAAATTCAAGGTGAGAGTAGTTTTCTCTTACTTCCTATCTATTAGTTCCACACTAGTGTGAATTTATTCACTCTTGCATGTTGCCTTCCTCTGCTCTAATGACATATTACCCTTCATAAAGGATGTTTATCTACGTCTTGGATATAATTTGTCAAAATTGGAGCTTCATCCAAGAAGTGTAACCATTTCAAGATGTGTCTAAGTGTAACATGTTCATCCTTGTCTGATCTGTTGATATAGGCTCGGATGAGAAAGGTTCCTATCTTGCATGCCGATTTTCCTTGATCATATGAGAAAGGTTCCTTAATGAAAGTTGTTGAGAATTCTGTAATTGACAACATATTCAAAATTTCGTAGTCATCTAGCAAGTTTATCCCTATCAGAAGTGGTACAAATTAAAACAAGCTTCTTTGTTTCCAAGTCCTGTTTTGGTGGTTGTTCTCCTTGGTAGGTGATTTGAGGATTTCAGACCAATTTAGAGGAGTGAGGTAATTGTTTAAGTACTTGATTTCTGGAAATCTGCTTTAGAGGTTAAATTCTTGAGGTTTTGTGGCTTGTTGAATTGTTCCAAAGTTAAGTAGAATTGTGAACCTATAGGAATGTCTGGATCAAACTTGTGGGCCACCTCTTGGCGACCCATTAAGTTCTAAAATACTCCCCATGTCTCCCTAAGCACGACACTATGCTCGGATTAGCGTTTGGTTATTGTTTGACTATTAAACAGATATTGCGCCTATTATGCGATATCCAGGATTGATAGGTTCAGACCTTTCGAATGGTTCCATTTTCAATTATGTTGTTCTCTGTACCTCTAGGATCGCGTAGGAACTTTCAAATAAGAAATCGCAGGTCGAGTGCCCCGAGGGTCAAGTTGACCAATTTGGGAAGTTTGACCACTCGGTTGACCGTGAGTCTTTCGAGGTCGTTTCACCTTTCGAAAAGCTTTAGATTGGCCTTAGAAACTCCTTGTTAGTTGTACACACACTGTGAGTCCCGGGAACTTAAGATTTGAATTTAAGTTCGAGGTTAGTTTACCTTTATTAAATAAGTCCTCATGTTCTTCAAAATTGGCACTCAAGCTCCACGAGCTCAACAGGCAAGACCCTCTCAAGGTCAAGCAGCTTTGGATTATCTGTGAGTGGACTTTGTTTTGATTAATCATTATTTTCAAAGATGATGTGATTCGGTAGACCCTTCTTGAAGGCAGAGGATGTTATTCGGTAGACCCTTCTTGAAGACAGAGGATGTGATTCGGTCATTGCATCTCACAATGTTGGTTTTCTCTTCCTTTAACCTTTTGATGTAATCTTGGAGGGACTCATCATGCTTCTCGCACAAGTTGTATAGATGGTCGGCTTGTTTCTTGATCGATCGGTAGAAAGTGTACTCCTTGGTAAAGATGAAAGCCAACTCCTTGAAGCTGCTAATCGACCCGGATGACAGGGTATGGAACCAATCTTACGACGTGCCATCGACCTGCATGGTACCTCTCGAACTACATGCTTGTTGATCAACCTAGATGAAAGTGTACTCCTTGTCCTTCTCTTTGCTTGCTTGCTCCTGCTCGACCTGCATGGTAATTCTTAAATTGCATGCGTGTGCGTTCGTCCATCATTTTCTCTGTCTTGCAATCTAAGGCCAAGGTCTCAGACCAAGTCAATCTAGTTGAGGAGCTGCCCAACCAAGTTGTTTTGGTTGTCCACTCTTTGAGTCGACCAAGACTAAGTCTACTTTACTCTGTGGATCAAGAGGAGAGAAATGTGCGAAAATACACATTGGCTAGGGTTTCGGTTTCGGTGTACACGGGAGCGTACATCGAGCGCTGCAGTAAATAGGGGAAAGAATGAAGTTTTTCCACAACAGAGCTCATATTAGTCATGAATGACGACGTCCGAATGGACCGCAGTGCTGTTGTGGTGGGGAGCATCAAATTTGACCATGGCCGTACAGTGAGGTGTTGCTGGAGTCGATTGGCAGTTCTTGCGGCTGCAAGACTGTGCTGGTAGCAAGGACGCATAGAGAAGCAGCGTCGCGTGTCTAATGGGTGCTCTTAGTTGCTGGACTAAAAGGAGGAACAACAGCGGCTGGAGCCGTGGAGGTAGCCAGCTTCGGCAGTAGAAAGTGGTGGCTGCTGCGATGTCTTGCTTTTCGTGCGCTTGCTTCCAACCATGGTTGTTTGGAAGGCTTCGATTGAATGATGAATAGGAGGAAACATATTCCTTTGATTCAAGGTTTGAGCAAAATTTGGCATGGGGAATATTCGCGGGTTGATTCCTTGATCTTCGATCTTTCATCTCTCTCTTCCTTGGTCCATGGGAAATAAATAGGAGTAAATAGACTTTGAGAGCATAAATCACCTAGCAAGCCATGTCTAATATGAAATCAAAGTAAGAGCGGAAGCATTAAATAAATCAGGGATTCATGCAAGTCTCATTTGGTCCCAATCTTTATAAGTCTATGAAAGTGTGCACCAAAGACTCTCTAAATCCTATTTGAGAGAAAGATAAGATGTTCATACCCTTAGAGCGAATCTTGAAACCAAGAATGGTGTTCAAGTAGAGGGAATGGTCCCTTTGTTTTTCATACCCTTTGTTGTTGGCTCTTCCTTTGATGTTGATTCTCCACCTTGTAGCTCTCCTAATAGGTACAAAGATATGCACCTCCCTAAAGCTTTTCACCAAGGATTGAATGGGATGAGAGAATGAGTAGACAACAAGTGAAGAGTGGTGCTAGCACCCTCACTTGATGTGATGGATTGAAGGGGTTAGGGAGAACTCTTCCAATTTCACCAACTTGAAAGGTCTAGGATGATAGGATTATAGCTACACATTTATAGGATCAAAAATGCCACAAGAGTGACAAAAATGCCCCCAAACCCTAGTGTGGCCACACCCACCCATTGTGTGCCATCTTTTGCTATCTTGGCCCAACAAATTAATCCTATAATGTGCTACATATGTGCCTAAGTCCATATGGTCAAATCCCTTTTGAATTTCCAAGTCATATGGGACTTTTAATTAAAGTTTCATAACTTTAATTGAATAATTAAATTAATCTAATCAATTTTCTTACTCTAGTGACTTAACTAATTCAATCACTTACTTGTCTAACGTGTGTTGGTCCCGGTCATCCTTAGTTGACCGTGTCAAGTGTCTGCTCAAACGTTTGACCTTTGACCTTTGACTTTCACATTAAATTTGACCATGTCACAAAATCATTCATTCTCTTCATAATTTCCTAATCAATTCCTTTTATGTGTATGATCTTATAGGTTCTAATTAGGAAGGCAGTGGGCATGAATGATTCACTCTGAATCAAGTGTGAATTGTGTCCCTTCATACAATTCTCCCTATTGGCGAATGCTAATTATAATTAGTCCTTACCGGGCTTCCAAAAGCCATGAGTGACACCTGGTAGTATGTCATGCCTACCCAAGCTAAAAAGAATTCATTTAGAGAACTTAGTCTGTTTGTGATTACAATGCAATTAAATCATTCTCTAATTCAATACTCTATGTCATGTCCTCGGGATATGGTAAACTTGTGTCAAAATCCCTAATATGACATCTTTAGATTATACGATTCAATTTGATGAAATCGCAAACGTTCTTGTTTCAATTTCAATCAAATACTTTGGCCAAAGATTTACGAATCATATCTTTAGAGTATTCTCTCTTCTTACTAAGAGTAGAGATTCCTTGTTGTACATTCACCTGTCTTTGCGTACACGCTGAGAATCCTAAGGAACACCTTCATGTCACATCATTTTAATACGACCGTATGGTGCTCTCAAAGAGAAACAACATATACACAAGACAACTGTCATGTCTCAGGTCTAATTAATTCACATTATCATAACTTAGAATTCTTTGTTTGACACTTGTGAGTAAGACTTCCATACAAGAATTCTAGAGTTTATCGCGTTCAGTGGACTCCATCTTCTATAGAGCACCTACACATCTGTCTTAGTGTCTCTACGTGAATGACTTGAGACTAGTCATCCTTCCAATTGAGTAGACATAATGTGTACCAGTCTTTGTGGGTCACCACCATTGTCCAATTGGTGATCCTATGACCCAGAAAATTTTAGGATACGATATTTATATGTGTGGAAAGGTCTTGTGCATCTAACTTGTTTAGACCACTTTCCATTTTCCATTTATTTCTTAATTCATGGACTTGTTACTTTGTGTACGTTATGTATCTAAAGCAACGTTCTTGCACCTTTGAATGTTATATATTATTTCCTTAGAATTATCCATTTTATATTGGCTTCTAGGGCATATATCTAACAGTCTCCTACTTGCACGTAAAGCGAATCAGCCACACAATGTGTTTGCCCTTGAGATGTTTATCAAGCCATAGTTGTCGTGTTCTAGGCTTTTGTGATCTTTGCTATATCAACTTTCTTTTGCAACTTAGAGACGATCGACGTCATGAGTAACCAACTCATTTATATAACGTTTTCTCTGAATTTTGGATGCTTGATGAGACTTGAATTCCTCGGCTTGAGCTATTGCCCCATGAGAATTTCTCTTACTATAAGAGCATTGATCTTTTATGGTAGGAACTACTCCTATAAGGAGATTTTTCTATTAATCCAAAAAGTGTTGACGTATCAACTTCTTTTGCCTAGATATGTACTGCTTTTGGTCATGAAGTATGTTACAACATCCAAGATTATCTAGAACAGCTTTCTCGAGTTTGTTTCCTATAATATAGGAATTAGGATCCGACCAAAGCCACTTAGGTGTACGCTTCCACTATGATGCTCTAATACTATTCTCTTCGCATATTTCACCTTTCGTCTTATTTATGTTTCTCTAACATAAAAGACATACTTATCAGTTGTCTAGGTTCTGATCCTGGGGTGTCATGTTGTTGTCCTCAATATACTCTTGCATTAAGTGTAACTTGCTGTAGTATCTTGGTCATAGCATATATGATCGTATAATATACTTATATGATAAGTACATGAACTTTTCATTCCTTTCTTTTAGACTTCTTTTGAAGAAGACTTCACTTGGTGATGGCGTTTTCTCTTAAACTTTGAACGGGCTCCCACTTTTCCTTTTGGAATTTAACCATTTCTAACATGCTTATTCAAGATACCATTTATCTTGGATGTTTAAATGTGGTGAGTCAACGAAAAAGAGTTGAATTGTCACTTTGTCCGATAATCTGCTTGTGGCTTGCAACCAATCATTCCACTTGTTTCACAACAAGCATCCATTAACTCTTTGATGGATACGACATCCTTTAGGTGATCTAGGATGTCCCACAAGTTTACCTTTCAAACTATAAATTTCTAAACTTTATAAGAATTTCAATCTCATTACTGTTCAATTGGACTTATCAAATATTTTGTTATCCTTGCGGTTACGACGTAAGGAGGGATTTCGATGACTTATCATAAAAGATTTATACTTTATTATCCTTTGTAATAAAGATCATCCATTGAGATATCTTGTAAAGAAAACTCTTTATCTCTTAAGAGGTAAATCCGGGGAGGTACATAGGGTGTCCGGGTTCCGACATATCCAAGTGTCTCAAAATTCCAAGTACCCAATTTCAATATTTCAAATCCGGTGAGGTATATAGGATAGTGCTTATAGCACTCAATACTGACTCAAACCACAACCCAATCCACATTTCATAAACTCTTTCCAACAACCCCATGCACTCAACACATATCCAAGTATGAATAATCATTCTCAAAATTAGCACATACCCATTCAAAGTAATCACAATCAACAAATATTCGAATATACTTCACTTACTTTCATAACAATATTATATTTGACACTTAAAGAAATAATAACTTAATAATCAACAATATTATGCATATTTTTCCGTCTTTGAAAATAATGATTATTGTTTTAAAATAATGTCCACTCACAGATAATCGAACGCTGCTTGACTCTGAGAGGGTCCCGTCTGCTAGGTACGCTCTGGGCCAAAGTACTTCTTTCTTGCAAACTTTAAGTCATTGAATCGAATCATCCAGGACTTCGATTCTCAATCTGCTAATTCCTACACGATCCTAGAGGTACCTAGATCAACATATTTGGAAATGGAGTCGATCTAACAGTCCGAACATATTGAACCCGAATAACGCCTAATATGCGTAAATCCGATAGATAGTCAAACGATAACCAAATTCAAATCTAAGCATACTGTCGTGCTCGGGACGACATGAGGATCATTTTAGGACCAAATGGGTAATCCAAACATGGAACACACGCCACCACACGCGCCATCAACGCATGGGTGTCCGACCAAAACGTGGCTAATCTGTTAAGGGGGGTTCTATCACGCGAGAGAGAGAGAGAGAGAAGAGAGAGAGAGAGAGAGAGAGAGAGAGAGAGAGAGAGAGAGAGAGAGAGAGAGAGAGAGAGAGAGAAATCAGATTTTTTTTAAAACCCAACTTCTAAATATTTATGGTTGTGCCATTGCACTTCCCTTGATTGTAACTTTTTCGTTACAACTCCGATTTGAGCCCACTACATGTCTACGAACTCGTATAGAAGTGATCTACGTTATGGTGCCATTCATTTTGCCAAAATCCTACCAAATTAAAAAGTAACCAAATAACCCTGTCCCTGAGGGCAAAATTGTAATTTCATAATTAAATAAATTAAATGTTTTAAATGAATAATAGAATTAGGGTCGAGGTATTACAGATCTCGCATGGCTTTCACTGTTTTTTGTGTGTGTGTTTCTTGTTTCTCTGATCCTTGGTGTGCCGATCAATTCTTGCACTAGACAAAGTACTATGATTGTTCTCATAGAAGGCTTTCTTTGACAATTTGGGATGTGTTGGTGTGCTCTCATGCGGGGTCCCTTGTGTTGGTCTTCTAGTAGTATGATAGTTTTGTTTTTGTTATTTGTAATGGTTTGGTGGTTCTAGATTGGACTTTCCTGTTAGTCCATAGTATGTGTGGTACTCTTTCTTACCTTGGGGTTTTTTCCACGTGGTCTTCATAGGAAGGTTTTAACGAGGCTGCTGTTCTCATGCTATCCCATATATGAACCTATTGGATTATGAATGAAATCCATTTTACTCTTAAAAAAAAATCTTCAGGAATTTATTAAAATGGTATAGTCATAAGTAGAAATAAAGTAGGGCTTGAAAAACAAGACACATAATTTTTAGGTATATATATATTAAGTGAGGAACCATACAATTACAAGAAACACATAGCTAAAAAATTGTTAAAATTTATAGATAAATTAGAAGATAAGAAACAGTTACAAGCATTCGTACTTGATTTAGAAAGTAAAACATGTCAACA